TGTCATGCATCTCATTCTTACAATGATATGGATACATGCTAGAGCCTGCTCGGAGTCATTCAGTATGTGGTTGCCTCTTATCGATGATCTGTATCTACGCCAATCACCAAAGATAAGAGGCACGCTGTACGAAAAAGTCAAGATCGATAAGCAAGAGAGTGATGTATGGTTGTCGACAAGAATGAGGCACGACCGATAACGGGAGTGCTCTACTATTCGCATGTCCAGGACCCCCGCCAGTATATAAGTGTATAGGGATCGGAACCAGGGACCACTTGAGTCTTCCCCCCGCCGGACTCGGTCGATCCGTCCGAGACGGTCGTGCTCAAGTCTGGTTGCCCTTATCAAGTTATCTAGAGTGATCAATTGCACCGTCCACTCTTCAGATCTTCCCGGAGTCTGGAGAAGATGGACCCTTGTGAAACAGACATCGGGAAGTTTGCAACGGTATGGTTAGGTAGGTACAGTACTCGAGGCGTCGAGTGCGTCGAGTTCACGACTCGCGAATGACTCGAGTCGAAGTGCTTCTTTACCGGATCGTATCGTCTCCAATCCACGGTAGACCGCTTATCACCTAATTTTGCGCCTATCAAGAAGGACCCACCCCCGCACCCCATCATGTGATGTTACTACTAGTAGGCTAGTAGCATCCAGAGTGGATATGCGGTCCCAAGCAAGAGGGTACTTGGTGAGAAGGAGAGAAGCACAGGGTGAATGGATGTACCAATGGATGTACCATCTGCAAACGGGTAGGGAGTTTAGGGACTAGGAAGCGTGGACATAGTCGTGATTATTTTGTACGGGCTCGGGCAGTCAAATTGGCGATCTGCCACCCTTGTAATTTGGTCCGCGGTCTCCGGGTAGATCCATTCCGACTGTAATCATGTACTGTCCCTCGAGGACAATAGAGCTGGAATTTGGAGTGGCACGTTCAATCTGACCTCCTATCATGTAATCATCTTGCCTTTGGTCGATTGCGGTGATGGATAGGGTCGATCTCCGATAACTTCCGAGTCGGCCCATCTTGTTCGCTGATTATCTACAGACAGCATGCAATATTGCAATGACCTATCTCTAGGTACCTACACTCTACACTTCTACAGTAGGTATACGTAATAACTTTATAGGTCCTCACTATGTGGCCTTAGTGACGGGGAATACTTCCACTACTTCCATACTTCCACACCTCCACCCATGTGCGTAGATAGTACGATAGAGCATCACTGATCGCTCATTCCGGATCGATGATAACACGCAGCATGATGAACAGTCCTCTTCGATTGGGTATCTGACTGATAGTCTCCCGTCATGGTCACTCCCTACTGGCTGTGATTCGTATGAGATCACACCTTTGCTCAGGAGGTTCTCGGGAGACGTCTCCTTTGGGCCATTAGCCGATGATGCCGTCGTGGCCCATCGTCGCACATTGTACGCTGTACATCGCACAGTAGCAGTAGTAGCTGTAGTGGTAGGAGTGCACAACAGTCGAATTTCTGCTCGTCTCTCGCATCTCTCCATCACCCGAATGACGACTGATTGACATGGCCATGATCGCATCACGATCCCTCGATAGGCCCGCCTCAAAGGGAAAAAAAGGATGGTAGATGGACGGAAGAACGGTGGAGGGGAGGGGGAAGGATTCTAGATGCGAGTCGATCAGTCTAATCCCAAAGTCAAAAGGACAATAGGAAAGGCCGAAGGATTTGTCCAACGACTCCAGTCCGGCTGGGTCGTTTATCGTCATCATCATCAACTCCCGTCACCATCACCCCCACAACCATCATCATCAGCGTCACCCACTCGGGGTGTTGTGAGATCCTCTTGTGTTTGTTGACGAGCGCCGCTGATCACTCGGGATAAACGATCCGAGGCTTCTTTCTGGGTTTACACTCTGCGCTTGTAACTTCCCTTTCGCCTTTGCGTACGTGGTCTTGTTGATTATGTTTTTTTTTGGCCCAGCCACTTGGTGATTTCCATTTTCCATTTTCTTTCCCCCTTCCCTTTCGCCTTTGCGTACGTGGTCGCGTGCCGTCGAGCTTGGACCCTCCACATCGCACAGAGAATGGCCATCTGCCATCTGCCACCTGCCACCTGCCACCTGCGCTGTGCTGCAAGTGAGTCGTACAATTTGTTGAGAGTGGCGGAACCGTAAACGGAGGAAGGAAAGGGTGGGAGAGGGAAAACATGGACTGTCGCACATTTAGACTCCAGATTGTGTCCAGTCTTCCACACTCTATCCCTCTTGCAGTTGCCGCAACCTGATGAAGGCTGGTCCAATAGACTCCAATACTAGAATGCCGCAGTGCTCATCCAGGAGGAGGCAGAGCACAGCTGTTGTACAAACCACAGTAGTAGTAGTATGTCCATGCACATTCCATCTCGCGCAAAGGATCCACTTTGTGGCCTCCCCCCGCCCCCCGGATTTTGACCCCAGATTGAGGAAGATAAGGATAAGAGATGGAGTATGACTCGGTGGGAGGTGGCTGGCAGGGTGGGAGATAATCAATCCATCCTACCAGCCTCTTCTTTGCGTTGTGCGATTAACGTCCAGAGCTATCTCCTGTCAGTAGACAAGTCTGTGTGGATGGTCTCCATAGCTCAACCGAGTCATGTCCTCCTACTCGAGAGAGAAGATGGAGTGTTGAACCGAATGAAAGTAGTGCGGGGGAAAGGCTGTCGCTTGCTGGGTAGCGATCTTCCCAACAACATCCCAAAAATGATCCCACGATGGGGGGGTGATGAACTCTGCCTATCATGCTTTCTGTCCCGATAGACGTGTTCCATCTCAACGGACCACACTTTGCACCGTTGCAGCATCACAGGGTACCGTACGGTGTATAGTAGTACGTACACTGTCTCTAGGCGCTTCAACTTCTCCGCAGCTATCTAACGCTTATTGCTGATGGGCAAGAAGACATCGTAGGAGCCTCATGGGCATTGTGGCACCCCTCCCCCCCCCTCCAGCCTCGAAATGATGAATCATGTGGAACTTCTCCGCGTCCTCTATTCTCCGCACACCAGCCCTTGTTGGGGATGGAATGGTTCTATGGTCTTCCAGAGCCATACTACCATAGTACGACAGCACTCATTCCTGCGTGTCAGTCACAAACAGGGTCCGTAAGGGAGTGGAATCGACCAGACTCTCATCTGACCAAGGGCCTGACATCAACGACGAGTTCCAAAAGAGGAACATGGTAAACAACCCCAAGAAAATTCAGTCGCCCCTAGCCGAGGTTGCCAAAGCAATTGGAACTTCAAAAGACATGTCAGTACTGTAACTTACGCAGTATGACACTACTGACCAGTGACTAGTAACTACTAACAGACGAACAGTAACACTGACTAGTGACCACTGACTACGGACTACTGAGGTAATAGGTTAACTGGGTTCACCGGGTTGTGACCAACACCAGACATTCTCCATGACTGTTTACGGGAGGCACAGGAGAATTGATCAATCAGAAAAAAAGCCGTGAATCAGATCGTGCAAGACAACAGAGACATGTCCAGTTGACTCGGCGACGGGTGGAAACCTCGTACAGCATACGCCATACAATAGAAGATGTATTGTACATACGAGACATGTCCAACAACGGCTTGCATCCAGACATGACAGGCTGCATATCGGATCCTGTGAGGAGACAGGGTGAGACCTTGTTCGCAACGTCCCTGGAACCGAGAATCCTCGGACACAAAAGACATCGATGCCAAGATTCAATTGAGCTTGTGCCATGGAAAGGGCAAGGGAGGGTGAATAGGGTGGGCCAAGATATCAAGTCCAACGGTCTCGACAGGAGATGCATGCATTCGCGGATGTCTTGTCCTTGCGCAGCAAGATGCCGAGTCCGATGCACCATGCAGTGCATCTTTGTTTCTCGATCATGTTAAGGTGGAGGCGATGGCAACATTTGCCATCGATGCAAGGGGTCTAACAGAGGTCTTGCAGAGGTGTTGAGATCCACCTGTTTTGGAGAGTCGAGCTTGCATGAACATTTGTTCAAGTTTATTTATTTATTTTTTTCATTCTATGGAGGAAGGGGGGGGGGACAGAGCAAGAGAGATAGAGGTGTAAATCTCAAACTGGTTTGTGCGTCAAGCCGTCCACGGTGACTTGGAGCCGACATTGGGAAAAAAAAAGCAATCGCTCGCTCGACCGACATCTATTAGGTAGTTAGGTAATACCTAAGTACTAGGTAGTAGTTTAAAGCGTACCCTCTACGGACTCAAGTCGAGACTGCCGTTTCGAATTCCACCACGGCCGATATACATACCACGGGCATATGGAATGGGCCATGGGTACATGATACTGCAATGCCCGGACCTGACCGTCGATCATGCTCTTTCATACGCAATCATGCTCGCTCGCCACTATGGCCGCACATCCGCCAGACGTATTACATTCAAACTCAGAGTCTGTAGTTGGATCTAGAATTCGGTGTATACAGTGCACTTCCCACTCGGTGCGCTGTACTCAGGTACTAGACTGGCAGATTCATAAGATATCAGATCTACCGTTCGCGCAGCTATTCAGCAGGGTAAAGTAGAGAGGTTCAACAACCCTGACGTCGGGATTTGATCACCTACTGCATATCCATTTGGAACGCGTACACTGCATATGACCCTCCATGGAATTGATATCACTCTTACTCTTCCCGTGAGGCCGGCGGCTACTGTTTGCGGCGCGTCTGCGCCTGAGCTCGCCACCATATCGATGCCGACAAGGTACTATTGTACAATCCGCAGTGCGTTTGATACTGCGACTTGCAGATACTGTACTACCAACCTTGGAAGGTTTGAAATGGTTGAATTTTCTTGAGAAATCTTGTGATATTGAGCCTTATTCACTTTTCATGTGTTCATATTGCAGAAAGGCACGAATGCAGTATCAGATTCCAGCGTCGCGGAGTCGCATCCCATCATACGCTATTCGTCCCACTCTCTGCATCGATCACAACAATCATACATCCAAGCATTGAAGCGCAGCTCATAATCTGGCGACGTTACTCAATCATGTAGATGAAGCATACTAGGCGGAGATGAAACGACGCTCTGCCAACCAAATCCCCGGGTGCGGGGGCTTTTTTGGCGCTGCCCATGACTTTGGTCTCAATCCGAGTCGCCTGTTCGTCCTTTGAGAGAAGATATTTGACCATTCGGACGTATCGGTAGCGACGCGTAATCGATGGAGCATTTCCAAGCCATAGACGGTCGCGAGCACGAGAAGGGATGCTAACAGGTCGATCCACCTTCCGAAGTTGGGGCGGAAGCGTCCGCGATGGGAATCCCCTCATGGTTAAGAAATAAATCTAGTGAACCTGCTCGGTTGACCATAGCACACTGGACGACCAGGTCCAACAGAATCCGACGCAAGAGGAGCAAGGTCATGTGGCCGCGTTGACTGCTTCCAGTGTCCTCAGCAGTGACTAGGCGTCTTATCCATTCTACGAAGAGAATGGTTATTCTTCACGAGTCTCCTCCAGACTCCGTCGTCTCATCTCGTCTCGCGAAAGCTTGAAAAACTGTTCCGCACATTGCTAGCAGCATTTTTTGTGAGGGAACTTCGGCCGGGTATATACATACAAAAGTAGAGAGATGAACACGGGGGGTATTGCAAACATCAGTGAAGGGCATGCATCTTATCAATTAAAACAAAAATCGACCGCTGTAGACTCATGCAAACTCTCTGAGTCATCTCCAAGTCACCTTCGAGTCACTCATCATGTAGGGTCGTAGTCATCGGACGATCGCCGGTGACCAGGAAAAGTTCTTAACCGGTACTTAGAGAGCCCACTCATCGACGGCATCCGAGGAGCTGATGAAAGGCTTATCGATCTGTTTGATGGCGTGATCTCCACAGAGTATGCTATTCGGATGTGTTAGCGGGCTAATCATCGCAAGGATTTTATCATCAAGACTTTCCCTTGACACCACTTACCAGGCCTCCGCGATCAGTCCATCCAACTCTTTGACAATTTCCTCCCTTCGCGTCGGTGCAAGATCCCCCGTGCTCATCTGCGCCTGCAAGTCTCGAATATATTTCTTCTTACCCCCTGCTCCCTCCAAGACCTCTTTGCCAAGACAGTCACTGTGGAAAGCATGCTGACAAGGGAAGACGAAGAACTGACGGCTTAGGAGAGGTAGCGAGCAAATCCAGCATTTCTCACCAGGTTCCACAACCGCATATCGTGTGTCCAAGTGGGCGATTTCCGAGCGGATCTGATGCGCAGTCTGAGCCGAGTTGTCCATCTCCTGTCGCAGCTCGTCGATGTGACGCGAGTATATCTCGAGTGCAGTGCAAATCTCATCCTTGAAATCGTCAATCACGACAAAATCCGGGAAGAATGGAATCAGATCCTCGATATGCAAAAGTTCGCAGCGCCGAAGAAACTCAATTGCGTCCTTGATGCCCGTGCCAGGTTGTTGGATCTTTTTCTCGGCTACAAGTAGCCACAACTTTTTTCGAAGCTTGTCATTACCCTCAGGTCGGTCGGCCACAATCGCCGCCAACTCAATATCGTTGCTTTCCAAAGCCAGTTCAACTGCCTGCAGGTACTGGCCCATGGCGCTGTATATATGGACACAGGACTGCACGCGCTTGTGTTGGATGCAAAGCCGGAGCGCGAAATCTGCATCGTACCGAGGAGGTGAGGACGACTGTGACTGCAGATAGTTGAGCAACCCGGACTCGGACGTTGATGAGCTGGAAGCATGAATCGAGATCAAAGTGTTGTGAACCGCAGCCGAGGGGTTGGGATGATTGACTATGATAAAGTTCAGATATCGCACCGCCTGATTTTGACTGAGGGAGACGTTGGCTGTCTTGTTATAGTTCAACATGGCGGGAATGAGGCGTTCAGGATCAAGATTCGTCTGCCGCATCAAGATTTCCACCAGTCCGGTTGCAGCGTGCGTCATCAGCACGCTGCTATACTTGTAGAACACGTCGGGCTCGCTTTGGCGTTGGAGAACATTCAAGGCTTCCGTCCACTTTTCTCGTTGAATCCAATAAGATAGGACATAATTGTGGTCATTGATAGTGGTCGCAAAGAAAAGAAGCTCCTGTTCACGGCCATGACTGCTGATAATATCGTAGACGGTCTTTTTATCGAGATCAGACTTGTGTCGCGTTACAAAGTCTTGAAATTCAGCCTGCGTTTCATCCAGCTGATTTTGGACTTGGCCCTCAGTCGCTCCCTCGGTCAATTCCGCTTTGGTGGCAATACTGTCATCCAGATCATTCAACTTGGACATGAATAGCTCCACAAGCCAACTTGCAACCATAAGCCGCTGCATAACAGACGCTTTTTTGTATGTCGAGAGTTGCGATAGCAGGTACTTCCGAAGCGCATCATATTCCTTGTTGTCCACCATTGCGAGACAAGCTTCTTCGAACCCTTTGCTGCTCTTACCCCAGACCTTGGCAGCTTCGAGGTAATTGCCCTTTTCCGCCAAGTAGTCACCAGATGCCTTGAGGACAGCGTCACGCTGGGCAGAGCCATGAGCATACTGGAGTGCCTCATCGAATTTATTCCCCTTGAGAAGGACCTTCCAAACATCCCTGTCCTCGTCGTTGGCTACGACTTCATAAATCGCCTTGCTTGTGAAAAGCCAGTAGGTATTCTGAGTAAGATCGGCCAAAAGCCCCAGCGAGCTTTGCCGAGGTTCCAGCACGGCCTGATCATACACGATTTCCTCATTCAAACGACTAGCCGCGACCACGCGCCCCTCGACAAGAGCCAGGACATGCCAACGAGTGAGTGTCATTGCAGTAATGGGGTCTTGTATCATCTTCCTCACTCCTCGAGCGGAAAGAGTCGCGGGATATTTTGACCGAGGAAGCATTTTCGCATTGTCAAACGGGTTACCTGCAGAGAGCGGACCATGGTAAATTCCCTCCGCGTTCAACCATGCGAATTCTTTCTCTGCTTGGCTGTCGGTCTGGTGGCTGCCCGCAATCGACGATGAGTTGACCATCAGCGAAGACGGCGCAGAGCTTGAGGAGTTTGCGCTCTCGTGAATTAGGGCGGTCTCGCGTTGGAAGAGATCAGCGTATATGGATCCACCCGCATCTCGACCGTGCCTTGTTGCAGCAACCACCCGGCCCAAGAAGTAAATCAGCCTCCCACATGTCGCCAGCATTACTTGTCTCGACTCTGGGTTCGACGGGACCAGCTCAGCGCTGATGCCCGTCACGGGAGAGCCATCCAGCACCCTGTACACCACAGTGACATATTTCTCCTCGCGCCGATAGAACTCGGTTGACGGTTCAATGTATGTCTCGTAGACACTTCCATCTGTTGCGCCTAGGAGAATCTCACGGGTGGAAGCTGTAGGGAGAGACGGGTTCCATGCCACGCTTTCAATAGAAACACCCTTGAGACGAGATAGCGCCTTTGGCTGGCGCGATTGCGTGTGAAGGTAGTAATTCTCCCCGAGCGTCGTTGTTATAATGAGGTGTGATGCCGACGGATCCAGAAACATGCGCTGAATCAAACCGGTCTCGGACGACTTCTTAGGCAGATCAATGTCTATCGCGAATAGCCGTACAGTTTAGCTCAGATGTAGTGCGGATCGAGGGTAGCGGCGATTCAGCCCTTACCATCAATATCTTCTGGAGAGTCGAGGTCAATTCTAAGGATTCTCCCTGTTGAGAGTGCCAGAATGAGCACGTTGTTCGCGACCTGGGCAGCAACGAAATCCGCTGCGATGTCGAATTGCAGCTGTACCCGCTGCACATCGAAGATAGGCAGAGACTCCGAAGCCTCCGTCAGGCCATTCGGAGCCACATAGTTGCTGGGTCCATCCAGCGCCATAATATGCAGCTGGCGCTTATATCATTCCGGTGTCTGAAGCCTTCGGTCGGAACGCACTTGGTTTAGCTTTACAGGAGCTTGATCGTCAGTCGGCGGGAGAGGGACGCGGAGCTGAGCTACTGTACGTGGGGATGCGGAGACCATGACTTTGCCTGCCTGAGGCAGAATGAATCCCGAAGAGCAGCACCGCTCTGATGGGTTATGTCGTATTGCAGAAGCCTTGGCTACGAAGATGTTTAAATTCTACCTTTCCCCTTCTGACCAGGTCGAGTAAAATGATATCGTACGGTGAACCTACAAGAATAGGACGTCCTTTTATGCTGTCACAGCGATGGCGCAACAATCTGTACGTCAGTGGTTGCTGGCGCAGAAGAATTGCAAGATACCGAGGCGTAATTGAATGTCAAGGAGAATAGAAGAGACTGAACGATGATTTTGAAATCTATGCATACAGTAGGGGGTATCATGGAGACGAATGCAGTAACAAGTCAGACATATAGGAAAATTTCGAACGCACAAAAAAAGAAAGTAAGGAAAGAAAAAGAACCAGAAGAGGGAAACGGGAACAGGACCGAGACATGAGAAGGCTGAGCGTCTCCTGTTGGCTGGCAGGTAAAGCCTTTTCAACGGACAGCTCAGGTGCTCAGCGCTCACTCACATCACAATGCACTCGCGATCTGGCTTCCGAGCCTTATCCTTGGTTCGGTCCTTCGATTTGCCCTTGGGGTTGCGATCCTTGGCCTTTTTCTCCTTGCCATCGAGCCTAGTTGGCCCAGGGCTGAGATCATCCACAGCAGGCTCATCAACCTCAAGAGCAATATCGTCAGCCTCTCCATCGCCATCGCTGGTGAACTTATCACGGCTCAAGCGGCCGGCAAAGCGAGAAAAGGTGGACCCAATTCTGTTGTCACCGGTTTGGCTACCGGCACGGCTGCCAGCAGTGCTCTTGGTGTGCCGCGAACTCCGACGGGAAAAAGTGAAGGAGGCACCGCTGCCTGCTTCTTCCATCGGCGCCAGTCTTGGCGACATGGAGGGCATCGACCGGGGAGGCCCAACGGGGACGGAGTCCGTGAACACCACGCTTGGACGTCTCTCAGCATTGGCGAGCGGCTGAGTCACGTGATCGGGACTAGTGATCTCAAAGCTAGGTCGAGCTGAGGTGACATTGTCGGCCGCGATGCCTTCTGTGTCAACAGTCAGACTCGAAAGCTTCCGACACACATCACCCATCTCCCCGTCCAAGGTGAGGTCGGATGCGAGCGACGAAGCCTTGTTCGAGGCATCAACGGGACTTGGATCCTGATCAATTGGGAGGATCTGATAGAACAGAAGGTAAGGCGATTCTGCCTTCAGTGCCTCCTCAATATCAACCAAGGTAACCCGCTCCGCCGCCAGATCGTCAAACCGCATCCAGTTTCTCGGTGCGTCTGCACATGTAGGCTGGGCCCCATTTCGAGAACCAGGAGGTATGCCGTCCTCAGTCGTTCCTCGGACCAGCGCGATGTAGTGTCCCGAGTCGACCGAATTGCCTCGGTGACACACGACAGCCTGCAAGGAGAGTTTGAAATTCCCGTAAATTGGAGCGTCGCCATCCAGGTTGTCATCCTGAATGAAGTGAGGAAGCCCAATCTCAACAGGAATGTCAATGTACGTGTTAAGTCGTACAGCTTTCCCATTGGGTGTGAACGAATAGCGCTTCAGACACATGCCCAGGATAGGGCGCTTGGCCGAGAAGTGCGCGGCAACCTGTGCATCATTTGTAGGCGTGTTGTCCGTGTACCAGGCTGAGAGAAATTGATATTAGCTGGTGGTTCATACGCATACGCAGAGACGATGGACTTACGAATGAGACTGAAGAATTGCCATGCAGGCATCATAACCTCCTTCCGAATGACACCCCTTCTGGGACCTTCCGGTGCCGCTGAATCCGGAACCTGCTGTTGATTCTCGCTAGAATCAGGGATGAACCTTTCGCGGACAATACTGTCACGTCGACCGAGCTTCCGCGCATCCGTAGAGTCCGCGGTACCGGAAAACGACGACCAAGGACTTGCTCTCTCAGGTAGAGGCGAAGTTGATTGGGCAGGCGAATGATTAGGCGTGGCCTCAACTTCTTCAATATGTGCGCTGAAGCCTTTCGATATGGAAAGATCGTCCACCGACTGTGAGCTGAGAGTATTTCGTCGCTCCATGTATCGCTTCACTTCAATGCGGTTGTTGAAGTATGCTTCCAGGCAATCTTCAAGAGTGAGCACATGGCCGTCGGTTGGCTCTGGTGGGATGGCCACCTCAAGAAGTCGTTCATTGACAAATTTGTGATCGTCACTGACATCCTCCTTGCCGGTGTGGTAAATGTCCATCTTCAGAGTGAGAAGAGGCAGCTCAAGCTTCTCCGTAATGAAAGTGAAAGCCTCAGAGGCATCTTGTTGGCGCAGCTTGGCTGCGTCTTCCCAGCCGCACTCTGCCAGAGTCTCCTGCAGAAATTTGGTCTACCCGTTTCTAATTAGTCATGATTATAACCACTTGCCCAACAAAAAACTTACAATGTCGGTAGTGATCAGCTTGCCCGCTCGCAGAAGGTTCACCCAAAACCTGAGACAAATGGCAAGCTTCCGGCGGGGCTCGTCACTGAAAGACTTGTATAACATAGCCTCAAAGCAATCCAAGTGTGCAAACATGGAAAAAAGCAGGGCATCCAAGTAGCAGGTGACACCTTGCCGGTTGACTGCGCCAAGAAGCTTTATTGTGGGGCTGTATGGTCGAATAACGCCTTCAATGGCATCCTCCAAGAGCAGAAGAAGGCTGATGGCTTTATCAACCTCAAAATTTGTGTTTTCAAGAGCGTGTCTGAAATGTTCAACTCCTAGTGTGCTGTACCCGAGAGAGCGAAGGTGGGCTTCGACAATTTTCACCTGAAGGCCAGGAGCTATGTCAGCATTGTTCTGTGTGATGAACATGGATTCCTGTCAGTACCTTCTTTTCTTGCTCGGTACTCTCATCTTTGGATGTAGATGAGACAAAGAAGTCTCGTAGTATCGGCATCAGCATTCCTGCAGTCTTCACAAGGTGTTCAGTCAGTTCTGTTATCAATACAGCTTGCGCTTTCTTCTCACTTGAAGACGCCAACGTACTTCATCTTTGGAGCTTCGAGCACCTCCTTTTTGCCGATCACGGCGTGTAAGGAAGCGATGAATGCCAGACATATTGTAGAGCTTGTTCACCAGAAACAGGATGTTGTTTGGAGAACAAAATTTTAAGAGAAGAACAGCATGCGGGGTTGAGTGAGGAGGCTCTGGGAGCTTAGTCAAAGCTCCAGAGTTTCCATGAAGCACGCGGGATGGTCATGGGCTGTGTATTTGAAGTAATGACAGTAGCATGAGATAATCTGAGTGTGAATGTGACCAGAGATAAGTTTGGAACAAACCCAAAATGGCCAAGGCACAGGGTGTTGACAAGAAAAGAGTGCACGACCGAAACGTGATGGGCCTAATCTGTCAACCGGCACTTTCATTTATCTTTCCGCGGGGCAGCTCCAGTCCTGCCAGGGCCGATCGGCTGAGTTGATCGCCTGGTGAAGAAGGCATCAGCATCACGTGGAAGTATAGACAACCTGACAGCACGTGTTGATCAGTGATGACTATAGGAAGCGGAAGAGCAGACTGGGGCGGTGAGCTGCAAAGTCTCTCATGGTAGACACTATAGACGATTGAATTGATCCGACATAAATGACCATGAATATCATGGTATCGATCTCTCTTGACCTTGCTTAGCCCTCATTATTCGAACCTGAAGCTGAAGCCGGCAATGATCGGCCGAATTACTTAAAGTTCGAAGCCCAGTGCGCCTAAAAGGAACTGGCCGTGTTTGCATCAAGAAATAGTCACAAGTATTGAGACAAGCCTCGGGACGAGAGTACATCCTGGATGAAGGTTCGGTGTAATGCCACGGGTCTTAAAGCATAAATCTCTTGATATGTTGTTGTTCAATGAGGACCAACATGCTTCCAACGTTCCATGCATTAAGTGGAGACCTCCTGGCCCCCAAAATCAGGCATGAAGCTTGGGTGTCTAGTCACATGATCTTCCGCTCCGATGCAAACAATTTTCCGCCCAGGGACGCCGGGGATGATCAATCCCCAGTCAAATTGCCGAGTCATACAAAATGGCCGTCAGGGAATCATCAAGACACCTGGCACGGTCTGTGCCTAGGGCATTTGTGCCCTGCAACCGCACACCGGCATTCCTTGGCCGCCGCAATGCCTCTGACGAGGCTCCAAGCCGGCGTCTGTCGGACCAACTGGACGAGCTCGAGACCGCGTCGTCCTTGAGTGCGACTGTCCCCGAAGATGTCGCAAAGTCCTTCGACCCGGTGGCCCGCTCAAAGGGTCGCAAGTCCCAGCTTCCTCGGTCTCGGTATGTCTCTCAGACATGTACCTTCGTGGCGATGAGTTCAATTTGATGCTGGTGATTTCGAGATCGGCTGCGTCCCAAATACAGTACGCTAATAGAGACCTCGCTTTCTAGCTACCAATTCCGTTCTCCCAAATACGACCGCGGTCCTCTTCACCCTCATCAACCTCCTCCTCCTTCAGATCCCTCCTCCCGTCTCTTTGTTCCTGGACCCTTCTCCCTTCCGCGGGCCCAGCAGACCTATAATGCCACCGTCGCGTCCGACATTCTGACCCTATGTTACGTTCACACACCTCCGGGCTTCAAGGCTCCTGTCAAGGCGCCTCGTCTGCGTGAGTGGGATGAGAGCTCTCCATACCACAAGAACCGACCTCTCCGCGGTCCTCGCGGTGGTGATGTACTCCGCTTGCTCCGCAAACCGATCAAGTTCAACAATATCCCCGAGATCGAGCGAATCACGATCCACAGCTACGTCAAGGGTGCTGCGCAGGAAAACTCAGGCTGGCTGCACGTTGCTGGTATGGCTGTGCAGGCCATTTCCAACGTCCGTGTGGAGACCTCCAAGTCCAGGGCTAGCGTTGCTACATGGAGTATTGCGCCCGGCCGTGACACTGTCGCTGTCAAGGCGGAGATGTACGGCGAGACCATGTATCATTTCCTCAGCAAGCTAGTTGATGTGGTTCTTCCTCGCATCAAGGACTGGCCGGGCGTCAAGGGCAGCAGTGGTGATAGCAGCGGCAATATTACGTTTGGTCTGGAACCAGAACAGGTTGCCTTGTTCCCGGAGATTGAGGTCAACTACGACATGTGAGTTCCATTCCGCGCGGTGCTTTGTTCTCAATACGACACCAGATTCTAAACTGACTCTGCGTTCCGACAGGTACCCTCCCAAGATGATTCCTGGTTGCCACATCACCCTCCACACCACCGGCAAGTCCGACAAGGATGCTCGCCTTCTGCTCAGTGCCATGGGCGTGCCGTTCTACGGAAAGATCGTGCACTAGATTACTGGCACTGAGACATCGTATCTTCTCGAACCTGTAACTTTATGAGTGGCCATCAAACCGGTCACTGCAACTTTCTACCGAACTGTGTACTATCCATTTATTCCTCTTTTTTTTTGATCTCAAGCGGATTTGCTATTAAGGGTACATTTATGTCGCGGAATATCCGCAATCATACTTTGGAGAAATATATTACTCATTTTTAAAAGGATTGAAGTTTGTACAGCTAGATTCTCAAAGAAGTGAGCGCTTGGCGATGGTGAGCAATCGACCGACACCTAGAAGAGACTTTTGTAGTAAAGATTGAGTAGTGTCAATTAAGAATCAGCAGCGCTAAGGTGGTTCAACGGGCAATTATCACATAATACAAGGATGAATCATCAATAGATTCAACGGAATCAATAAAATGATCAGTGTCACCACAACCAACCAGCCTTAAGGAATGGGCGTTGCTAGGAACTGGCACTTTAGTAGTTCGTCCGCAGTGGGTCGCTTTTCGTAGTCAAGTTGGAAGGTCATGTCTAGGAACTCAACAGCCTCGGGGCTAGCATGTTCCGGCGCAGGTGGACGAGCCTGATTGCTCCCAATTGCGAAAATAGCTTGCAATTGGCTACAATCTGGGAACGGATGAGCGCCAATGAACATCTCCACGACGAGACAGCCCAGACTCCAGATATCGGCCTTTTTGGTGTGGGCTGTTTGGCGGACGACTTCGGGAGCCATCCAGTAGACGCTACCTTGTAGTGATGGACGGTGCAAATGGCCGCCTCCGCCGCTGCTAGCCCGAGAGCCCAGGACCGTGGAGGCTTCAACTCGTTTCGAGATGCCAAAATCGGAAATTTTGACGCCACCCTTGTTGTCAACAAGGATGTTTGCGCCCTTGATGTCACGGTGGATGATATCTTGGCTGTGAAGGTAGGAAAGACCTGCCAGGATCTGTCGGACAAAGTTCTTGATAAGCGGCTCCTGGAAGGTGTTGTACTGTTTCAACATGGTGGCGATCGATCCACCCGGCACATATTCCAGGAAAATGTTCAGGAATTGGTCGTCTGTGGAAGTCCCGAGATATTGTACAATATTCGGGTGGTGCATTCCTTGAAGGAGCTCAATCTCATGCTTCAGCGCGGTAACCATGTTATTTTTGCGTTGATCAAACTCTGTGCCCTTGGTTGCTGATGGGATCTCGACCTGCTTGACAGCCATGAGTTCACCAGTGATGGCGTGGAGGGCAAGGAAGACACTGCCGAACGAACCCTCGCCGATAAGCGAACCCTTCATCCAATTCTTGGGAGCGAAATTGTTACCGGCCAGGAAGTCGTCCATGAGAGTTGTGTCGTCTTCCTCGCCGTCTTCGGCAACCAGTACGCTTAATCGCTCGTTAGATGATCCGCCATCTGTAGCGATTACGCTAGAGCTTTCGTCAATCATGCTCTGCCGTGAAAGGTTGGGCTCATCGGAGCCGCTGTCAAACGAAACGAAAGATTTTCGGTTCGGTTCGATGGGGGACTCTTCTTGCAATGGCTGTAGCGAACTTGACGCAATGGAATCTCGATATGAGGCCTGGGGCAGGTTGAACCTGTGTATTGATAAAGGTCGCGAGGCGCGAACTGCCTGTGCTCCTCCATGCGACTGATACCAAGAATCGGCAATGTTGGGCATTGGAGGAATATGAGGCAATGGTGGGAGTGGAGGCGCGTCTTTGAGACTCGACGCAACGCTGTAGTTGCTGACGACACTCAGGCGACTTGCGGCGCGGCTCAGACGTTGTGATCTTCGCATTGTTTTGGCAATGTCCTCTCGATCGTGACTGGGGAAGAACGATTGAAGCTCGTGAATGATCATCTCGCTGGGTGGTCTTTGGCCGAAGAAGGATCTCAGCTTGGTCGCGACATGATTCCGATCGGCATCGTCTATTGTCTGATCTGCGTCATCTGGCGATGTTGCTGGACGATGACGAGGACCCGCTGGAGAGAGCGGCTGCTTGGTATTGATGACATTCCACGACTCGCCAGTCAGCTGCTGGATTTTATTCTTCTGTCGAGGATTCGACTTGTTGAGAGCGTTTTGGTGCGTGACTTGGCTTTCGTCAAATGCAAGCTGCGATGCTCGGCGAAGCTCATCCACATCAGGTTCACCCGCGTGGATCTTGCGCAAGATCAAACGACCACGCTCGGATTTATTGTGACCCTCGCAGATCTCCATGAGCTCCGTCTCCGTCAGACGCCTACAATTCGATAGGTCTGGCTCCAGCCCGTCAAGGACATAAAAGCAGTAGTTTCGGTACTGGTGCTCTGGGAGTTGCAATTTCTTCAGGACACATATTATCACCTCATCAGGTGTTTTGCAGTGTCTGATGTCGAGGACCTTAGTTTGTCCTCCGGTATAGATGACCCGAATCACCGGGGAATTTGGCGGCAGAGGCCCCATCGTTAACCCATCAATACTGGGCTGGCGAGGATGTGCCGCGCTGCGAGCTGCATCACTGGGTATGCTTGGGTTGCGACCAGACGTTGAACTGCCACCCGAGGTTGGTTGATTGGAGTAGGTATCCTTACGCCAGTCACTGAAAGGAGGCGATGCCGACTGCGTCTGCTGCGCCGAGGACTTGCTCAAGTACCCAATTTCATCCTCCATCAGTCGAGACATTCGCCTGTTTTGAAGCCGGACAGAGGAGGCACCCGAGTGGTCCGAGGGAACAGCGGCTGCTTCCAGCGCAGCCAATGTGTCCTGATTCGAGATTGTGTGTCAGACTCTGGTCAAATTCGGCAAGTAACTCTACAGTTTCTGTTTAGTGTACCCACCATGTTCTTTTGTCGCGGGTTGATCACCGCGTGATTTCGCAGCTGCTTGATAGCAACAAAGATGCGGACGCGGTCGCCGACCTTTTTGATCCCCATTTCCTGCAAGATTTTCTGATCGCATTCGATGAGATTGTTCCCATTGAAATTGTTGGCTGTGTCGTGTTAGCTCGTTCTGGCCTGCAGAATCTCTACTACTGAGTCCCAGGCACACTCACCCTTGAAGATCGCCTCATACTGGCCGCACTTGATGCTATGCAGCCATGAAATCACCTGCTTCTCACTCCACTCCCTTGATAGCATCATCAGCACCCTGAACCCTCATCTGGCCGAGCATTGGACATCACAAATATTGTCTTACCGAACCGTTGTCAAGTCGTCCGGCATATCTGACAATTCAGACTTGGTAGGACTGCTGTAGCCGAACCCTTCCGGTGCCTTCGTAGCGGTCGTAGGACGCTGCGAACTGGAATAGAACGAGCTGGCCGAGCTTTGAGCGCCGTGGGCACTGGACGGGCCTAAGGTAGCGTACTGGGGTTTCGACGCCAGCATCATGAGGTCGTGCCCTGCTTGCTTCAGGAGTGTGCCTGGTATTTGCGCCGCGCCCTGGTTGTTCGGGCCGTTTTCGCCTAGGCAAATCGATCACCACCGGCCCCCTTCCTACCACAGGCCGTACGGGTTTTCTCACCCACAGATCGACGATTGAGGGCTGGCCACAAGGATGTCGGCGTCAGGTCAAAGCATAGTCCCAGGGATGTCTACTGTATGAATTGAGTTAGCGACAGTGCCCTGAATCTTGAAGGGATTGTGGTCACGCGGAACACCGGAGGTGGACTTGTAGCGGAGACGTCTGAGAGGGGGCAGGCCGAGTTTCTTTCGCGCCGTGCGGGTTCTTGAATCCAGCCTGACTGTTCCTCGCGACGGATGAGAACTTACTTTCCGATGTTGTGATGTTCGATACTGTGGGATCGGTCTCCAGTACCTTACACACGCTGAGGTTGGAGTGAGAGGGGGGATGCGTCCCGGTGGGCAGCTCCGAGACGGAGGTTTTAAGGCGGAGGAGGGTATCACCGGGGAATGGCACTTGAGGCGGGCCGAGAAAGGGCGATCGCCGGCCAGGTGAGGAGGGGGAACATCAGTGAGTATCAGATTCAGTGGATCAAGGGCAGAGCTCAATCTGGTTGGTACCTGGGTACTCGGCAGTACCTCAGACCCCAGACTCGTAGTGTGGCCCTGCAGGGAACCTGTTTGTACTTAACTTGTACCTGATAAGTCGGTCGTCGGTACTACGGCGGTTCCAAGAGCTCACCATTCCCCACTTGTTTCATCTCTGCTCGTCCAGTTGTCCACCACGGAAGCATATTTCTGATTGTCATCGCTATTTGCGACACTTTGGCACCAGCTTCTGCTGGATTTCTTCTGAAGTCGCTGTTTGAATTATTATACTATATTTCTCTGCTTTTTACCTCTCTTTCGAACCATTCGCTGACCTAGAAGACTGTTCCGGGTAATTGTCACTCCATAGTCCATAATAGTCCATACTGTCCATGCGTTCTCACTTGTTCTCACTTTTCAGGCACAGAGCTTAGTAAAGATGCGGGCGGCTCTTTGGTGTTTCTATAGTGGGCACTGGGCAGTTGGTTCCACCATTTGACCGATTTTGTTGGCTCTGCGGGCACGGATGCTCGCTAGTGGGCAGTCTCCAATTTTGAGTCCGTTCAATTATTGTTTGCCGGAATGAGGAATCTTGTATTGCATGCAAAAAGATCTCTCAACCCACCGATCAATGTGGTACACGCGGTGGGCCCTGAGGCTCCCAGTACCTGATCCCATCACAGTCGTCCATTCGAAGACTGATGTCTCGAACCGTTTGATCCATTCAACTATCCAGTGACTATTGCATTCCAGAGACAGGACAATGTCTAGCTTGAGTCAAATGTCAAAATGCCCGAGCGATGTATAGTGGAGCCATGTTTGCCTTCTACTTCCACATAGTTCGCGTTGGACGGTCTGTGCAGAATCCGAGCCAGCTTGTCACTCCGCATGCAATAGTGCGCATTGATTTCTGGAACCCCTTACGTCTATGACTTCACTTGACAAGCCATCTTTTGCTTGTCGGAGATTGGGGAAATGGCCCTTTCATTCTCACTAAAACGTCGGTCTTTGTCCCATTTACCTAGATTGAGGACTGGAACCGCCTTAGGCAGCATCAGTATTGCTACAGCCTTGCGCCGACATAGCTCGATTGTCATAGGCACCCTTCCCCTGTTGCGACATGAGCGCAGAAGAAGGAGTCGCCTATTATCACATGTTGATCACGCCAAGACAGAAAGCAATTTTCCTCTTGTTCGTCATGTGACAGCTCTGGGATAGATCATTGAGCCTCTAGGTATGTACAGATATCAAGACATCGGACGGACGTGATTGCATCCTTTTCCAAGCTCGATCACATCCTATTGCCCAAGCATGACAGACATGAGCAACACCGAGAGGAGCAGGGTGCTCCAGCTCAGCATGACTGCGTGAGGCCCACCTGAGGCGCAACCATGACTTCCGACGTTGGCATCCAAACACCGGCCCACTTGCTGAAGCTGAGTCTGATTGAAAGTTTTGCAGTATGCAAAGCACTTTTCAGGATAGTTGCGGTTGTAGGTCTCGGGCCAAAGAGTGTACTGGCCGCTCGTGCAGCATTGTGTGAGAGCTTGATAGGGCGTGTTGTTGTTTTTCATGATCTGCTGAGATATCGCGACGCCACACCAGCCAGGTTGGTAGGGCCCTGTGTCTGGAAGGGCGTCTGTGAAGTTGAAACATCTGTCGGCACGGGACATTATGCTTTTGAGAGATCTATGTGTGATGGATCCGGCGATCAAAAAGTTCTCTGCATTTGATATGAATCTGGAAGGGAGAAAAGATCGGGATTGAAATCTGCCTAGGGTCAGCTATCATGTAAAGAGTTGACAATGTCCAGTGAAGATGGACCATTTGCTTATGCAGATTTCAGACTCACTGACTTTGATGAGGAAACGATCTGGTTCCAGCAGAGCTCAAAACCCGCACTGAGTCCACTGACTGGGGAGACCCGACAAAGGAATGAAGTGTAGACTGCGCTCATGCCCTTCATTTCTGGGGGAGATCAGTAGGTTAAATATCTGTGTGCTCAGGGAATAGATTAGCGAGTCTTTTCCCAAATGCATTCTGACAGAGAAACAACCAATATCCGGCGGTCCCTGCCACCGGTCGTTCTTAGTCCTCCGCCCGGGCACTACCGTGGGAGAGACCTTAGGGCAATGCTTGCGACTCCATTGGTATGAGCCAGCAAAGGCTCCCAAGCATCTGGCACCGCTCACTGTGTTACTCTAGTGGTTGCCAGACAACCGGCCTTCATTATTGACGTGCATTGGATGGCGAGGCCCCACGCTTTGCAAAGCGGGCAGATGTGAGAGGTTGAGACAGACGATCGGATCTTAGAGCCAAGTCAGAAGCTCAATGTTGACATCACTAGTAATCACATGAGCGTGAACGGGAACAGGCCCATGAGGTGTATAGTAGTAGTAGTAATACTGGACATCGGGCGTTAACTACATACAGTATAGCGTGTTCGACTTGACAGGGGACTCACAGACGGGCGCAACTTGACTGACTACTATACCTACTAGTACCTAATTTCTAGGCACTACTCTCAGCTCTGTGGCTCTTTTCCGCTTCATGCTAGTTCAACGTCCAATGCCCCTGATCCCGTCTAGTTGGCCCCAAACAACCCGTCCCCACCGAATCCGAGAGTAGTCCGCATTCCGTAATACTCATGATTCGATGATGCCTGAATGGTCGCCCATTTGAAAGAAAAATAACCATTACTTCGAGGCCGGCGTGGGGGCGGTAAATAAAACGGACAACAGGGGGTCCATGCACGCCACTCGCTAAGGGGATCCCATCCTCCGAGTGCCCATTCCCCACGTGCACAGCACAGACGTAGCTCGCTGTGCTAAGGTAAAGACGGACTTCCGGGCTGGAGAAGCCCGTATGCCACTCAAGATAAGAGCGGAACGGTTGAGTAGGTCAAAAAAAATACAGCAGTAGTACTCACTACTCAGGTACTATCATGCTCGTTCAGGTCTCAAAGAGTGAACAGAACCTGTCAGATCCACATCCGAAAGCTTATCGATCCCTTTCTGGAAGTGTGATACTACTGTACTATAGCGTAGCGCAGGATGATAGATAGAGAATTCACATTCAACACCGGTGCTTGAGCTTTTTAAATATCTACCGTATCTTCGAATAGTGGTCATCTGATAAGCGCCCTAAAATCTCACCCAGAGAGAGAAATGTGATTGTCACGAATCAAACCCACACGGCAAGTATGGACACTATAGTGGAAGCTCCACCCTATAAGCTAGGTACCCCCTATATGAATTTTCGAGTCAGTCATCGTTTCTTTCCTTCGTTCTCTTCTCTGCATGACCATGGTATCTTGAATTGTCTGTTGATATATAAGCCAACACGAACGCATCACCCGATTCGCACGAGCGGCCTGATGACGCTTGTCGTTGGCAGTGGCTCATCATGCAGTCAAGAACCAGCTCTTTCATGTCGTCGCTTAGGTCCGTGTACTTGAGGACCAAGGAGTCCCTTCAAACTCCCGATATAGAGCTATGGGGCTTCCATAGCTACAAGCTTGTTGGTGAGGGTCAAGGCAGGGCCGAAACTCGCTGGTACTCGCGGATTGCGAAAAAGACATGGTCCATTATTGGACTGACATTTCTGTTTCTTCTTGCATGTTGGGGAGTCTTCAGATATTCACCCTTGCAGAAAGATCCCTATGAACCATATGACAGGCTTGAAATACGTGCTTGTCATCACCCCGTAGCACAACTTGTTGTGAATGCGCGGAGAGCGTTCAACAGGACACTGGAGCACCAATCTAGCACATTGGAGGAGGCCGTGGCAGAATACCAACGGAGATACCAGATGCCTCCACCTCCTCATTTCGACGAGTGGTATCGCTTTGCCACGGAGCGCTCAACGGTCCTCATCGATGAATTTGATACGATATACCATTCCATTCTGCCATTCTGGGGTCTCTCGCCAAGTGTGATACGGGATCGAGTGCGAGAAGATGTGGGTCCCGTAAACGAGACTTTTGTCATGGGGCTAACTGTGCGAAACGGCACAATCGACACTTTTGGGAAGCATCAAGGTGATTTTCAAGAGCCTGGGACAAGAAAAATCATCGAAAAATTCCAGCAGTGGCTGCCGGCTTTGACTTTACAGTTCAATGCCCATGATGAGCCACGAGTGGTGCTCGCTCATGAGCAGCTCAATCAACTGGTGAAAGAGGGACGCACGGCGCAATCACGACTTCGTGCCAGAGCAACAAGCTTATCAAACACGTTCTCACCCGGGGACTTGGAGAGTCCGTCGCGTCCAGTGCCTGGTCCTTATAGCCGATGGAATAGCTTTGTCCGGCAAGAGACGTGGCTCTTGTCGCGGCTGTCGTGTCCGCCAGAGACGGCGGCAATGAGTTTGGACGGCAACGCTTCGGACAACACGGCTGCATACGCTCTGAATTCATTGGGATTTATCTTCAATCAGTCGGCCGCGAGTGACGTCTGCAACACGCCCTCTCTGAGGCACCGTCTCGGCTTATTCCAACGTCCAAATGCATTCAGTGTGTCCAATGAGCTCACTCCAATGTTTTCAATGTCTCATCCGTCCACATTTCAAGACATTCCTGTTCCGTCTCCATATTATTATGAGGATAAGTCAAAGTTTGATCCGGATACCGCAGTGACCTGGGAGGAGAAGAAGCCTCAGTTGTACTGGCGTGGACGAACCAATGGGGGCCATAGCTTCAAGGGAAGCTGGCGCCAACTCCAGCGCCAGAGGATCGTTGGCAATCTGACCCATCCTCAATCGGCCCGTCATGTCTTGTCTCTCAAGTCGGGCTCGAGATGTACATCTAGACGCAAGGCGCAATGGGAGATTCAGCAAGCGAACGAAACCAGGACACCAGGATATTTCGATATCCACTTTACCGATATCGCGGACTGCGATGATGATTGCGACGAGGAAATGGCATTCTTCAACGACGTGGTCGAACCTGAGCCGCAGGAAAGGGCATGGAATTATCGGTACTTGCTGGATCTCGATGGTCACGCGTACAGTGGGAGATTCTACGCCTTTCTACGCAGCAAGAGTGTCCCCTTCAAGATCACCTCCTTCCGAGAATGGGATCAGAATATCCTGTTTCCCTGGGTTCACTATGTGCCTGTGAATATGGGGGTCCGAGAAGTTCCCGAGCTGATTCGCTTCTTCGAGGAGAATGAGGCTGGCCGGGAAATTGCGAAGACCATAGGTGAAGATGGTCAGACTTGGGCGGCTCGGGCCCTTCGAAAGGATGACATGGAGGTTTACATGTTTCGGCTTCTTCTGGAGTAAGTGTTTTGATCTTGATGCTAACACTTGATTGAAACCCGCCTGCTAATCTCATTCTGTTGATAGGTATGCCCGCGTACAAGATGACAACAGAGAGAGTCTCGGATACGTGTTGCCGAAGCAGTGATTTACCCATATTTTCACGCATAGATTTTTTTATTTGGAAACTTCTCGGAGGCGCATACAAGGTAGTGCAAGTGGATATTGACAATTTTCGTGCCAGCGCAAGGTATATCTTGACGCGTTTGCATATATTTCAGGACCTAAGGTACTTTGACTGAGGAGAACTTTGGTAGTGGCATCGACTGCATATATCTCATTTGATTCCAGACAACCAAGACCTGAATGAAATTTCCACCGGGGATCCTCCGCTTGACTTTTATGCGGCACTTGCGGCACCTGAATTGTCTCCGTCTGTGCACATATCACCTAGTAGTTGACCACCTACATAAGATGGAGGCATACCTACCAAATTCACGTGCTCAGGCCTCGACGGCATGTGGCCGCTAGGGTATACTAACCTCAGATAGGATGCCATTCTCTTGCCCATTAGGTTCGTCCCCTAAGAATCACAGCCTTGAGAGGAAGTAACTTAGTGCTCCGCCGTTGCCCGTGACATACTTAGTCGAAAGCAGGGCCCGGTTGACAGTGGTACAATGACACAAATTCAGAGAGAAACAAATATTTTGCAGATCAGGATATGGAAAGGGAGGTCTCCAATACTCGATTAAAAGAGGTTAATCGATCAGATGGCCCTATACGGCGAAGCTGCCTAAATACAGAGTACCCTTCCCGCCGGGCATAGGTAAACTTGACTCCTTTGGTCGCAATAGCTCACTTTCATGTCACATGTCAAACTGCCATGCCTGTTGAGCTCGAGCTGAGACTATGACGATGCTGCCTTGCTAATAGATAAGCCATACGTGCTATACCAACGTGCCTATTGGGCATTCGAAAGAGCATGGATGGCTAATCGTAAGCCCTGCTGCACTAGCTCGGCGGATACATCATATTTCAACACGGGCGTCGTCCTTAGGTATGGTATACTACTGCTGTACGTCAACCGCCAGGTATACTCTGCAACATGAGCCAATTAAACAGCTATGATGACAATATACTCAACGGTCGAGCACCAAATTTCCTAAACATGACCTCAGCCACCCCTTGACGAGATCTACAACCATGAGCCGCCAAGTCCCCAGTTATCGATTCCTCGAGAAAAAAAAAATCCCCCCACAATTCCCTTTTTTCCCCGCTCGGTTCCTTGACGCCCTCAAATTCTTTCCCCTCTTCTTCCCTCCAAGAGTCCCGCAAACGTTTCCATCGCACGCCTTGCGCTTTCTCTTTCCCCTCACAGCATTGGAATAAAATGGAGGACGAAAAGAGCGCAAAGGTCAAGAAGAAGAGCGCCACACATCGCAAGTCATTGTCCTGTGAATACTGCAGTCGCTCTTTCGCCCGTCTGGAGCATCTCCAACGCCATCTCCGCACCCGTTGAGTAACCCCTCTTCCACCACTCCACGCCTCGTGATTGATCCCATCTAATGTAGGATAACAGATACCAAGGAGAAGCCGTTTTCATGTGACATTTGTTCCAAGTCCTTTGCGCGCAGGTACGTTGATGACGTTCCTTGCCCTCCCTGTCCTCTCAATCACGACCTAGTTTTTCCCTCCCGCCTCCGATCAACCCCACAATGGCTGAGAATTGAACAATTACAGTGATTTGCTGGTACGACATGAGCGATTGGTACATCCTGCAGAAGCGGCAGCAGGTCGCGACCATCGTGCGCAAAATGGTGACAACCAACCTCACGAGGTTCCACTTCAGTCCACAATAATTCAACCTACCCCCCACCACCATGAGTCTCGAATGCTCGAGCTCGCCGATGCCATCCCAGTCCACACCCAAATACCACACCCTTCCACTGAGGTGCAGATACAGCCGCCCTCAATTGTCGAAACAGCTCACTTCAATCCCTCCTGGGGTTATGACTTGAACCTCTTGTCGCATGCAGCTAGCCATGTCGCACTAGAGGGTCAACAGGAGAACCTGGAATCTTTACGAAAGCAATCTCAAGCGGTCGGCGCACCATCTCAATCCCTTCCACAGGCACCAGAGAGGGGTATCACCGACAATTATGGCGTCGAGCCATCCATGCTCGACCTAACAGATCTGGGTGATCCTGTCCAGGACTTCACGGTTTTTCTTGAGAGCGTCGGCTTATCATCGGATTGGGATTCTGGAGTCTTTTCGTCCGTAGAGGACTCCATGCTCCCTCCAGGTTTAACAGTGGACTCAAAGTCACATGGACGAGAAGCTGCGCCGACTTCGTCGTCTAGATTGGGTGTCGATCTGATGAGCGATCCCCGCGGGCCAGCCGACGAACAACCGTCATTTTCCAATTTCGGATCCAGGCTGCCGTCTCTGCAGCCCGAGTCTCATGAGATTGAGGATCGCATTGGTCTCTCTGATGAGGGCTCTCGACCCGCGTGGGACATAAGCAATACCGATCGGCAAATTTTCGTTCAAAAACTGGAAGAGTTTTCCTACGTTCTGCCCAAGGGATTTGTTCCTCCCTCTCGGCACACTCTCTCCCGCTTTTTCGCGGGCTATATCAATGGGCTGAATGAACATCTACCATTCATTCATGTACCAACATTGTCGATCGCTAAATGGTCCCCGGAGCTCACGCTAGCGACCGCCGCTGCTGGGTCGCACTATCGCTTCGAGAATGGCAGAGGCATTGATCTATTTCATGCGGCCAAAGCCATCCTCCTGGAGCGACTTCGCCGGAGGGATAGTCGGCAGGTACCGTATCCATCGTGGAACTACATTTCACCTCCCTCGGGCTTTCCTAATTCACGGGGATCATCCATGCTCTCAAATACCACAAGCAGCCCATTCCAAAACCAGCATATCCAAAACACTCCTATGAACCAATCCATCTATACCCTTGATGATTCGGATGCGCACATGGAAGTGATCCGGACTTTCCTACTACTTACAGTCTTCGCGTCTTGGGAGCGACATCCCGAGTTGTTACGAGAGATCCTTTCGCTGCAGAGTACACTAGCAAGGCTTGTCCGCGAACATGGCTTGTCAGAACCACCTACAACGCCCGATCCCATCAGCTGGGAGGAATGGGTGCGAAGAGAGGGTAGTCGCCGGACAAAACTCATAGTTTACTGCTTTTTTAATCTTCATTCCATCATGTACAACATTCCTCCAATGATTCTGAATGGGGAGCTCAAGCTGCATATGCCAAGCTCACATGATCTTTGGAAGGCCACCAACGCCGCTCAATGGCGGCGTGTCCAACGAATCCGTCAAGGGACCGAGGTTCCTTTCCAAGATGCGTTTGCCCGCCTTTTCCTCAAGTTCTCAAATCCGCCAGCGTCCACCCCAATCTCTCCGTTGGGCAACTACATCCTCATCCATGCCATCATCCAACAGATTTTCTTTGCGCGGCAGCTGTGTCTCTCGGCCCCGAGCATGCACGGGACCAGTCTGCGACAGGAGGATCTCAATGTCCTCGATAATTCATTGAGCGCCTGGAAAGCGCTCTGGAAACGAACACCTGAATCGAGTATTGATCCGCAGAACCCGGCAGGCCCCATTGCGTTCACCTCCACCGCGCTGCTCGGCCTTGCATATATCCGCCTTCATGTCGATCTCGGGCCCTGTCGCCATTTGGTCAGCCAGGACCCTCAGCAGATTGCCCATGCTCTGAATGAGTCTCCGCCACTCGTTCGCCACCCTCGGCTCATCATGGCTTTGTTGCATTCGGCCCACGCTCTTTCAATCCCGGTTCGCCTCGGCATAGACTTTGTTGCGCGAACGCACTCGTTCTTCTGGAGCATACAGCACTCACTCTGTAGCCTGGAATGCGCCTTCCTTCTCAGCCGCTGGTTGCTCGCCATTCCTCTAACGCAGTCCGAGCAGCGGCTCTCCGAACATGAACGGAAACTTTTACTCTGGATCAAGAGCATGATGGATGAGACAGAGATGGCTGTAGATCCCCCCGGGGCGCCAGATCTGGACTTTATGGCCAATCCTTACAAAGTGCGACAACTGAGCGTCGCAATTGTACGCGTCTGGGCTCGGACATTCAAGGGCAACACCAGTTGGGCCGTGGTGGATCTGGTGGGCTCTAGCCTGGATGCATATGCAGATCTCCTTGAGGGTTGGCCTGCATCGTAAGATGAGGCAAGTCGAGGGTAAACGTGCGTTGATGGCGAGCAGTCATGTCCTTTGTCTTTCGACACATCGCACTGGGGTTCCACGATCATGGTCATTAAAGCCGGCCGATTCATACCTGCCTTCTCTGTCTAATTTTGATTTGATGATGACGTGATATGACATCCATGGAGTTTTATTTTGGGTTGCAATGCTTGGGAAAATAAATGACGATCGGTTGCTACTATGGATATTATGGAGGATTTGCTTACTTTCTCATTCCAGATTTTGACTCCAACGCCTCTTGTTTTTTGTGTTTTTTGTGTTCCCTTTTCCCTGTTTCGCTGTTGGCTTCCACTGTGACGGTCTGATCTCTTTCCTCATTTATACCCTTCAATGTTTGCATTTTGACGTTTTCGAGAAGGCACCTGTTGGTGAACGTCTCACCTTACATCTGGTGACTAAGTTACCGATGATTTTGTGTTTATGACCATGGATACCTAGTAGGATCCGAGATCACGGTTCCAAATATTGAGTTTGGTGTCTGGCGTATCAAAAGGGAAGAGCCTATGGTATAGGAAGCGGCCAGCGAGGCGCTTCTTACATCTTTTAACCCGCGTCAGCTTGCAATAATTTGATGTGCTAAAAGTCGATATGCATTTACTTCTTTCATGCATAAGAAATTAGTCAGACCACCCATCTAATGCAATGTACGCACCCGGTGCTATGAATCCGAAGTACACAGCTACGCCGTGCATCACCCCTTCTTCGATGCCTGGGCCTGGCCCCTATTCCTCGTCACACTCGCAGGCACAAACCGAAGTGCAGACATAGATCGCGTGAGACCATCAAGCTCCATATCAATGGAGCGATCTTCAGCCACCCGGGGTCCAGGCCGTATCTCCATCCTCTTCGGACTAGTCGGGCTGGCCGGGCTGGTCACGTTTGTCGGATTCGCGGCTTGACTGACGGAACTGCGGCGTCGCAACCGCCCTTCTTGGATAGACGAGATGGAGGCGGATGAGATCCGACGCCGGTGGCTTTTGTTCAGCGGCCGGAGGAGCGAGGTCTGTTTGTCGATGCCGTCATTGATTATGTAGAAATTGTAAGTCTGTGAGAGTCGTGAAGAGAGAAGAGGTTAGACATGTTAGCAGCTGACATCTCTCGGGGACGCGTCGGTCTTGCTGGGAAGACGAGGTACGTGGGAAAATTGAAACATCTCAGATGGGTGGAGGTCTGCAAGGGCGAAGCATACTCGAGGAAACATATGCTTGTCTACCAAATGAAGCCGCCGTTTGTGGGGTGATGAACATTGCCGTTCGCAGTCCTCGATGAAGCAGCGGTACTGTACAAGTACCATTGTTTATATTAGCAACCTTGCCACGAGGAACAATACTAAGATGGCAGACGCTTCGGCAATTGCAATTGCAATTGCAATTAGACAGGCTGAACTCAGCATCTTCCACCTCGCAGATCTTACCGTCTTCTCGCCTCGAGCCCGTCTCGCCGCTGCCAACGGATCATGATTCTCCTCAATATGGAGATTTAAGAAATGCGCTGTTGGAAAATTCTTGCTGCATTGCGAACACCGATTGACATGAGTCTGCTGATAATGCACTTCGTAGTCTTCGTATGAGGCAAACGAGACAGTCTCTCGATGCGGTGGTAACGTGCAGTGCATGACCTCCACGAATGGAACGGTGTCGCGGTGAAGCAGTTTGCTGCGGTCCGAAGGCAGCTTCGTCTCGCTGGTCGTTGACGACAGTGACGGTGAGCTTGTGAGAGAGTCGAGAGGGAAGGCAGAATCTTGAGGAGCGCTGGGTGAATGTGAGCGCTTGGCCATTGTGATGGGCTTCTTCAATTGATCGCTCTTTTATCTGCTTTGAATTCTTTTTTTTCCCCCTCTGCTGGTCCTGCGATCTGAGCGTCCTGTTGCATGAGAGGGGAAAGTGCAGCAGCCTCCAGTCGATGTCGGGAGTGGTGGATTGTGACTGATCGGACTGCAGCGGGGATGGTGGTGCAGAATTGGATGAGGTCACAGCCAGAGAGAAATCTGGTCGAGGTCAGAGACAATCAGTGAGGATCAGTGAAGACGACAATACTAGTATCCATCTGACTTATCACGAGGATGATAGGACCAAGCAGTTAGTGCCTCAGGTAGAAGTAGTACTGCAGTGGTCAGTCGAGGCGATGAGGGTTGAGTCCAAAGGGGTCCTCCGTTGGGCAAATGGGTCACTGGGGACTCACGGAGTACTTCGTAAATGCCGGTAGACCTCACTCTGAAACTTGTACTTCGACAGTCTCGCAGAGGGCCCGTCCGGTCACTCTGGTTCTATTACTAGTACACTCGGAACCTTTTAGTAGTACTTTAGTACTTTACCTGGTAAGCTGGTCCAGGTAGTGACTAGTACCTCCTACTATAGGCTGGTCGCTATGTCGCTGAAATGATCGCAACCTTTTGAATATATTTCCAGCTTCCTCTTGTCAAAGACATTCCATTTTGGACAAATTCAAAAGATCATTTCTACGATTGACCCCATCGGTCTCGGTCTGATCATCTCTCCAAGCTCCATACAAAATAAGAAAGATACACCTCCGTAGCCAAGCAACCAACCACATCCGAGCCGACAGGCATTCCCTCGACCCGCCCAATCCGAACTGACTCTCCACGCTTTTTTGGGGGGGGGGGAAACCTCAGCGCGGCTATCGCTTTCTCATTCGCGCTCATCCACCTCCCAGCTGCCCTGCCTGACCCCCCCCCCCCCCCGGATCCGCCTGCAGAGGGGTCTTGATCTGATGGCTTGTCTACTGCTGCATTCACCCGCAGTCTTCCTCCTTCCAGCCACAGCTATCTGACCGGGCGAGGTTGACGGTGGGGTGATCAGTTCGCTCGCGCCCACTCGAGCATGGCGTCTCTGTTCAAAAATGCGTGGCGGTCAGTCTCTCTATCCCTCCATCCTCAGTCTGAGTGAGATCCCTCGATCGGTAAAACTCTTTGCGCACTTGCATCTACCTTATTCATGCGGCGAGACGGCCACGGATGCTGATCAAGGCACAACTGACCTGTTTTTATTCAGGACTGCGACAAATGCCGAGCAGGAGCTGTTGCGCCGCCTAGCGGAGAAAGAGCCGACCTTCGCCGAAATCTCTCAACTTCTCTCCGAGTAAGTCTATCTTTCGGGATCGGCAGTCTCATTTGAATTGCTTCGGTCACGGCGCATAGGCCAGGTGTGATGATCTCGTCATTCTAACTGCAACTGCTCGTGTGCTTCCCAATTCCAGATTCCGCACCGCTTGCCAAAATGCGATCCTGTCTGATTTTGACACCGCTCGTACACTCGACGTAGAGGGACGCCTCTGGGAGGCACATCTCAAACTCAACAATCGTTTCCGAAAGCTCCTCGCTCGTGTGAGTGGATCGTCAACCCAGAGATATGCGTGCGCGGGGGGGGCTGCGGGATGTCAGGAGCTAACTTGAGCGCACGCGCACTGACCAGTATCGAGAGGAGACGACGAAGAAAAGACCCGTCGAGAAGCGCAAATTGGAAAAGCACTATTTGGACTTTATCAAGTCAAGCCAACGTTTCTACCGCGGCTACATCCAGCACCTTTCTTCGCAATTCGGTGGAATTGTGGAATTGGAGAAGGTCGCGCACAAGTTCAACTTTGAGAGTGCGCATCAATCCATCGCCTTCGGCTTGCTCGACCGCAGATTGCTAATTCAGGCCCTCGGCCGTTTTTCTAGGCTTGTCCAGTATCTCTCCTACTACCATTACCCCCGAACTACGTCTGCGCATCCTCCAGTCATGTCACGCAACCCTGATCCGGCTGGGTGATCTGTCCCGGTACCGTGAAACCGAACTTGCCAGCCACAAGCGCAATTGGGGCCCCGCGATCGGATACTATGACTTGGCCTCGGTGATCTACCCAGCGTCAGGCGCATCCCACAATCAGCTGGCCGTGATTGCGCTCGCCGATGGGAACCATTTTCGAGCCACATACCACCTCTACCGCGCCTTGTCCGCCCACAACCCACATCCGTCGGCCAAGGGGAACTTGGAGATTGAGTTCAAAAAGATCATGAACGCATGGGCTAAGCGCGAGCTCATCAAGCCTGAGGATCAAGGCGTCCCTGGAAAAGCACTCGCGCCATGGTTCGTCTACCTCCATGCTCAATGCTACAGAGGTCTTGACTTCCCAGAACATGAGGAGCTTGAAAGTGAGGTGATGAGCCAGTTGGCAGTGGATGTGAGGGAACGCTCGCATGAAGGGACGCTCCAGAAATTTTGCCTGGTCAACATTGCCGCAGAAGAGTTTGCTCGAGCTCGATCCACCGAGGAGTCTGTATCACATGCTCGAATGTTCTTCCAGCGCATCAATGTGAAGACCTTCTTCACTCTGCTTCAGATTCTTCTGGTCGAGCTTGAACGCTTTGCGGGTGACGAATCCATCAACAGTAGCCAGGCCTCGAAGAACGGTCCAGACAAGGTCACCGTTGTCGCTCGGCGGATTCTGCCTGCTTTGCGCCATTACAGCTCTTGGCTCCTTGTCACTAGTGATTACCTGCTCTCTTCCAAGGAAGAACAGGACTCGTCCCTGGCCATTCAGATTCAGGAATTCTGGAAAATTTATGCAGGTACCCTGACACTTTTGGCATCAACATTTGATGTCGTCCACCTGCCCGAGGTGGATTACTTGCTGGAGGAAGATGAGGAAAGCCTAGGCTTTGCGCCTTTGGACCAGCCCGCAACTTCTCGGCGTTACGTCGGTCAAGGCGATTGTCTAAAACCGAGGATGAATGACCCCGGAGTGGAAAGAAGCCACCCCAATATTGAAATGCTGTATCGCATTCGAGAATTTGTGATCGACGGCTTGGATCTGGTCGTGAGAAGTGTAGGTCGCCTTGACTTTCTGAGACTCTTTTGAGAGGATTCATTTGAGCTAACCACAGGTTGCAGAGAATTCCCGTCACGCTGGTCGATGAGGAGGACAAGAAAACATTCATCTATCAAGAAGATGGACTGCCTTCTCAGTTCTTCTCCAGTCCCTTGGCTCATCCGGCTCCTTTGATCGCACCGGCCGTGGAACGAGAAGATATTCCCCCAGCGGGCCAGAACCCCGTCACTGGTGGCGAGACGCGCAGCACGTATGGTGACGCTCAATCCGTCTCTGCTTCTGCTTGTGCTTCAATGTCGGTCAACATGCACCGTATTGCCGAGGATGTCGATCGCCTGGTCGAGTCTGACACCTATGAGAATGCTCCCAACGTTCCGGATCAATTTGCTTTCCTTCGAGATTCTGCACGCATTCCCGCCCCTTCTGCCCGCCCGCCCGCAAATCTCGACGCCTTCAACTTCAACAATGAAATGAGGGCCCAGCAGCTGAGTACACCACTGCTCCCTCCCGGTCTGGGCGCTCCCAGTGTTCAGATGTCCGAGGCTCTACGCACCTCGACTGGCCAGTCTTACAATCCTCTTCCAACGCTCCCGAGCATTCCCAGTATCTGGAACACCTCAACTTCCACGCCGCTCCGCGATGATGCTACTTCGTCACGCACGCCACCGGGGCTTGGGTCACCTGCTCCGGCGCATTCACCAAACGCCTTAGACGCCAATCGAGTCAGATCTCCGGTCGCAGATCAAGCTGCAAATGATCTCCTTAGGCACAGTCTGATGGCACAGTCCCAGCTTCCCAGCTCTCAAGAGGTGTCGAGCTCCATGCCATCGTGGCTTCAATTTACCAACTCTCAAGCTAGCAATCAATGGCCTGCGGATCCCCGCCGCTTCTCCTACGCGCCGGATCAATCAGTCTCAGGCGGGTTTCCCACCCAGTCCTGGCCAAATGAAGCCTTCATCGCAAGCAGCTTGGCACCGGGCGCGGGTCCATTCGCTTCGGGATTCAACAATCACCGCAAGTCCGCTACACAGTTGGGCGCCATCGGCCAAACCCCGCCCTGTGGACAAGGAGGTTGATATCTGCCAAGAAGTGATTTGAACATCAGTAATCGAATCCCCACCTCCTCAGAGTCGGTATTGTTGCTACTTGCGAGTTGGGCAAAGTCACGCTTATCCATGAGGGCCCTCACTCAATTTCCCTGGCTGTCCCCATTCCAGCGAAGGTATAACCTTGTATCTAGGCGGAACTTTCAAGGGGTGCAAGTGAGAAGCAGTCAACCTTTTTCAGGCAGTTCGACTTGGGGAGCGTGATGTGTCTTATTCTCCGCTGATTCCGCATATGATCGACCACGATCCGTCTCACCCAATGTGTCCTCTGCTTCGAGAAAAGAGACCTGGTTCAGCGTTGACCTGCATGACTGCTCCCTCTCAGAGACCCTTATTTGCCGCCTTGGTCCGTCTGCATACAACATACCGGCGATTATCATTTGCTAGGCGACTGCGCGTTCAACACGTTTCGAATCCAGGCCGTCGCTTTGTGACCATCAAGACTAGCTTCATTTCGCTTGAGTGGTCGGCACTTCAGGTCGGTCGCAGCGCTCGTCTGTTGCTTTTTCGCGCTCGCGCTGTCATTGTCTTTTTCTTGTTTTTTTTTTAAAAAAATTCTCGTGCTCTTCCAGTAGCCTTTGAGTGCGTCAGAAGTCGATATCAAATGAGTACATCAAGTCTTCTTGCGTGCTGTCATTCCTTTATCCCGAGCTTCGCTGTTGTAATTGGTTGCGCCTAAATGTGAATAGAGTTTCGTAAATCCTAGATACTCTTCGATCATTCAAACCTGAACCTAGGCACGATAAGTCCATCACCTGGCAACAGTACCTATACTTATCTCGGTTCAAAGAATCCGAATTCCGATCCACGCTACTGCACTTTCTCCATTCTTTCCACTTTGAAAATTTCGTAATCTGCTTTGATGATTCGTATGACGCATACAATATTTGGATCGCACTGAGTACGTGTGTTGTGGATCAAAGCTTTATTCTGGTTTATATAGTCATAACAGTCGTTGTTGAAAACGCGCCTTTCACTGCCACACGACAGGTGGCCGCGCCATGTCAGGATGTGCAAGCTTGTCATGGTGGAACAGGACAAGCAACGGTGTGTAAAATAGAAATGATCAAGCACAGCCAGACAAGACCTTTATAATAGACCCCGCTGACGAGACCACTTGACACGAACCATGTCGGATTTCATGATCTTCCGAAAGATAATATGATATTTGATAGGAAAAATGTTTTGGGTATAGAAGGTTGAATCATCCAAAGGGGTTGTGCGGTGCATCTTTCGTTAGTATATACGATACACCGAGATTTCTGCTAGAAATCTGTGTTGAAGAGTAGAGGCTTAGGGTTCATGATGCGTCACCTTCTCAGTGCATTTAAGAGCTGGAGTAGGTTTGCTTGGGGGAAGGGTAACTAAATGGAGAAGGTTAGGGCTCATCCCATGGAGTGTGGTTGGAGACGACATGTTGAGAACTTACGAAGGTCCAAGCTCCTGAATACCCTTGCTGGCGAGCCACTGGCCCATGTCGATGCTGACCTCGAGAGACTTGCCAGAAACAACACCGGCGCAGAAGCCACCGGCGAAGGCGTCACTATTAAAAAGAAGAGTCCAAGTCAGAACAGCTCACCGAAAAGTAGGATCGTGCCTGCAACTTACCCAGCACCATTGGTATCAACGATGGCGTCCTTGGAGATCTCGTGGACCTTGAACTCCTTGACCTCGACATTGCCATCGGCGGAGGCAATACCCACAACGGTGGGCAGAGTACCCTGGGTGACAATGGCAACACGAGGGCGCTGAGTGTTCTTCTTGGGCAGGAGAGCGAGCTTCTTGGCGATCTCGACAACGTCCTCGGTACCCCACTCGTGGCTGGCGGAATAGGCGCGAGCTTCGTCCTCGTTGCAGAATGTATAGTCGGTGTAGGGCAGGACACTGTCCAGCTGCTCCTTGAAGAATTGAGGAATGAAGGGGGCAGAGAGAGACAGCATGAAGACCTGTATGAAATGGGGTTGTTAGCTCACAGATGCCGGGGTGTTCCATCGAGGTTGAGGAGCTCATTCACCTTGTTCTTTGCGGCAGCCTCCTCACCCAGAGCCTGAATGGCAGGGACGCAAACAGTCAAGTGGTATCCACCGACATAGTAGAACTGGGCCTTCTCAACAAGAGACCAGACCTGAGGTTGCTTCAAGTGCTCAATCTTGTACTCGTTGGCGGCAGCAAGGTGGGTGCACATGCTACGGTTATGGCCGGTGATAACGACACCGCACTTGCCGGTGGGCTGGGTCTCATCGACCCGGTACTCGGTGTGGACTCCAGCCTCCTCGCAGGTCTTCTTCAGAATTTCTCCGTACTTGTCCTTGCCAATGCAGCCAATGTAAACAACTGATTCCTCGGGAAGCATGTACTACTCATTTAAGTCAGCCATTGGATTTCAATGATCTAGTTCTGCGGGAAACTGGAGCACTAACCTGGGCGCCACGGGCAGTGTTTTGAGCAGCACCACCGGGGATGAGCTTGGCATCTCGAGAAAGAAGGTCCTCGTAGATGCCCATGTGCTTCTCCTCGGCGAGAATGGCATCATTGGCCTTCAGGCCATACTTCTCAAGGAGAGCGTCATCACTATACACGAATTGGTTAGATCGGGAACCAGATTTACGACCTGGAGGAGGTCTTTCCGTACCCTTTGGCCTGGATGTCTAGTGGGGTATTAGCACTCAGAATTACTCAAACAGAACGATGATCGATGAGACGGCAACCAGTGAACACTTACCAAGAAGAGGGTTCTCCAAGCACAACAAAGCGTATCCCTTAGTAGCGGCCATTTTAGCAAATTATTTCAAATGAAATTGCAATGATGAATCGTAGGAGAAGGAAACTGAATTGTACACCGATGGGGTAGAATGGTGGGGTTCGGCAGAAACAAAGGCGGAAAGCCTCGATAGCCCAGACGGAGATCAGACATCACGAGCGTCAACCCATAGCTTCACGCGTCCGAACAGACCAAAAACTAGCTTCAACGTCAGATCCTGATCGGATTAAACTTGCTATCCGAGAATTCCTTTCACTGCATGAACAAATACACATATCGTCATGACAGAACCAATACTAGAGGTCGCCGAGACCATCCAGACTGCGTCGATAGTGGAGAATCCATCTGCGGCCCATGATGTGAACCCTTCTACCGCAGCTTCGGAGAAGAAGCCAGTTGTTGCAGCTCCAGACTCTGATGCTGGTAGTTTGGCATCGGACATTGTTGACCCTAGTCGGGTGATTCGACCTCTCCGTCGCCGCCCAACGTTACCTCCTCTACCAGACTTGCGATTCGAACAAAGCTATCTCGCAAGTATCAAAGACGCCGACACATGGGGACGAGTAACATGGATCACTGTTAGGGATCAGGTACGACTACTCAAGTTCGGCGCTGAGCTTGTTGGAAAAAGAAAGATACGCAATGATACTACATCAAAAAAAACCATCAAGCTGATAACATTCTCACTCTTAATAGGTGCTTCTTCCTCTAATTCAGGGCACTCTCTGGACCCTGGCGCTATCTGGCTGGCGATTCTGGAATCGCAATGCCTCCTTAAGTGGACATACACTTGGTAGTAGAATCCGCCGATGGTGGTACGAAGTCAACAATTGGAAAGTGCCTCCAGTCGGCTGGACAAAGGATCCGAAGCTGGCCTCGCAAGCTGAGAATGTGAGCGCCACCTTGTAATAACCAAATAACCGCCCTCCGACCCGTGTGACTGATGGTCCAGGAGTTTTTACAGTTTTATGATGCCGAGTTCTCCACTGCTGGGTCTGCTTGATTTGATTAGCTTCATATAGCAGACTGCCCGGCCTTGCGAGAGTGAGTCTTGTGCGACCGGCCGATTTTATTCTCTTACAAGCATGTTTGGCGTTGGATTTGGGCGTTTCACCATTAGGCTTTCTACTCTTCAATTTCCAGAATTTGAGCCGTTCACCACCTTGATCAAGATGAGACTACTGGCTGAACATGGCATGGCATTTGGGAGTTCTTATTAATGTCATCAAGTATAGGTAGACTTTACTCTTGAACTCGCAATGTCCTCAATCATGTCCACTTCTGTACTGGCATCTATACAAGGCAAATGACAGCGAGGCACTGGAGATACACGCCTTCAATCTGTACGTTGACCGAGTAAAGGGCAAATACAATCGTGATTATTCACATTTCAAGCGACCGGGTAGTTTCCGGTATTTCAGGTGGATGGCGGAACTTCAATGTCAGCTGGCTTTGGGCGACGCTCGTCCTGAGGCCTTGTCTGGGTCTCTGTTGGACCTTTCACTTGGGTGACTGAGCTTGACGCCTGGGGATTATCCTGCGAAGCATTCAGCAGGGCAGACATCGGCATCCCGTTCGTTTTTGGGGCTTCAGGCTGCGACGCCGATGAAGTCTCTCCTTGGCTCGGTGTCGCCACTCCCGGAGCCACTGTAGATCTTGAATCGGCAGCCAGGGGTGCTGTGCCGATGGCGGTCGTAGGTGTTGAAGGGACCATTGAAAGAGGCTGTGAAGGGGGAGGAGGCTCATCGGAACCTTGGGATACCTCAAATGCGCCTGGTTTGCTGTATCGGAGATGAACCATCAAGCTTCGAGGCTCTCCGTTGATCACGGATTCATCTCCACTCACGTCCTCGCCCTCTTCTTCATCACCTTCCAAGTCATTCTCGTCTTCATCTCCTCCGTCCCACTCATTGCCGCTCTCATCAGACTTGGCCTCCGACTCGCCATCCAAATCGTCCAGGTCGTAGCCAGAATAGCCGTTCGAACGAGACGACATACGATTCCGTTGCGGTCTCTCTGTTTCGTCCTCTTCATTTTCGGAGTCCTCTCGCTGTCCACTCAGAAGCGACTCTCCATAGGCGCCGCCAGCTCGGGACCTAACTTGTCGCCCGCTTGCCGTGAACTGAGGGCGCGCTGGTTCGCTTGAAGACAGTGCAGAGGAATTTCGGGCGGATCGTCTGGTCGGCTGTTCATCGGAGAAGATATCTTCATCGTCGTCATATGTGTACTTAAGCTTTTTGCCGCGAGTGCGGCCTTCGTATAAGGAGAAACCTAGCTCCGGGCGTGCAAAAGCAGCCTTCCTTGCAAGCCGGTAGTCCCGACGCCTGCGTTTCTGTGCAGTGATCAAAATATGGTCAGCCAATGGTTCGGCGTGTGAATCCGTGTGCATCGGGCGACTTACCTCTTCAGACGCCTCAAAGCGAGGAATGGCAGCCTGGATTCGCTCACTAAGCTTCTTGGAATGAACGCTTTTCTCTTCTTGTAATCTATCGGCAATGGCCAGCATCTCCGGAATGTCGCCAGCAACACTCCACCAGGTCACGTTCTTCAGAGATGGGTTGCTTTCGCGGTAGAGTCGGAAGTGGGTATCATCCTGACCCTCGATGAGCCAGTACCGGCGTTTAAGGCTATCTCTGCCCCAAGGTTGGACTGAAAGTGGTTGGTTCAGATCGTCATCATGGCGCGCCTGTTTGTACGATTCCTTTATCTTGGCTTGAATCGCATCGGACGAAGCAAGCGACCATAGGATCAGCGCTCGTAGGAGTTCGAGCTGCAGTGGAGATTGTGACGTTAGGCGTCAATGGACGGGGTAAAAATTAAATAGAGAAGCCGTAAGCGTACCCGTTCTTCAGGCGACATTGTCGCAAAGGAGCGGCCACCGTGAAGTGGATTCTTCCTTTCCCAGGTCTTGGGCCATTGCGACTGATGTGTGTGTATGGCCTCCTCTAAAGGCCTCGTGTAGTGGTTTCGTCTGAATCGCCAAAATTCCATCGTCAGCGCAATGCTACTTGGTGAAGGCGCGGCCACGAACGCGCTAAGCGCGCCGGGTTGGCCAGGGAATTGAGTGGCGATCATACTCAACGTCCTTTTTCCGGTTCAGAACAAGTCCCAGTAAGGCGCACAGAAGCCGCTCAATCCATTCGCCAGGTACCAGACCTTCAACTCCCTTCTCAATGTCCTGTGGACCAAAGTGTGGAAGGCTTCGCGGAAAGGCCTCGTGAAAACGCGCGCGGAACGTGACGATAAACTACATTTTGCACCAGGTCAGCATACAAGCCTCGAGAGATGAATGACGCGGCACTCAGAGTAGAAATACTTCGCGTTCATAGAAAAGATCTTCTAGCTTTGCATCACTCACCGCAATGGTAGGATTATCTGCCAAGATGTAATCATGCGGCGGCGATGGCTCTCGTTTTGGCGGCGGAGTCTCGGACTCCTTCCTGAAGTATTTCGCGATACCGACAGGCTCGTCGAGGGCAATGGCGGTCTCATCATCCGTAGGAGGCGCCGATGATAGCGACGAGAGGTCGGAGTCCGATGTTGCCATGTTGGATGTTATGGGGGTAGATGCCAATGGCAAGTCCAGAGCGATGGAGCCCGCGCAAGGAAGCGTCACGTCGGCAATCGCGCCGGCGGCCGCAGTTCCATTGCTTTGAAAAAGAAAGGTAATTGCCATACAGCAACAATAAGGCAGACAGATCGGCAGGATCACCAGTTGCAGTAACAACAACCTAATGTCACCCCATGACTGCTGCCTGAATAGTCGAGTAGCGGCTCGATCGTCCGAGTCTTTCGTATCTGTAGTGCTGTAGACTCGTACAGTCACCATAACGTATAATCTGTCCATAGCCGTGCGTCTCAACAACGCCCGGTTAGCGGGTATCTTATTTAAGAGGCTTTGACTAGAGCAATACTTCATTTGGGAGTTTGTTTAACGTACATTATGGAGAATTTCAATTAACAAGATACCTCTTATACTTCATGGATACACTTAGTGTAATTGGAGGTTGTTGTATACGAAAATTCACGGAGTATCAAGGGCTACGGGCTCGAAAATCCGAGTACCCGAGGCTCGGGGCTCATAGTAGTACCGTCTGTTGCGCGGAGTTACCGAAGAGAGTAAAGCTTTCAATGAGGAGAGAGAGGAGGAACAAGAGACGTAGCAGAGAACATCAACGTAGTAGGGACGCTTTGTGTCTTGACTCTAAATCCCACTTCTTTCTGCGCGTGGAACTTCCTCAAGGCCTCCCTCGATCCGTGTTTACACTCCTCCTTCGCAGTCGGCTACTTTAATTGTGGTCGTCACCTCGCGGGGAAGGCAACAAAGGCAAGTATCACCGCGGATAGATCCTGATATCGTCTAATTACTATTCACCTAAGAAGCCCTGTCCATCTTTTACATAGAATAGGGAAGCATCCGTCTAGGATGATTAATCTGGGAAGAGGTCCATTTTTGGTAGTATAGTCCTAGAAGAAGATGATTTAGGATAGTACTTAACTAGATGGTTTCTTCTACTCGCGTTCAGTACAGTTTGCAGTTGAAGCCGTAAGCCTCCTTGTTACGCTCCCCTAGATCCGTAGTAAATAGACCTTCTGGGCCCGGCGCGAGTATCAGAGAGTCATCAGTTATAACGTGCTGTTCGTTCTTGACTCAGGCTCGCATGTGAGAAGCATTGAAAGGATCACACAGCAACAGGTAAAGGCGGCCGATTGAAACACTTGGGAACGAAGATAAGGTTCTCAAGACTGATAACAGGCCGTGCTTAGAAGGCGGACATAATACATACAATTTTGCGATATCATGAGGAAAGATTTGAGAACGGTGTTTGAAAAGTACCATCAGAACTTCGGTCTGAAAAGACGATCCAACAAGAGCCGTAAGTTTTCTAAGGTATGTAGCCTACCTACCTACTGAACCTAGACTCATGGATCATGCTCCCGAGGACTGCAGCTACAGTGAAGTAAATACTGCAGTGTCTTGGCCTTAAAGCTTGCTGTATGACTGTATCAAGTACAAACAATCATTCCCAGATGCACTTATTGGCCGCAGTAATGAAGTACTGTAGTAAGCTACGCAGAGCAACCAGTGTATCCTGCAATCGTGTAAACGCGCCCTATTCAGCAAGATGATGTTTCAATGTTCTGCAACTCATTCGATTATATCTGCCGGATCGTCATTGCTTGATTGTATTTTTAGAAATCCAAGCGATGGAGAACTTTCGGGTCGTATCACACAGCAAGGCCTCGTAGTGTGATGGGCCGTGGTAGCATGTCTTCAGATCTTCATGGCAGCTCAGCCTGTAGTCACGAGTGACTAGGGCCTTCGTGGACACGAGGTCATGGATCTTTCGGAAATCCTCTGGCTTGAGATAAGGACTAACTTATTACATATGTTGACTTCGTAGTCGACATATGATTTCTGAAAATCAGGCAAATAACTGAGGTCTAGAATTCGAGTTTAATTCTAAATAGCTACGATGCGAGGTTGGGGCCTTGGACATTGCACGATGGAGAGTAATGCCCAAGTTCTGATATCCCGAAACGTGAAATCAGCTTCGGCACTCGAGATGAAATCATGAGAACCAAAAACAAAAAGAGTGTCTTCAAACATCAAAGCCAAAATCCATCAAGGACGAGTGAGTGCAAAACCAGGCGTTCGCATATTATAGAAATATCTAGCTGCTAGTCGATTGAAGGCTTCTGGTCAGATGCGTTGACTTTACACCATCAACAAGCATGATGTAGTTCAACCATAAGTGGATATGAATCACAACGAAACTCGAGGACTCTGGCCCTGTCGAGGCTAAGACTGTACTTGACTGGCGTCAGGGCTACTGATATCGTCACGTGACACAATGAGCCGCCTCCATCTCTTGTTGCGTCAATAAGATTCATCAACAAGGAGAATTCAAATAAGCCTCCTGATATGACAGCGATCCGATTATCTCCTGTAGAATGATCAAGACTTCTCAGCGGGAAATATCCCTTCAATTTGTGCTTGTGGTTTCGCTTGCTGGTAGGCTTGAAAGTCCTCAAGTTGGCTAACGGGCGGCAGCCCAGCCGGGGTCATGTGATTATCTAATCAATGGTTGCGCTAACGCTGATTCGGTTAGGTTAGCGACCGCACCCTAAAGCCCACACAGTCCCATTCCCCGAGCATTTCTCAATCTCCTCAACGACAAGTCCCATCTTCAATTCGAGGTACGACACTTCCCCTTCCCACTCGACTCAGTCTTTGCCGGCAATCGACTGGACCTGTCACTTCGCAAAAACTAACACAGGTCATCAATTAGACAGTCGCCATGGGTCGCGTTATCCGCAACCAGAGGAAGGGCCGTGGCTCCATTTTCAGTGAGTGCGATCGCATCAAAAATTCCAATCCCAGCCCGATCATCTGCGTCAGCGCGACAAACGACAGCAACGAGGACAGAGCATGAGATTGCGATATCGAGGACACCCATTCGAATTCCAAAGACATTGAAATGCTGATACAATTTTTTTCCCTTTCTCTATAGCGGCCAACACCCGTCTCAACAAGGCTCCCGCCCAGTTCCGTACTCTTGACTACTCTGAGCGTCATGGATACATTCGCGGTGTTGTGAAGGAGATCATCCACGATGCTGGCCGTGGTGCTCCCCTCGCCAAGGTCCAATTCCGTCACCCCTACAAGTTCAAGATGATCAACGAGACCTTCATCGCCAACGAGGGCATGTACACCGGTCAGTTCATCTACGCCGGAAAGAACGCTGGCCTGACCGTCGGCAACGTCCTCCCTCTCGCCTCCATGCCCGAGGGTACCGTCATCTCCAACGTCGAGGAGAAGGCTGGTGACCGTGGTGCGCTTGGCCGTACCTCCGGTAACTACGTTACCGTCATTGGCCACAATGAGGATGGCAAGACTCGTGTCAAGCTCCCCTCCGGTGCCAAGAAGGTCATCAAGAGCACTGCCCGTGGTATGGTTGGTATCGTCGCCGGTGGTGGTCGTACCGACAAGCCCTTGCTCAAGGCCTCCCGCGCCAAGCACAAGTTCGCTGTCAAGCGCAACTCTTGGCCCAAGACTCGTGGTGTTGCCATGAACCCCGTCGATCACGTAAGTTCCGGCCCTTTCCCTGCCGAGGAAGCCTGTCCAGTTTCTTTTCCAGGGTGCAATCTAACGAGACTTCTGCAATATAGCCTCACGGTGGTGGTAACCACCAGCACATCGGTAAGGCCTCGACCATCTCCCGCTACGCTGCCCAGGGTCAAAAGGCCGGTCTTATTGCCGCCCGCAGAACCGGTCTGCTCCGCGGTACCCAGAAGACCAAGGATTAAGCGTGCGTTTACGTGGAGTTTTTGTTGTGACGGGTTGAAAATGGACTTCTGCAATGAGACATATGTATCTAGGCGAATGCGGATAGGCGTCCCATGCGCCCTTAGCGAATTAAGGTTGTGGCCACCATCCTTTTGTCTGACGGTCGAACAAAACCAGAAGGGTGATGGCGATGGGGTCCAAGGCTGGCCTCATCATGTCATGGCAGAACGGAAAAGTCAAAAAAGGCCCTTGACGGCTCTTGGAATGATACACCTTTTCATTTTTTTTCACGCCCGTTCTGGTCCGTCCCATTTGTAGGTTCAAGAGAGGCTTGACAGGTGGTCGAAGTCACTGTTGTTGAGTGTACATCATCTTGAGGCAATTCCTATCCGGGTGCTACCAAATGTATTCCGGCTAGGCTCTCCGCTCCAGTCAGACGGGCTTAATGGGCCATTCCCTCACTGGTCCATGTACCGTACTAGGAACACCAGGTCTCCAAAAGCGTGCTTGATGATCTACCTGCATGGCCCAATTACGTGCTTTCGTCCAATAGTCGAGATTGAAGGAATGCGCCTTCGTCCCATCCATTTTAGCCCGTCGGCATCTCACGTGGCCACGGCTTGTCGAGCATGTGCATTGATCTCGTGTCCTTGAAGCATGAACCTCTCTCAAATCTGCAGATGAGGTCAGGGTCTATAGGATGGACTGAACTGCATGTAGGTATTCTGGGTCCTCTCGTACTTAGACATCCGATTTGGCAACAATTGCAACGGGTAAACTGGATGCTCTCAACCATGTTGGTGTGTATTGATCTTTTGGACCTGTCTGTGGACAGGAGTGAGCGGTGCGGCTGTCAATTCTCCCGTTCTTTTCAATTCAAACCTATCCTTCTTATCATATGAGGCGATGTTGGTTCTTACAAGGCGGGAGATGTACTGTAAGTAGTTTGTCTTAATGTTGAGAAATCTACCTCGGAGACACCAATGATGTACTCGTTGGAATTTGTGCCTGTACCTTCCCTGCTGTGCCAGCACTACATCAAGTCTTGGGTTCTATCAATGGCATAGCGTGGGGTCCACGTGGTCTCAATTCAAGCGTGATACATGGAATTTATATATCACGCAGTCAATACGTAAGTTCGCAAAAGACGTCCAAGCATTGGGTCATGGATTCTCTCCAACAATACAACGGGTCTAACAATTCCGCTCCAGAAAACAAGATGCGAATCGCCCGCTAAATGATCACCATCCGATTAAAACAACAGAGTTCAGGTTGATATAGATTGCTATTCTTACCTGCCCCTACCCATCCTCGAGTAACTCCACCTCAATCAGGCTCGATACTGACTCAGACTATTGACGGGTGGGGTTTGAATGATGCTGTCAATATGACCAATCACAGCCCCAGGACCGGGTCCGTCCCCCATGGAAGTCGGCAGTTCAATTGCAGACCACAGCTCCATCGCGGGCCATGTGACTGTTAGTAAGCTTGGGTGTGTTAAGTAACTTAGACTGTGTTCGAGTCCTCGAGTCCTCGACCTACTCGATCATGGTTGACACATTTCAGCCTCAGCCCGGTTATCATCACAGTCTGACTGGAGTGTTTTGCTACGCAAACACATCATGTCTTCATCATGATCCGTGTCGCAGATTACTAGCTGTCTGGCATTAATCCTGGCTCACGATGAACGCTTCCGAGCCAGTGCACAGGACCCCATTCCCCCGTCTAGCCCAACCCACCCACACACTCAACTCCTCGCAGCGCTGGCAAGCCATCACCAAACGCGACCCGACCATCAACGATTTCGTCTACGCCGTCCGCACCACCAAGATCTACTGCCGCCCATGCTGTCCCGCCCGACTTGCCCGGCGCGCCAACGTCCAATTCTTCGACACCGCAGCGCAAGCCGAGACCGCCGGGTTTCGAGCGTGTAAGCGCTGCCGGCCCCAAGCAGAAGGCACGGCGCTTGCAAACCACCCCCAGACGGCTTTTGTGGACCAGGCGTGTGAGACCATTCGGGCTCAGCTTGCGGTAGGGCTGAAACCGCGCTTGCAGGATCTGGCGGCTCAGGCTGGGTTGACGGCGAGTCACTTCCACCGGGTGTTCAAGAAACGTGTGGGCGTGACGCCTGGTCAGTACATGAGTGGTCTTGTCCAATGGGATTCCTGGTCAGGGTCGGACTCTGCGACACGCCTGAGTAGTGTCTCGGCTTCCAGGTCTGATGGTGAAGTGTTGCTCCGGGAGATGCCGGAGGAAATTTGTAGTGAGAACAGTTCCGTTGGGGGGATGAATGGTCGGTGGCCCGGGCCGATCTTGCTGGGGTCTATGGAAGGGACACATTTGCCTGAAGTCCATCAAGACTGTTTTCTGACTGCTGATGCTGTGTGGAATGACTTTGATGCTGTGCTAGCGCTCGAGGCTGAGCCCGAGGCCGAGCCCAAGACACCATCGATGGCTACATTAGATCTAGACCTGCCCGGTCTTGACTAGGCGCTGGCCTGATTTGTAAATTTCGTGGTCATGAGATATGCCATATACAAAAATTGCGTGAGCTCCTCCCTTCCTTGACACAGTTTCGCTTGGCAATTACAGTGAGAGGATGAACCATATCTGACACACATCGGGGACATGTGTACATTCACTAGTTACTGGATTGTACAATGTACAGAATATGTACTAGAACAACTGACCTCTGTCGGCCCGCGGTATATGGACCTGCAAATGTACGCTATTACGCTGTAGTTGACCTCGTGCGTTCTACACTTATTCCAACCCGCCCGTTGTTCCCATCAGATCGAATCCCCCGGACAATAAGCGGCGGTCCAGGCGTTTGGTGTCGTTCAAGGAAGCATTTGGGGTCTACCGTCGAGTACACACTACTCACTACTACTGCACTCCTGGAGTACTGGACACGGCTAGAAACGGTAGGATCGTCGGACCCCTCTGTTCTAGATCGCGGGGTACGATTTTCGGATGTACCACTGTAATGTCGCATCGAGTCATCGACTCCATCGAGGTCGTTCGTGGGCGACGATCGCTTGTTAGTTATGATCAAGTAACTGAATGATAAATATATTAGGTAGTGATGTACTAGCAGTCATTTGTCTGAGTCTCTTCCTTGACTCGGTTATGTGAGACTTATCCCTCCTAATCAGATTGGTATCCTAGTGACTTGGGAAACCACTCCACGGCCCTATTTCCCACTTCTTTCCATTCTGGTGGGGGTCGAGTCAATAGGGACAACCAGATATCGGAATGTCTTGCGGCGTATACGGCGTATACATCGTAAGTCTCCACGTAAGCTTCGTATTCGAGATTGCCGTGTAGCATTGTACTTAAGGACTAAGTACGATTTCCACTCACGTATGGCTGCTGAAAGTCGATCGATGAGTACGAGCCCAGGAACAACGACACCCAAGACGGAACCGTGATGAATGAGTCCAAGATAATACGTATTTGCATCCTGTGTGACCATTGCCACCGTTGCGACTTGCCAGTGACTTGTCTCAGAGGAGTTTTCCTTGAAACGCGGACGAAACCAACCCGTTTTGAATGCGGCCTCCGGGGCTCCGTGCACTTCTTCTTCTCACCCACAACTCCTGCGACCACTCATGAGTTGCATGGCATCATGTTCTGAGAAGCGCCAATCATGATATATACTGTTGAAACCTGCTCTTACAGCAGTGAGCAGTGAGCACCGGACCAGCCCACCCACTGAGTCTAGAGTATGTGATAGAATGGTACATCAACAGGTACTCCAGTAGTACTCACTGGTAATCGCTCTAAGTGGATTACATAAGAGAGCGTCTGCTCTCTCGCAGTACCGTCTTTCTAGGTACATATCAGAAAATCTTTAAGAGTGGTATGAAGAACGGGGGAGAAAGGGACAATATCAGTGGTCCAACACTCCCGAATCATCCCTTGCAGACTTTGTAGAGTACAATGGTACTTCATGCTGTAGGACCAGGTCCAACCTGTTGGCTTGTTTGTGCTCTCCAGTCTCAGTGATCCTGTCCCCTGTGGGGTGGCAAACCTTCTGAGAACCGGTTCTGGAATCGACGAGGTGGTGAGTGGGTTCGGTGGATTGTGTGGACGATTACGTCCGGCGGTTCACTGAATGGGTGGTTCAGATAAATTTAGCATTTGACGAGAGAGAGATAGAGCCAGTGGGACAAAGAGAGAGAGAGAGAGAGAGAACGAGATTCGTCCGAAAAGCAAGCATAACGTTCGGATCTCAGACCCCGGTACCTGGCGTTCCAGTAGGAGACAAGCTGCGGATGTCCAACCCAGGGGCCATTTCGCAAGAGCACTACGGTCCCTGTGAGTCTAAGTACTGAATACTCAGTAGTAGCAACTTACTCCTCAGGAATTACTAGGCGGACGTTGCTCAGTCCAGGTACACAGGACTCCAGAAGTGATGGGACTGGACTCCCGAGTACCGGGGCCTCGTTGTGCTGTGCTCCTTGGCGAGAGCGACCTTTTCCTCTCCACTTCATCGGCCCACCAACGCGTGTCACTGCAGGAGAAGGTAAAGCCCCCGCCAAGAGTCTCCATTCACGATTCGGTCAGGAGAAAGCATATTCAGCAGGGAGACTGAAGCCATGGACACTTGGAAAACACTGCAGCACCCGGTTCTTGAGCCACCAAGATCCTGGTTGTGAATTTAAGTTTTCTAAACAACTATCAACCCAATAAGCAGGTCCGCTGGTCGGCAAGAGCTTACCGTTTCTCCATTATTTTACAGTATACTCTATACTACTAGACTAGTAGACACTTACTCTATAGGACTAAATTCTAATTGTTGCTCGGGGTCCAGAATTTGGATGGATACTAGACTCTGGACCACAGCCAGTTCCTGCCACGAGGAGAGTTGACTGAAGCCGTAGTCGGTTCTCAATCTGTCGTCTGCTGAAGAGGTCAGGAGTCCAATCCCAACTGATGCTGGAGTTGCACTTCGGTAGAACTGTCTGTACTTACATTCCGGTTGTTCTTCTTCTCCACCGATCGACATCCACAGCGTGTCTGCATGCAGGGAAGCTTCGACTGAGACCGAACCCGAGATTGCATTCATTCTGGAATCGCCCGTTTGGGCCGCGGTGGCGTATCCGACCAATATGACCCAAATCCACGATGATTTCCCAAAAAAGCATCAATGAGGGGGTGGGGAAACAATCAGATTCAGGAGCGACAAATCAACTTGCAACGCTCCGGACACTCTGGACACTCTGCGACGCTACTACTCGACTCCGGCGACAAATTGACAATGATCCAGCGTCCTACGCGTCTGGAAGTAGCTCCGGTGTTCTCATTTATCCTGTGCAAAGTCCTCTTTGGACCTCGCTCCTTCTCTTTTTACTCTTTCTTCTCCAATTGACCCCCCTCCCCTTTCTGCCAATTCCTCCTCGGTGGCTGCCTTCCCAACCCCCCCCCCCTTCCTTTTCATCTCTCTCCCCCTCTGATCTTTCTCTCTCTCTCACACCTCGGCCTCCTCTTTTCTCTTCTCCACGAGCAGGCTGCTGGCGGGTGGACTATCCACAACACAGTCTCTCACACACACATCCTCCCATCTCGTGCAGGGAGTTTCACTCGCAATCCATCTTCCAAATCGTGACCCTTGTCGATCCGTCTTTCGTTGAGGTCACGTCACAATCGCTTTTTACGTGACATTCGTTGTATTGACCGACCCGATCCACCCGTTTCACTAGCTGTGCTGGGCATAGTAATCGTCGATCAACACTCAACACTCAATTTCTACTCAGTACTCAAACCCAGACCCATCATGCATATGAACAAGAGAATCGGTCGCCTGAAGCAGTGGGCGGGTGAGCGCATGGGCGGCGAGGTGAAGACTTGCCAGTCTGATGATTTCAAAGCCCTGGAGACGGAGATGGGGGTGCGACAAGAAGGTATGATCTGGAGAAAATCATCAATGAAAAACAGTTCTCGCGATTCCCCCAGTCTTTGATCACCAGCTGACCAAATTCTCTCCAGGCGTCGATCGCATCCACAAGTCCATGACGGCGTATGTCAAAGCCATCTCGAAGCGTAGCGAAGGCGATGACAAGGAGAAGACCCTTCCTATTGCGCACCTCGGTAGCAGCATGGTGGCCCACGGAGAGGACTTTGATGGCAATTCCGAATACGGACAGTGTTTGACCAGTAAGTTTCCATGGTGTGGATGTGCAGTGTCGACCAACATCCCTCTTCTTCAATCCTTCCGTTCAGCAATCTGACGTGACCCAGTGCTCGGACGAACCGAAGAGCGCATCGCGCGCATTCAAGAGAGCTACATCTCACAGGCGACATCGAGCTGGCTTGAGTCGCTGGAGAGATCCTTGGCCCAGATGAAGGACTACAATGTACGTGATGCACAATAACTACTCATCGAGATTGATCCCTAATGATGTTTGTCTCTCCACAGCACGCTCGGAAGAAGCTGGACAGCCGTCGACTGGCTTACGATACGTCTCTGTCGAAAATGGAAAAGGCGAAACGGGAAGACTTCCGCGTGGAGGAGGAGCTGCGCACGCAAAAGGTCAAATACGAGGAGGCCAACGATGATGTGATTCGCCGCATGCAGGACATCAAGGACGCCGAAGCAGAGAGTGTGATGGATCTGGGTTCCTTCTTGGAGGCCCAGCTCGAGTATCACGAACGATGCCGGGAGGTGCTGCTGCAGCTTCGCAGTGAATGGCCAGCCGGGTGCAGCCAAGCGCCATCCCCCCCACGACGTCCCAGCCGAGCTCGGTCGAACACGGCTCATTCGTATCAGGAACGATATGAACCCCTGCAGGAGGAATTGGAGACGGTGACGGAGAATCGACCCACGATTCGATCCAACCGGACGGTCTCAAACTACGGTGGCGACTCATCCGCACGCGAGGCGTATCCCCCAAGCAGCGGTTACGCGCGACCAATCCTCAACCGAACACCCACCTTCGAAAGCCCAACTCAACTGCGACACGAAACCTCCCCCGCGTCCAACCAGTGGATGCATCGCACCGCGAGCGATACCGTGGTGCCTCGGCGGAACAGCGTGCAACCTGCTGGAGGACGATTCCTCGCGGACCCGTACGCGGATTCGGAGGCCAGCTCCTATGGCCGCTCCAGCCCAGAGCGACCCTACAATGGCCGTTCGATCTCCCCTGCGACCTCTCATGGCAGCGTGCCTTCCCGTCGTCCCAGCTCCACTGCGTTGAATGCGTCGGGCATGACGAAGAAGGCACCTCCACCACCCCCTTCGCGTGCGAAGAAGCCGCCACCTCCACCACCTCCCATGAAGCGGTCCTTGGTCACGGTGACCGACCTGTAGGCTCACCCAAGTCCGTGGAGAATGGAGAACGTAATCTACTCTGGCCAGTAGCTTTTCCTCTTTTAACTGCTGTCGCCCAAGCTGGGGGATGCATGGGCCGGTACCCCCTTTTTTTTCAAGTCGCTTGCTTTGATTTTAGTCACTGCTTTCCGCGGCGGCTTGCCAGGAGCGCAATCAAAAACGCTTTGCTTTCTTTTCATATTCTTTCATAGCTTTCCTTCGCTGAACTTTTCCTATCGATGCTGGTGTGTTTTGTGGATTGAACTTTGCTCTCTGGGGTCGAGTTCAAGGAGATCTGTCCCTCTCTGTCTTTGTATCACCAGTCATACAAGCAAGCCTATCAATTTTTTCAATTGTCCCCGTTTTCTCCCATTTGCGACAACCGTAGTATTGAAATGGATGCAGCGATGTCGAGTGTTAATTGATGCAGCCTTGTGCGTTTTCAAGACATTTATCTGAGCCTTGCGCTTGCATCCAGGTAGGGAGGAGGCGTTGCAAGCCCGGTTCTGTTCAACCGTATCTTCTATGTGAGAAAGATATATCTAGTTGACGGGTACTGGGCCTACTGGCTGCCGCACGTGAAGGTACCACCTAGATGAAATAGAGGCCCGGCTGATGCCACGATTGACCTAGATCTATTTATTGGCATGGTGGCTTGATCAGTCATTGCATCGCTAGGATAGGACAAGAGAGTTGACTGGATAGAGTGACAATCAAGAATTCCAAAGAAATGATTGAATTAGTAGGTTATCTTATCTCAGGCCCTTCATCTCGTAAGTGGTCGAGGAAATAGAGATTGAATGCCTTGAGTCTCAGGCGTGAAAATGATCCACATGTACTAATGTAGTGTCTCAGTGTACGATAGCGGTATTCAAAGTGCGCGGTACTCGGCGTAAGCCCAAGCACACACAGCTGAGTCAGCACCCAGAGCGGCCTCGTGACCACCCGTGACCAGCACTGGAAATCTCCTCTCGCGGTCCTCCTGTTGTGAGTCGCCCTGTCGCCTTCTCCAGCGAAAGCACCAGGTCTCCCCGAGCGAGTCGCGCAACTCGGTCCCCTCTATCTCCATTTCCATCCATCCACCTCTGCGACGCGCCATAACCAGCGCAAGTTAACCTTTTTTCTTGCGTCCCCCCCCCTTCTCCATCAGGCTTACGCGCAGCCCGTCACGCTTACTCGCTTTTCCAACTCTCCGTATTGTCCCCCAGCAAGCAGCAATACCCGCACTTGCCACTCTGCCACCCAGCTCCATTCATCGATCGCATCCCCGAAGCTCCGGCCACCAGGCCCAAATATCGTCCCCCATCCATCGCCAAGATTCTCAACAAGACCCGTTGATATTACCTCAAGCTCACTTATCTCTCACCCTCCGCCCCCGGCGCGCACCTCATCACCCATCCGATTGCCCACCCACCTACGGTCGCGCTACCTGTTCCTCCCTGTCCCGCCTGGGCGCGACCTGGTATCGTATTGCAGTGGAACCATCGCATTATTTAGGCCACGCTACCTTCCGTATCGGCTCGCGTCGCGTCGCAACCTAACGCCGCTTTGGTTCACCATCTATGAATTGATCAAGTAACGCAAATCTTCATCATGGCTTCCTTGCAATCGGCGCCTACCATGGCGCCAGGCAATTACGCCCTACCAGCCAATCTTACCCAGCAACATGTGCAGGAGGTTCTTCAGGTTAGTGTGGCACATGCTTCATTCTAATTGAGCTGTATATAATCATTCTGCTCCGGATACCTATATTGTCACTGCCCTTCTGCTGCCCCATATGTTTTTTTTTTCCTTTTCGCGCTTGCTACGGCCCAATCTAATACTGCCACAGAAATTCAAGCAGATGCAAGAGCAGGGTGTCAGCCCTAATGACCCCGAGTACATCAAAGCCCATCAATTGCTCGCCACCATACAGCGTCAGCAAGTCTTGAAGCAGAAACAACGTCAGCAACAGGCGCAACAAGCTCAGCAACAGGGTTCTCACGCCATGAACATGAACGCACCCCAGAATGGCGCTATGTCTGATGCTGCTGCCAACGGACTTCACGGTCAGTCGTTCTTGTCCTGGACACGAGCCAAGTATGACGATCCTTAGTACTGACAAAAGGTGATCTCACCATAGCTCGAAACCCATCCGCTTCCTCAATGACTGGACAAAATGCCGACAGCCAATCCGCCAATCTTCAACCTGGAGTCAACCGCAAGGGGCCAACCGTTGGCGGAGGAAGCTTCTCGGCGGAACAATTGGCTACTCTTCGAAATCAGATCATGGCTTTCAAGACACTGTCCAAGAATCAGCCTATCGCACCTGCCCTACACCAGCAACTGTTCCCGGCCAAGAAGTCACAGCAGACTAATATGACCGACAAGCCCACCGCATCAGAGAAGGGATTGGACGGTCAAGACAACAGTGCTGCGGCGTCCTCAGGCGACGCCACTGGTGAACCTGCCGAGAAAGATTCGTATACACGATACGACCTCAGCGAGACGCCTCTTCACAAGGTCATCAACTTCGACGGCCACAAGCACCGCATCAACCGACCTCGCGTTCCGGCTCTGGAGTGCACTGGTATCGATTGGCGTCAGGTTCGTGAGGACCGTGAGTTGCTCGTGTACAACCGCATGTCGGCTCGTATGAAGGAGCTGGAGAAACTTTCAACCAGTATCGGTGTTTGGGACACAAGCAAAAGCGATGCGCCTACTGGAGATGACTCAGTGAAGTTGAAGGCTTTGATCGAGCTCAAGTCGCTCGGCTTGCGGGCCAAACAGCAAGCTTTGCGAGAGAAGATTCGCCGTTCCGGATTTGACGCCGCTGAGACCAACCAGACAAATCGGGCTGTGCATCGTCGCATGAAGCGCCCGTCTCTCCGTGAGGCGAGAATTACCGAAAAGCTCGAGAAGCAGCAGCGCGACGCCCGTGAGACACGTGAGAAGAAGAAGCAGTTCGATCAGCTGCAGGCTATTCTGACACACGGCCACGAGATGGCCACTGCCTCAGTAGCAAGCCGTAATCGCTCAACCAAGCTGGGCCGCATGATGATACAGCATCACCAGCACATGGAGCGCGAAGAGCAGAAGCGTGTCGAGCGTACTGCCAAGCAGCGTCTGCAAGCCTTGAAGGCCAACGATGAGGAGACATACCTGAAGCTCCTGGGACAAGCCAAGGACTCGCGTATCTCCCATCTGCTTGGCCAGACTGACAAGTTCCTGAAGGAGCTTGCGAACTCCGTGCGCCAGCAGCAGCGGAACCAAGCCGAGCGTTATGGCGATAACGAAGATTTCGTGGACGAGGACGAAGAGATCGTCGACAGTGACGAAGATGACGATGGAACCGGCAAAAAGAAGATGGACTATTACGCCGTCGCCCATCGTATTCAGGAGACCGTTACGGAACAGCCATCCATCCTTGTCGGCGGTACCCTGAAGGAGTACCAGCTCAAGGGTCTCCAGTGGATGATCTCACTGTATAACAACAACCTGAACGGTATTTTGGCGGACGAAATGGGTCTTGGAAAAACGATTCAAACCATCAGTTTGATCACTTACATCATTGAAAAGAAACGGAATAATGGACCTTTCTTGGTCATTGTGCCACTGAGTACTTTGACCAATTGGACACTGGAGTTTGAGAAGTGGGCACCTTCGGTCACGAAGGTGGTGTACAAAGGGCCACCAAACGCTCGCAAGCAGCAACAGCAACAAATTCGGTGGGGCCAGTTCCAGGTTCTCTTGACGACTTACGAGTACATCATCAAAGATCGCCCTATCTTGTCTAAGATCAAGTGGGCGCACATGATCGTTGACGAAGGTCATCGTATGAAGAACGCGAGCTCCAAGCTCAGCAGCACCTTGTCGACTTACTATCACACCCGCTACCGTTTGATTCTCACTGGTACACCCCTCCAAAATAATTTGCCTGAGCTGTGGGCGTTGCTCAACTTCGTTCTGCCAAACATCTTCAAGTCAGTCAAGTCTTTCGATGAGTGGTTCAACACTCCATTCGCCAATACAGGCGGTCAAGACCGCATGGATCTCACCGAAGAAGAGCAGCTGCTCGTCATTCGTCGTCTGCACAAGGTTCTCCGCCCATTCTTGCTGCGTCGTCTGAAGAAGGACGTGGAGAAGGATCTTCCTGATAAGCAAGAGCGTGTCGTCAAGTGCCGTTTCTCTGCTTTGCAAACCCGCTTGTACAAGCAATTGGTCACTCATAACAAAATGGCCGTCAGTGACGGAAAGGGTGGAAAGACCAATGTCCGTGGTCTCAGCAACATGCTGATGCAGTTGCGAAAGCTTTGCAACCATCCTTTCGTATTCGAACCAGTTGAAGACCAGATGAACCCCAGTCGCATGACGAATGATTTGTTGTGGCGAACCTGCGGTAAATTCGAGCTCCTGGATCGAGTCCTCCCCAAGTTCCGCCGCACCGGTCACAGGGTCCTTATGTTCTTCCAGATGACACAGATCATGAACATCATGGAAGACTTCCTTCGCATGCGTGGTCTCAAGTACCTTCGTCTTGACGGTGCCACAAAGTCTGATGATCGTTCCGACTTACTGAAGGTGTTCAACGACCCCAACTCCGAGTACTTCTGTTTCTTGCTGTCCACCCGTGCTGGTGGTCTTGGTCTCAACTTGCAGACTGCCGATACCGTCATCATCTACGATTCCGATTGGAATCCTCACCAGGATCTGCAAGCTCAAGATCGTGCTCACCGTATCGGCCAGAAGAATGAAGTTCGCATCTTGCGACTCATCAGTTCAAACTCTGTCGAGGAGAAGATCCTGGAACGTGCGCAGTTCAAGCTCGACATGGATGGCAAGGTTATTCAGGCCGGAAAGTTCGATAACAAATCAACCAGTGAAGAGCGAGACAAGTTCCTGCGAACTCTGTTGGAGTCCACTGAGGACACTGAACAGTTCGGTGATCAGGAAGAAATGGAAGATGATGACTTGAACGAGATTATGGCCCGCTCTGAAGAAGAGCTTGCTCTGTTCCAACAAATGGACAGGGAGCGAGAGCAGAATGACGAATACGGACCTGGTCGTCGTTATCCTCGATTGATGTGTGATGAGGAGTTGCCTGATATCTACGTTCAAGAGGATGCTCCTATCACAGAAGAGCCCATCACGGAAGTATACGGTCGTGGCGCCCGTGAGCGTAAGGTCAAACGATACGATGACGATATTCCTCTTGAGGAGTGGACGAGACTCGTCGCTGAGTGTGAAGAGAGCGGTGCGAACATTGACGACGTTGTCGAGCAATACTTGCAGGAACGTGAAGATCGCAAGGCTCGCAAGGAGAAGAGGAAGCTCAAGGCTCAAGGTGCTATTGAATCCTCTCCCGAACCCGTCGAGAACGACGAGACTCCTCCCCGCAAGCGGCGTCGTGGACCGGCTCCCAAGCGCAAGGCGGAAGAAGTGGCCGAAGAGACACCGCAGCCCAAGCGCAAGCGCGGTCGTCAGCCCAAGATTCCTGACACTCTAAGCAGCTCTGATCGCGCAGCTTTGACCAGCATTGTCAACAGCGTGATGTCATCCCTGAAGGAGATGACCGAAGAAGTCGAGCTGGAGGAATCTGACGGCGAAGAGGGTGGCACTGTACTTCGCTCGATCATCGAGCCATTCTTGAAGCCTCCTCCTCGCCACCACTATCCTGCTTACTACAAGATCATCCAGAACCCTATTGCCATTGACATGATTGAGAAGAAGATCAAGCGTGATGATTACCAGAGCATGAAGGAGTTCCGGGATGATATCCATCTTCTCTGCGAGAACGCTCGGACTTTCAATGAGGACGGCAGTCTTTTGTTCCAGGATGCCAATGCCATTGAGGTAGGTCATTTTGTGTTGATTGGAAATTCGTGTACCAAAAAGTCCTTTGATTGCTGACAATGAAACAGGCTAAATGTGTGGAAGAGCTCAAGAAGCTCACCGCGGACCATCCGCAGTTTGCTAACTTTGATGGCGGCGAATCCGTTGCGGGTGAAGGCCAATCGACCGGTGGTCCCTCCGGCCCTGCTACCCCTCAGACGACCGGCACACCAGCTCAACCAAAATTGAAGCTTACCTTCAACAAACCGAAGGAGGAGAGTGCCACTAGCGCTGCGACGAGTATCGCCAATGGTCCCGACGGCGAGGATGAATAAGTGTCCTTGCCTTTCAATGCGATTTGTTCGACTCTGTACTTTTGATTCTTTTGAGATCGGGGAGTCTTGATTCTCTCTCCCCTTTGTGTTTTATGAAACCTTTTGAGTGCGGGAAAGAGGCGTTTGTTCCACCATGACCTTCTTTTTTCACACTGAGTCAGGGGTGGGTGGTTGGAGTTGGTGTGAATTTTCCCTTGAACGAGTGCCCGGCTGCCCGCTAGCTCATGGGCATGGCTTTCTATTATCGTTACAGTTGTTTACCCTATCATGAGCGCGCTCCTTTCTATTCAATGGGTTCACACGCTTCATTTGTTCTTCAAATTCCACGAGGTTGATTTCCTGGACGATGGCACGCGGTCAACCCATGTGCACTTTTTATGTTCTCAGTATGTATTTTTTTTTCACAACGCAGAGATTTAACTTTAAAAGGAATGGATTGTCTCAGTGCGGTCTCTGTTACTGTGTTGCCCTGCCTGATCTTGCAAGACTAGTTGATGCGGTTCAGAAGCGACTATTTGACACATCCGACTGACTGGACAAGTTGTCCCGGACTCCCGGGCTCTTCTGGAACATTACACGCCCGGCAAGGTAAATAAAAGCCCAAAGTAACAACATGACAGCCCCTGCCATGGCGAAGCGTAACTTCCAAGGTTGACCCTCTCCGTCCCCGCGGGCTTCCATCCCGCCCTCAACTCGAATCCAACCGTTTCAAGTCTAGTAGTCCATCACATGTCCCGGGCAGGCCTGGGTGGCTTACGTTCTGCAATGAGTCTACTGCTGTAATTTGTTGATTCGCATGGCTCAGCGTCCATACCGGAGATATCCCCGTGTCTGCGGCGACCGTTGAACATCTTTCGATATACGGGTTTTTTGTGTCGTCTCCAATTTGTTGCTCTCGCGTGCGTGCGTAAGACGTGTGTTGTGTTCTTGATCACCTTGGCGATTGGCTTGGCTACACTGATGGATGGAAGAGGGTGAGGGATGTTGACTACGGGAAATGCGCTGACGAACTTTACAAACGTGATGGGGAATAGGGTGTGTATGTACACGTGCTGGGGAATGACCGATCTATGGATGAGGCTTGCAACAAAGGGGAAAAAGGCCCGGCCTATCGGTATATGACACGAAGGGGCCCCGAAATAAAAATCAAAAAAAAAAAAAAATTCACAAGGCGCCAGTGAACAACGTCTCCTTTGAGCGCAGTCGAGGCGCAGAAGTATTCGAGCCTCGAGATTCAATGGCAAAGCGACCATCTTGCCGCGTCTCAAGGAGAGCCGGCTCACTTGGATCGATAGCGCCTTGACTATATTTCTCGAGGGCCTCAAAGACGTGGCCGAAGACCTGCCGATCCACGTCCGACGCCCAGAGGAAATCTAGATGTTCGTATTCGGGGATGGCCTTGGCGACTGTTTCGCGGGGAAGACCCTGGAGCATGACGTTGATGTCGACGAGGCTGTCGCTGTCTCCGTACAGAAGGACGATGGGGGTCTTGATGTTTCGGGTTGGGTATTTCACGGGCTTGTAGAAGCGTTCGCTGGCCACGACGCTGAATGGGGCGTGAGTCTCGTCGTCGAAGAATTGGAAGTTTTTGTTGCGGATGATTTGGAACCAGTGCACGACGGACTTGGTGCTGGTGAATGAGTACAGATGCAGATATGCGGCGAGCTTCTGCGTTCGGGAGATATTGCGACATTTCCAGTTGAACAAGGCCCGAAGAGCCATGTCGATGATCCGAACGTAGATAGGTGGATAGAGGATCGTTTGCCACATGGTCGTGGATGAGAGTATACTGCGTCGACCGAAGAGGAGGAACAGGAAGTCGGGCGACGCTTTCATCAGTGAGTCGACGATACGATTGCGCAAGCCCGAGGGAGCCATGGCGGGTGCCAGCGCCACGAAGACGTCGACTTTCTGATTCAGCAATGGATGGATCGATAAAGTCGCAAAGGCTTGCGCTGTGCCCTGTGAGAATCCAATATAAGACAATGACGGCTGGCCGGTCACACCGAGAATGTACTCAATGCTGTCGGGAATATCGTGAAAGGCGAATTGATCGATCGAGAAATCCCAGAACTCATTCGACCCCGGCGAGAATCGAACGCATTTCTTGGCATACTTGTTGCCGCGATTGTTCCCCAGCCAGACGTCGTACCCCTGCTCGACGAGCCGGAACGGCAGACATCTCTGTTCATCTGTGAGGGCGACCCACACTTCACTGCACATGAGCAGGCCGTGGTGAAGATAAACGACCTTTTTGCTGATACCTCCTGCTCCTTGGTTGACTTTTGTGTTCTCCTCGCCCTTTTTGTAGGCCAATCGGTGGAGTCCAAGGAGATATCCATCGCCGGTCTGAACAATATGCTCTTCCGCTTCATACCCGAAGAGAGAGCAGATCTCTGTGAAATCGGACGCGTCAGCTATCGCGGCCGCAAGTCTCTCTTCCTGGGTCTGTTTGCCTCGTGGCTCCGTAGATACAAATCTGTTGAAGAGAGACTTTGACTGTTCATAGCAAAAGTGGATGATGGGCAGTGCTAGTAGTTCCTTTTTGTCAGTATTCGTAGTCTGGGGAGGAATCGGGAGACGAGTTGATGTGGACTCACGAAGGCAAAATGTGATCAAGTGAATGACCGTCTCGAAGAGAACCAGTAATAACGATGCGAAAAGCGCCAAATATTCGAACCTTGTGCCCCTTTAATTTAGTTCACTTTTCCCTCGAGGTATACTTCACTCTGCAGGGCGAAACGTACCAAAACAGTCGCCCGATAAAGGGAACACGCGCCATGGTTGTAATTATTGATGGCTCAGATCAACAAGAATAGAGTTAGGCAGCTCATCTGCTCTCTCGTGAGTGATGTCCACCTGAAACAGGCAGTGGATGTCTTCATTGACGGGAGATAAGCAGATGAGAGTCTCACGCCCTCGACGTCATGCTCAGGCACAAGCATGTGAAAGGAATGCTTACCTCATCCCCGCCCGGCGCCCATTCGGGACTTCCGACTCTGGGCCTCAGGCCAATAAGCGGCGGACGACGAATGACCCGCCTGAATTCCCCCGAGCATCGATGCGCCGATAGCCATCTTAGCACGCCGTTTGTGACATAGTCTTGTGTCTGTGTCTGTAGGATCACCATGCCTAGCTCATGTCAGGACATCAGTGAGTACGACCCAGTGCTGTGCGACGTCTTGTTGCCGTTGCTGTGCGACCTTTTGGTAGCGCGTGTCAAGTGCCTCGAGAATCAGATGAGCTGACTGCGCGTTTGTAATTTGATCAGGAGAGGCGCTGGCCCAATGCCTGCAAGAGTCGGACTGTATTATGGTCCAGCGGCACACACCACGCGAATGTCTCTCATCACCACTCGCCGAACAATTACCCATGAAGTGTCAGCAGTTGCGCAAAGGATTTGCCGAGTGCAAGTGAGTATAGATCATCTCCTCGGGTCGAGGTCGGACGAAGTTTTCTGTGAAACCTTTGCTAGAGCTGTAAAGCGCTGATCTGCGGTTCTAAATCTAGGCGTGGTATGGTTGATATGCGCAAGCGATTCCGAGGAAACCACCCTGTCTCGGTCAAGAAGGAGATGGACGAACAAAAGTCGGAGTCATCAGGACAACTATACGCTGGACGCCCAGCATACACGACCGTCAAGGAATTGAGCGGCGACGAAGTTCAGATGGACCCCGAGAAGACTCGTGGACTGTAATCCCCGTCAAATCGACGAGCATGCGGTCACGGGCTACTAGGGGGAACGGACTTGCTCGTGTGTGTACATTGTACGATTCGACTTGGAAGAGATCTGTGGGGTTGCATTGTATTCTACAAAGGAGATACTGCTGTATCGTGCTGGCATGGTCCGGAGTTCAAATTTTGATTTACTGTGGCGTACTCTCTATTCCTGCCTTCTCAACACCATGACTTGATTACAAGGCGTTCTTAGGATATCCAACACTTATTGTGCCTACTACCATAAACTCGCAAAGGCATGCTGTGATATTCAGCAGAAGTAGGTTCAACCAGTCCGTACCGAAGGATCACCTATTCTTCATGTGTGAAAATAGTTTCGTTGACAAGAGGTCTAAGAAGACAAGTTTTGTATGTTAAGAGGTGAGTTTTTACGAGGTCAGTGCCAACTACCGCAGTATCATCACACCGGCCTGGTTCCTACAAGACATTGTGACTTCAACCTGCAGCCTCCAACTCTCTATTGAGAACGCTCCTTCAAGCTCCAACTAAGAAGGACTGAACTTTGCTGAGGCTCAAAACTGTTCGCGATTCTGCGGCGACGCTTTGACTCCACAAGAAGAACACAATGAAATCGACGGAGTTCAGTCGTGATCTAAGATTTTGGGGCTAGAAAATGAAAAGAATATACACAGCCCGTTGCGGGTTTCATCTCGCTAAAGAGCCTGTCACAGAAGATCGTATCGTAAGAGTGGTATCCGCTTACTGCGTCTTCTTGAGCTTGTCGGTAGCTGGAGCCGAGTACAGCCAGACAAGAACGAACGCCAGGAAGCCACCGATCACCGACCACAAACCGGCGATCCAAACCCATCCAGCGGAAATGTCCCAGCTGCGCGGATACTCGTCGTGGGCAAAGTGACGCACGGTCACTTCGTGCTTTTCCTCAATGTTGGTGAAGAAAGGTCGCTTATAGTTGATGCGGAAAGAGAAGATACCGTGTTGATCGGGCGTGGTGAACTTGGTGCTGTAGATGGTGCTAGTCTCCGTGCGGCCAACGGGCTTCAAGGCCAGGCGATGGAAGGGTGAGAGCATGGTGAATTCCAGCTGGAGTTCGTCGTTGCCAGGAACCTCGAAGGGTACCCACTTATCGTAACTGTATTCGGAGACCTCGATATTGAAGACCTATGCACAGTGAACGTGTCAGTTTTTTTTGGGGGGGGGGGGGGGGGGGGGGGGATGGATTTCGCTGGAATTGGATACTACGCACTGTCTCGTTCTTGATGCGGTAGATCTTGGGGTTCAAGTTCTCCGGAGCAACCTCGCCGTCAGTGGCAAGGTGATGCTCAATCTTCTCGACCTTGAGGACACCAGTCTCCTTGAAAGCCCAGGCAGTCAATTGCTTGGCAAATTCGCGATTGACGGTGGTGGTTTTCTTGCCACCAGGAGCCTGAACGGACGCAGAGAACCACTGGTCCTCCAGCGCCTCCACAGAGCCGAGGACTGTGAAGCGAGCAGAGTTGCGGGCTTGCATAGCGGAGACAATATTCAGCTGAGAGCCTGTCGCCTCAATATCTTCAGGTGCGGGCATTTCCTCCTTCGGGTTGTATGCGTAGGCTGTCGCTGGGGCACGAAGGATAGGTGATACAAGGTTGCTTTCACTGCCTAGAGTCTGCGGAGCGACGCGAGGCAGGGCGACAACGCCTTCGCCGTTGAAAAAGGCCTTGACATCGGGGCGTAAAGGTCCGGGCCGCTGAAGAAGGAGGACGTCGTGCTTCTCCGCGGAAGAGACTGTATCGTAGTTGAAATGATCAACAACAACCGACGACCGGTCGTTCGAGAGCTGGATGTCGACTTCGAGGAGGAGGGAGCTAATGGCGCTAGAGGTAGCGGCCCTGCCAGAAAGGGCGAGGAGGATGTTGCCGTCTTTGTTCAGGAAGTCCAAGATATTCTTCGGGGTCAAGCTGGGACCGAGGCCTGTTTCAAGTCAGTCAATTGATACGACCTCACATCCAGAAATCCAGGTCTTACCTTTGGACTTGGGAGGAAGAATGAGCAGATGATCATAAGCTCGTGCGCCGTGCTTGAAGAGAGACAGCTTGTCGCTTTTGGGCGATTCGAAGGAAACGTCGTACCCGCGACCTAACCAAACAATCAGACTCCGTCACGATCAATCCACTGAGCCACATTCCGTACCTTTGAGATCCGACCATAATGTCGAGTAGGCACTCTGATCTGTGGACTCGTCCAGGACAACCAACAGGCGGCTGCCGGAGCTACTCAAGGCGTTGACCGCGGCCAAGAAGCCGCAGAGAAGCAACGCAAGGCACCACCGCATTTTGCAACGATTCCGCAGCAAGCGGATTGGATGCCAGAAAATGGAATGTAGGAAAAGAGAAAGGCGTACAAGAAGCAAGATAATAAGAAAGGGTTCAAGGAGGAGGAGGAGGGGACGTGAGCGGGAGGATGTATAGATTCCCCAAAAGGGCGACGTGTTAATCGGCACCGGTGCCAAGACCTGGCTGGATCCATCGCATCTCCGAACGTCGAACTTCACCTCTCCCCCACGAATCCCGACTTCTGAACGTCTTGCCGCCGCGCACCCTCGATCGTTGACCGGTATTGGGGTCTCAGCTCTTGAACCGCATTCAATTGTTTGCTCGAGATATCGTCTCGGCAATTTTACCCCCGCAAACCTCGTCGTCCCGAGTGAAAAAAGCTCCTGCCTAGCCGCCTCGTCGTTCCTCGACCGAGCCCGTCCACCATGTCCACCCCTCAATTCTGGTCTACACCCTTGCGGTACCTCCGCTGGGCTTCACATGAGAAACCTGCCATCTTCTACTCCCTCATCATCGGCTCCATGGGCCCCGTCGCGCTCGTCGGTCTGCCTCCGCTTCGCCGGGCCCTCGGTGACGTCGACCCCGAGCCCATTCCCATGACATATCCCAGTAAGTTTGCGAGTTCTGGAGGACCACTCCTGAGACCGACGGTTTCCAAAAAGGATCCAGGGCGCTCTGTGTCGCGACATGACCCAGGCTGATTGCGACAAACCCTGAAACAGTTCCCCAGGGCCCCCGCGTTGTTCCTAAGGGCTACGAGGACTAAGCGGCTGCTCACAAACTGCAGCACCAAGGGCTACGCAAGGATAAACAAAGCTCTTGGTGACTTCAGTCCACCTTCATGATTTGAAGAATTACGGCCAACTGGGACCGAGCTTGTGCGCATTGCAACTGCCAAGTCTTACCTATGTAATTTCTTGATCAGAGATCATCCCGTGCGTTCGTCGATGATGTCTCCAAGGATAAAACAAGGCCCTTGATACCATTCTTTATTATTTTGCAACTGCGGTATATTTTGGTACCGAAATTGATCCGTTGCAATTCATGTACTGTACTTTGCTCTCGTGGTGATCCTTCAGCCAATGCAGATTCGCCGATTTTGTTTAAGATGCAATGCCCTGCTTTCTGTTTCTGCAACCTTAAATCTCCCGTCGAGGTTACGAGTCTCTTACAGAAGCTCGAGAATTTCCCGCTCACTTTGAGAAAAGTTATAATGTATGGCCCCGTTGATGAAAACTCAAGGTGAACGAGTGCAAAAGCATATGCTAGATTTGTTTTGCGCATGTTCAGATTGCAATGATCAGATGTTGGCAAATCGTGTACCTAGAGACTAGAGACTGGTAGAGATTGGCTGGCGCATGTTCAGCTTATTCCACTGAGACACTAAGTTGCTGTAAGACTCCAAGAAAAATTTCATGACGGCCAAGCTTCAGAGTCTGTTTAAATGGACTGAAAGAACGATTCATCATTGGCAAAGTAGGTCAATGCTAGATAAAACACACAAAGCGCCAAAAATGCTCATTTCTACATGCATGAACCATTGACATCTCTCCATCGAAATGTTCTCCCCCGACAATCGGCGGGAAGCATATGCACACGTAGGCAGGAGATCAACGGTCAAAATGGTGGACGACGGAAGTCCGACTCCGGACCCCCTCAAGGGAAAGCAAAAATGCTCATCACAAGTCATCCAAAACACCTTTTGCTAAACATTTATATCGGAATAGTATAACAGCAGCAACAACAGTGACACGAACGTATGAGTGAGGGAGATAGAACCAGTTTGAACATTATGAGACTCAGTCAAGAGTCTAGAGCGGAGCCGTGCAGCTCGAGAAGCTCCGTTGAAGGGTGATAACATGCTTCGCCTCCCAGGGAGACTGGTCCGCCGATTGAAACCCCAGGAAAGGGCTCCTCGCAGCGCAGGCCGGACCAGAGACATCCAAGGAGCGTGGCAAGGAAATGGTGGCTGTTCCCTCCAGACTGAAGTGTCAGTCCATGAAAAGGAGAACGTCCATTCTCTGTGGCACGAGCGGCGAAGGAGGCACCCATAGGAAACAACCTGGGACAGGATTACGAGTAAGATCGGCAGGTGTTGCTCCCTCTCAGCAGATGCCAGGAGTTATCATAATAATCATAGAGAGGAAACCGGGGATACCCAAAGCGCCGGCGAAGATGCAGCGTGACGTTCTCCGTCATCACATGAGAGGTGGATGAACGAGATCCAGGTCGGCCTGAGACATATCCTTCAAACTCGCCGAGCAAGCATGCAGAGAGGAGGTAAGAGATAACACGCCAGATGGGAGAGACGGAAGGAGAGAGCAAGAAAGAAGTGATATATCGGTCCCGGATGGGGGATGGGTCATCATGTCGTGAGAGTGCAGAAAGGTTATGATTTTATTGAAATTTTTCTTCGATCTGTCATCTACCGCCGTCCGCGGTGAGGTTCCCGTTCCCTGGTAGGTTGGGGTCTACTGCGCTCGTACTCCGGGGTATATCTGGGCTCCATTGAACTTGTCATTCGTACATCCACGGCAGAAGTTGAGGCAGGATATCCAATCCCGGAGGATGCGGGAGAATAGTCTGAATCATCATAACCAGGGCCGGGATATCTGGGAGCATTCCGGGAATTCCCCTCGTAGCCGCTGTAATTGTGACCACTTGCCGTGTAGGTGTATAAAGAGGGGTGAGTGTCGGCTGTGGTCACAATTGGTGGCTGAGAGCCAGAGTATGTGACTTGAGGTGGAGGGTATGGAGCTTGGCCTTGTCCGTAGGGGGAATGGGAAGAAGTGTACGCAGGAGCGGGATAAGGAGCACTCTGGCCTGCACTGTACGGACTTTGACTGTAAGGGTCCAGATAGGGCTGAGCCGGAGCGGCATTATATGTGGTTGGAGAGGGCCCCTGTTGTTGGCGAACCTCGTGAATGGCCGAGGTCGCATAATTCGCTGAGACACTGTTCGGGGCCGGAGATGGTTTCACGTAGTGAATGTAACTACCTCTCGGGTGGCCTGCCTCGGCGTCACGCGAGGCCTCCGCTTCCCAACGGGCGGAGTCAGCTTTCAGATCAGCAATCATCTCCTACATTGATGAGGTGAGTTGTCAGCAAGTGATCTCTTTGCCATCGACGGCTACGAATCCCATGTCCAAATGTGAAAACTTACAGAGGTCAGATTTCGATAGGCACGGATGAAGAATCCTTGACGACCCTGTGACGTTGTTAGTCTTTCCGTCGTCGAATGTATACAGCCGGATGGCAAAATGGAACAGGACAGGAGACGGACACTATGATTGCCGGGCCTCACGAGCGCATCATTCCCGAGGTAGCGGCAGATATCGGCTTGAATCACCTCACGGTTGATCCCATCGCCTGGAACGAAGTATTCATTCTGACGGCCTGTCATTTTTTATGGATCCGCTTGGGTGTGATCCGGTTGGATGGTCCTTGGGGGGAATTCAAATGGTATACTCCGGGGGCCAGTAGGTTGACAAGAGTAAAACAGACAGCAATGATCCAGGAGAAAGCTGCGGACAAGTCCGTTGGGGGTAGCCGAAGGTAGTTTGCGGTAGATGAATTTGAGTTCCGAGGATTGAATTGATTGTACACAGCAAATCTTCTATGAAGTGTCCGACAAGGGAAATAAAAGAGGAGCGACCGAATTCTTGCTCCCTTCACAACTCAAGTGAAGCGGATAATACGTTGCCGTCGATTCTTGTCAGATCTGGAGCGACGTTTCCCGGTATAAGTGGCCTGATAGCGCTTCACAATTTCCTATGTGGGAGTATGTCCTGGTGGGTTCTGATCGTGGGTGACAGAATGGCGTCCAAAGGGAGTCAGAGCAAAAACAAACACGCCTGGCGAGTCCTTCCAGTTCCGTGGGCTCTGGAAGAAGAGATGAAGATGGAATATCCTGAGAATTGCTTGGAAAGAAATGTCCAGAGGGGGGTTCACTACCAGCCGAGCGACCAAAATCAAGTCTTGCAAGGCTTCAGGTGTTGGGAGAAGATGTCACAAATCCAGAGGGGTGGTAAGATCCTCTTGGATATCCTGGGGCTGACGTTTCGTGCGGCTGCACTGTCTTTATCCACTCTGTTTCTCGAGGATACGAGATTCTTGGCTCTCACGAACAGGCGTCGAGAAGCGAGAAGGAGAACCAAGGGGGGAGGGGGGAGGGGGAGCGAAGATGATGGAAGGGAGAGAAAGAGAGAGAGTGAGAGAGTAAGAGGGCGGAGGAATAGAGAAGAGAAAAAGGCGGTTGACAGCTGAGGAGGAAGAATGGGGATGGGGTGGAAGAAAAGAAAGGCAGAGGGGCGCACTAGAGTGGACCGGGTCAAGTGGCAGGCAGCCTCACAGTCGCAACTTCGCGACAGATACGCAAAGTACTGTACAAGTATACAAATTGTACGGGGCCACAAGCCTACAAGGTTGGAAGACATACACAGATGTTACGGTACGAAAGGTACCGCTGCAGTAGTACCATTGGCATTGAGCCGGTGCATTGGCCCATCGCGCATCCTACTGTGACTTCTACCAGAGCCCAAAGGGTACCTGATTGTTTACATCCAGGGCTGTACCACTACCGAGTCTACCGTCAACAGGATCACGTACAGTACCGTGCAGTAGACGCCGCCCCAGCTGGGCGCACCCATCAGCAAAGACAGACATCATTCCCTCCCCCTCCTTGAAGACGGCCCAATTGTCCTTTCGACCTGCAGTCTGATGCACGCTGCAGAATTTGGGTTCTTCGTCCCCTTAATGGTGGAGGAGATGGAGAGGGGAACATCCTTTTGGGCTGATCTGTTGGTGCCACGACTGCCCCCACTCCTCAAACCGCCTCACTGAACCGCTCTGGTCGAGCCAGTTCTTGCCTCGCCCGCGGGAAGCATGCACGGTCTTCTTGGGCTTAGGCCAGCGGCGAGTCTGTGTGACCATTCGAGATGACATGATCATCGCGGTCGGGTCGAGCCTGCATAGCTATGTAGCATCATCGCATGAACTATGTAGTCTGTACTGGACATCAATCTCTAATCATTGTCGTATCTAGTTGATCTACCCATTGTGGCATAAATCAATAGGTACACAGACGGGTGGGTTCAGGTATTGAAGTCGTGCGAAAGACTAGGTACCGTATTCAGTATGATTCCATTATCTACCCTACCCGGCAGTCTTTCTCAAGCCCAACCCCCTCATGTACAGAGTGCAAAGTCTGGACGGTGTACACGAGGAGTTGAGTCTCGCCTTGAGCTTGACGCCTTCGTGGGTGCAGCCCGCAAATGGAGTGAAGTAAATCAACGGGACCTAGCCGGAGCATGATTCTTTCATAGGTCTCCCGAGGCCCGAATGTGGTCATCGAGGACGAACCGCCGCAACAAGACGCAGTCGCAGGTTTCTTAGCAGTCACCGCTCACAGCCTGTAGTCCTACACCTCCACGGACCACATCACCACAGTGATTGACAGACACAAAGGTTGGGCTGCCGGTCCCTGGTCACAGCTCGGATTGCCCCCCCCCACCCCGTCTGTGCCCTTCTTGGGCCGAATGATTGTCGATCTCCACTTGGACCTCCAGTGGATCCGCATCAAGATGGAAGGCGGAAATTCTGAAGTGGCCTCGACACTCGACAGAAGCAATGAAAAGCTAGAGCGTCAGAGGTGCAATAGGTCGAGCGGTCAGCAAGAAGACCGTCTCCCTAGGTCGCGGATGAGGCTATGAGCACCCAGCCCATCAAGGACTCGGCAAGCCGTTGGGGAAGAAATCTGCGGAAATCTGTCAGGGGCTTTTCGACAGTCCACCATGGATTGGAATCGGACAGTTCTCGTTCCTCCTCACATCTCACATGAGCCTACGATGGAGCCAATGACCGTCCTGAAAGGCTGCCATCAGACGAGCTTGCCACGGTCAAGCCAGCCATCATGCGTTTGGGCGTTGGGCACGAATGCGTGGCTTTGGGCATCACGAACCTTGCCGGGGTTGTGCCACCCTGATTAGCGCGAATGGGTCCCGCCAGACCAGCTGGGCCGAAATGGGTCGCTAACTGGAGAGCGACCGGGAAGGACAAATATCTTTGATCCAGTAGTCTCGTCATGGAACACCTTCATGACAAGATCTGCAGACCATCAATACGTCAAGCCTCTTCTCTTGTAAGGACAGTGGGACTGAGATCAGGTGCAAAGAATCTGGACTCTGGACTTTGGGACGTAAAAGTCTATCTGTTCTTGCAGTGCTTCCACTCGACGATTCATCTCTCAGCCATGTGGAAAGGAAGAATGGGTGACTCGCAGCAGGGGAGTTCGGGCCGCTCAAGATCGAAGACCTGTGCCACCATCAGTACTAAGTTAGTAGTAATGGCGTACAAGCTTAGAGCAACACATGATTCATGAACGCCGTCATCGGCTCCATCGATAGATTATAGCCCCATCGAATGAGAATGCTCCATCAACCTTCGAGAAGCTGATTTTCATAACGGAAGGAATAGTGGTGTGCAGGATATTGTGGATGCTACAGTAGCAGGTTGGAATCAGATTGACCATGCAAGCATGCTCAACAGGTACTACTTCCATTTGATTTCTGATCGGTCGGGGTGGGGTTCTCCCGTCGCTTCAACCCTGGATGAACTGGAAGTCTGGACACCTGATCTGCAAGGCTGCAGTTGAAGTCACGTGGCTCACATGGCCAATCTGGGGACATTCGAGACGCGCGGTGAACATCATTAAGATTCCAATGCATCAAGCTCGACCATCCAGATACACCGCGCTCTATTTCCTGTCGTTGCGGTCAGTGAGATCTGCGTCGCGATGCGGCAGCTTCGAGCATGTCGTCTGAAAGCCAGCCCAATGCGTCGCCGCACGATGCCGTAAAAAGATCTCGTTTTACCCATCGGCAGCTTCATCTGCTCCGTCAGGGCTCAACTGCCACTCCGCTCCGGGCAATCGCGCATATCGATCTCGATGCCTTCTATGCCCAATGTGAAATGGTGCGTCTGGGCACTCCTCGGGATACACCGCTTGCCGTGCAACAATGGGGTTCCCTGATTGCAGTCAATTACGCCGCGCGCCCATTCGGAGTGACCCGGATGATTACCGCGCCCGAGGCTCGCAAAGCATGTCCCAATATTGTCTTACAGCATGTTGCGACATTCAGGGAGGGGGAAGGAGGTAAATGGGCGTATCGAGATGACTCGTCCATGAACATCAGTACCGACAAGGTCTCGTTGGATCCCTACCGCGCCGAGTCGCGCAAGATTCTCAAGACCATGAAAGAGGCGCTGGAGCAATGGTGTACGACCGAATCAGATGGAGACACATACCGCTACACCCAGGGTCTCTCGGCTGCGCTGGAAAAGGCCAGTATAGATGAAGTCTTTATTGATCTGTCGCCTCTGGTGTACAGCGTTCTGCTTCAGAGATACCCGGAGCTACGACCGGGCTTGCAGGAGGAGAATCGGGACGTAGAACTCCCCCTCCCCCCACAACCGCGGTGCAGTGGCATCCTGAAGACTGCCTAGTAGACCTTGATTTGCACGAGCGAGAGGAGGATGATCCAGACTGGGATGACATTGTGATGCTCGTAGGGTCGGAGATCGTTCGGGCGGTGCGGCAGGCAGTCTGGGATGTCCTTCACTATACCTGCTCTGCAGGTCTGGCTCGCAATAAGATGCTCGCAAAGCTGGGTAGTGCCTGCAACAAGCCTGATAAACAGACCGTGGTGCGAAATCGGGCTGTGCAACATTTCCTGGGGGGCTACCGATTCACTCAAATTCGGATGCTGGGAGGTAAATTAGGGGATCAAATCACCTCCTTCTTTGGCACCGAGAAAGTGAGTGAATTACTCAACGTGCCTCTGGAGCAGCTGCGTGCGAAACTCGACGACCATACTGCCTCCTGGTTGTACGGGATTATTCGTGGTGAAGATCGATCCGAGGTCAATTCACGTACACAGATCAAGTCGATGCTCTCAGCCAAATCGTTCCGGCCTAGCATCAATACACTCGAACAGGCAGAGAAATGGTTGCACATCTTCGCGGCAGATATCTACGGGCGTCTGGTGGAAGACGGCGTACTTGAGAATAGACGCCGCCCAAAAGTGATCACGCTGCATCACCGAACTGCGCAAACTCGATCTCGGCAGATTCCTATCCCTGCGTCCAACATCATTGACGAGAGCCTTTTGTTTGAACTGGCGAGAACACTCATGCGACAAGTCATGACTGATGGGCAACCCTGGCCCTGCTCTAATCTATCCCTCAGCGTGAGCAGTTTCGAGGATGGCGTGACTAAGAACAAGGCAATTGAAGGATTCCTTGTTCGCGGCGACCAAGCAAAGCACCTGAACCAGAACTCTCGCCCACGCGATAGCCCGCCAACGTTGAGTGACTCGATTCCAATGGGAAAAAGGCGCAAAATCGAGGACGATGGAATCAAACGCTTCTTTGCTCAGCCAGCCCGCACTGACAGAACGGTCGGAGGACCAGACTTTCCTTCTCCCCACAACAGCGGATTCTCTGGGGATTTGGTTCCACCCGCTAAAGTCTCCGAAATTGAAGATGAGTCGAGCTCCATACCGCAATACAAATGCGATCGTTGCTCTAGGTCCATTTGCGAATTGGAGCGAGAGGAGCACGAGGACTGGCATTTCGCGAAAGACCTGGAGATACAGGACCGGCAAGAGGCAAGAGATATGCAACACCAACCATCTAATCCAAACCCCAACGCTTCACGCGGTTCTGCTTCTACTCGGGGGCGAGGCGGCCGTGGCAAGCCAGAGAGGGGACAAATGCGACTGGCCTTCTAGAGCTTCGAAAAATTAACATGCCACCTATTGTGTACATCAGCGGTAAAGCAATCCCTTGAAACGTATCATGGCATAATGCCCTCATCGTATAATATGATTATATTTCGAATCAAATCAGTACTACACCCAGAAAAGGCCAGGCGATAGATACTACGTCTAGCCGTCCGTAGCTAGAAGTTTAGATGCATGACCATTTCCCGACGAACACGTCTTGTGCTGGCAAGGTTATGAGCCTCGTGAGTCTGAATGAGTTGAGTTGTACCTTACTTTTGCAAGGATTCGAAGCAACTCCTTTCGCGTGGACGTTTAGTCACCTGATATGTCTGCACAGTGACCTATTCGCCCTCGTATGCGGCTTTGTGATGTCGTCATGCTATTGTTGGCTATCACCTCTGTACTTTTACGTATCCAGCCATATGCCATTCTACTTGAACGCTCTTATCAACGTCATCTCTGACTTCCACTATAACCTATAGCGCGCGGGATCTATCCGGCGGTCGTTGCGATTGAGTCTTGTCTGGACCCATGGACCACAAATCTTTGACCCACGTTCAGGTTACAATGAGAGCAGTACTGTAAGCCTTGAAATCGAATCCAGCAGCACACGCAGCAGACACCGGGATATTCCAGCAGGCAGGTATAGTGGTATACAGATCGGTTTAAAGTTTGAAACGATGTACCTTGTTGTGGGCCGTGAAACTCGCTGTGCCTCGTGCCTTTTCTCGAGCCAGCATTTGCGGTGGTGCGCTGTAGTGTGTGACATCAGCGGGGTGGATTGGAAGTTCCCAGCACGGTCATCGGGCATTAGCGTGTGCCGCATGTGTTTGCGTGGCCCCCGCGAGACTTTCTGACAGCCCTTGTCGGCGACTGCTGGTCGGATCTCAAGGCCCTTGGGCTCTTTCTTGTTCTACGATCATCGCTTAACTGGCATCAAACGGTTGTCGAGCTCCTAGTCAGTCTCACATTGCCCGACTTCAGACACCCCCGAAGAATTATATGGCCGACGAGAGCATCGTTCTTTTGCAGGCGCTGTCTTGCCCCGCTACCGCTGATGAGCCGCTGCTTTTACTACTGTTGGGAATTTAAAATACACAACTAAGACTACCGAGCTGACACGATAGAGTGATGCGCTTGAACAAACGGCCACACTCACTTTTTGACGATCCTTGACGCTTTCGCTTGAATGCCCAGCATGTCGCGACGAGCTCCACCACGCGAGTATTATGAAGAGGATGAGGATTTGGAAATCGAACGGGAGAGAGATCGGTACCCACGATCACGTCGATCTGAGCGTGATCTTGACGAAGAGGTTGAGTACCAACGGCGCAGATCGATGCCACCAGCGGAGGATCTTGAGCGCATGCACATTCGGGACCGACCACCACGTGATATAGTTCGCGAGGCCTACGAAATACCAAGAGAGTCAGGTCCTCTTGTGAGACGGTCAAGGGATGAACGAGATGAATTCTCACGGGAGAGAGAGCTAGAAGAGCCTCGCGTACGCTCATCTCGCCGGCGAGGAAGCCGCAGTCATCGACCTCGTGAACTTTTGGAGGAAGAGGAGTCTGAACTCATCATCGGCGAGAGAGACAGGCGTAGGGCCCGAAGACATCGAAGATCGCATGATTCGGAGAGAGACGATATCGCAATGCGTCACCGAGGACGTGCCAGTGAGGGGGATCTGAGGCCTCGAGGAAGGATACTCGAGGAGGAAGATGAAGTCTACTATAGATCGGCGTCACGGCCACGGCACAGACCATCGCGCCGTGAGGTGGAATTGGAAGAAGAGATCGTCAATGGTAGAATTGAAGACCGATCGCGAAAGTCACACTACCGACGGGAGCCCACTTACGAGGATGAGCTGGTGATGTCTTGGAAAGACCGCCCATCCCCTCGAGAGCAGGAAGAGGAGGAGGATATTAAGCTCCGAGAGACACGAAGACTACGAAGGCCCAGTCAACCAGAGCCACGATATGTGCGGGAACCCCCGTCGAGAGACCTCCCCGGTGCCTGGCCTATTGAAGAGGAAACCGAAGAAGACGAGGTTCGATATCGAGAACGGAGACGCTCACGGCCGCCCAGACACTCCCGACACCGTGACTCTGAAGAGCTGGAGGATGAGATTCTGATTCGTCGAAGAGATCATGATCGCCACGCTGGTCGAGATAGCATGGAGAGTGATGAGATTGTCATTCGAAGGAGCAAGGAAAAAGTGCTTCCTCGAAAACGTTCCTTGTCCCCGGAGCGAATTCGGTCTCCTTCTACTGTACACCATCGACACATTGATCACGGTAAGATATACAATGAGACCCAAGTCGTGGGCATTAAACAACTGATGACCCAATTATCAGACTTTGAGACTGCGCGTCCGTCCCGCGCTCCTAGTCCTGACCTCACTTCGCCCCGAGCCAGTTTTGACGAAATAGACTATCATCAGCGGTAAGTCAAGCTGATCACACTTAAATCACGTCTTATACTAATTTTATCATGTTGCATGGCAGTACACGCCGAGGTCCTGGTGGTCGTATATCAGAGGAAGAGATTGTCATCAACCATCGAGATCGGGAAGAGTCTGTGTCTCCAACTGCAGGTTTTGCCAGCAATCCAGAAAGCCAGTGGAGGGAGGAGCCACGTAGGCCTCATAGCCGTCAGCCGCGCTCCCTCGAAGATGGAGACAGCATCTCGTCGATCTCAGGAAGTCCACCTCCTCAGCCACGAGGTCTCTCTCGTGGACCGGTGATCGACGACGACATCATTGAAGAAGAGATCAAAATCCGACGAGAACGATCCGAGCGTCACTTGCGTGAGGAGATCAGGAAGAAGCAGGAGGAGGAGCTGTCCATCATTCCTTCTCCGGCAAGAGACGAGGTTGTTGAAGTCTCCCGCGCTCTAGAGGTCGTCGAAGTGGCACCAAAAGCGGCGGTTCAGGAAGAGTTAGAAGTCCGTGGGCGTGTCGAGCAACAAGTCGTGGCCGAGCGTCCCGACGAGCGGTGGACGGAAATTGCAAAAGACCTGGTTGTTCGCGAAGCCATTGAGCGATTGGGATATGAATTTGAGGAGACAAGAAAATTTTACTACATTTTCTCCTTTCTACAGCCGGTGAGTCTCCTGCACGTATTGGTAAAGAAATGGATGATGCGAGTGCTAATTCGTGCTTATTGCCTCCCAGGCCGATATTGATGAGCTAGTGGAGTTATCGGATGCCATTCGTCACGCACGACGACGTCGGATCAAGGAGATGCAGCGAGAACGCCAAGAAAGAGCACCTCGACCAAAGTCTATGGTCGAGCGAATACCTCCTCGCCCGCGAATGTCACGACACATCCGAGAGCGAGAATGGATTGTCGAGGAGCGAATTTGAGTAATGCATCTTTACTGCTATCATGTACGGGGATTTTCACTCAACTTTGCAACACACGACTTACGATTACGATTACAAGATACATGCATGATGACTATTATATTTTGATGCCAACGACAACGACAGAACCTGAAATTCCTTGCGGACTTTTTCATGCTCATGCGCTTCATCGTCAAAAGCACTGCTCTTGGCCTTGGCTGTACTGTAGGTAGTAGGTAGTGGGACCAGGTAGTGAGGCAGCTCGATTCTCAAAACGTTTCACAATATACGCATCCATCTCGAGGCGTCGTGTTCGACGTCGACTTGAATAGTATCCAGATGCACTGTGAAGCATATTTGTCGTACCTGAAGGAATTCTGTCAAGGATTCACCCCTCCATACTTCCAATTTCTTGTAGAGCATCAATTGTTCACCGAATGGATGTGTTTTTTGCCACTTGAATTCTCCATTTGCGTCAGTCCAGATTTCTGACCGAAACATGACACCAATATTCAGGGTGGTGGGGGTCCAACGGAGCAGAAACCATGGAGCAGAATGGACGGATAGCCGATGGCCCGATAGATACCTATTAGGCTATTACTACTCAACCAAAAACAGACAAAACTGAAACTGCTCTGCTGAGAAACTGATGAGAGAAGGTCTGCTGTAGGTCACCTCTTGAGTGCCTAAATGCCTTTTTCTTTTTCATGACGGGAGAAAATTGTAGTCCCTGGAAGCCTTGTCATGTCACTCATCCGGCAGAAGACAAGAACTAATCCATTCACCCTTGTACTGTAATTGTTCAGGGCCCCGTTTCATAACAGTTAGCAGGGTCCACTAAGATCATTTCTATTTTTCCCCATTTGCTGATCTGCATGTTTGCTGAATTCAGTTCCCCCCCCGTCCTGTAAATCTCGTTGGGCTTGAATACCCGAGGCCGACCACCCCGAAGGTCACCCACGGGCAAAGGCTCAGGGGGTACTGGTAGTGCATGCATGGGCCGTTTGAGGTATGGTGACTCCCCCGCGCGGTGGTCATGACTTCCTTCAGACCCTGCTCAGTGCTGGGTGCTGAGAGATTGCACTTACTCTTGGCAGTATGATTACACTGGAGCCATGAAGCGCAGGAACCTTTCTGATCTCACTGGGTGGAAAATAGACGAGAAATTTTGATCGTCAACCCTAGTGTTTGGGATCCTGATACCCGTGCAATCAGAAGGGTTCTGCATGTCGCTGGGGGTCGGTGGAGACTGGAGACCAATGGGCGATACAGATACAAAATGGGAGGCCATGGATTGATTATTTTCTGGATGTGGGCGGGTTCATACGGGTTTCTGTTGCCAAGTGAAGTGAAGTCAGTACTAGATAAGTAGATGCATGCCTATTATGAGACCAAAGGAAGCAGCGTGACTATGGATCATTGGATTGTACGCAAGTTGGCCTATCCCGTGTGCACTGTCTTGTGCCGGAGTGCCGAAAGTCTTGGGATTGCCATGTCCCCATGGTCACCATATCCATAGTCTAGTTCGCGCATTGACATCGATCGCGTGGCTGTTGGTGCCAGTTAGATCTCGGCCAAGGGCTCAGGCTGGCCTCAGCGACACGAGTACCATGGATACATCTTCTCTGGTTCAAGGCTCGGTGCGGGAATCCAACAAAGCTGTACAGGGACAAAACTTGGTGCCGTGTGCCAGGGGAATGCCTTCAAGCCTTATAGTAGTGGTACCTTACTACCTACCGAGTCCAACCAATTTGTTGGTACTTGAAGGCCCGCGGTGGTCGGGGTACGATGTGGGTTCGCTTGATAATTTGATATGTTGTGTGTGGCATCTCCGCCTTGAGCCATTGTTCTCAATCTGCAGGCATGCATTTGCAGAGGAGGTGTTAGGAGGTGGCTAGTAGGCTATAGTAGGTGGCTAGGTACAGCATCATCATATGAGAGAGGGATGAGCGGTATGAGATTGACTGGCTAGGAGAGATTCTATCTAGATTATGGACTGCGGCGAGACGGCAGTATCACATGCCATACAAACATGAGGTGTAAGGCCTGGGAGACTGGGTATGAAAACAGACCTTCTCCAGTCTTGGAGTGGAAAATTTGAGCACAAAGCATACATTTTGAATTGACTGCTATGTCATATACTAAGTAGTTGAGTAGAAGTGCTGTTGTTGTGAAGGAGTGAGTAGTCTTGCATCACCTGCCCAGAAGTTCTACAGTATCTGATGGACATTCTGTTGATTCCATCTCCAGCACGGTCGGCTCAGGATGGATCACCGCTGCAGTTGCCCACTTGCCAACCGGGCTGGGCTAAAGCCACTGACTCTCGGTTTTCCAGATAAATGACACCACGATCGGGATCATCTACCAGAATCTTTCAACAAAGAGGGCAAAAATACTCCGACTATGACCACCGATCACCGACCGGCGACCACTGCTGACCCCTGACCAGTCATTCCTATCGAAGGTCCCAGAAACCATCCGATCGGAAAACAAGCCCGGCCTGTGAAGATGGCAGCCAAGATTGAGCTTGAACTCTCACATGCATGAGCTCAGTAAGGTACTGTGAGGGTAGAATTTGATCAACTGCTGGTGACCAGGTCGGCAGTCACACAACTACTAAACTCTACTGTCTTGAGTGTCTTCGAATCTTGTCGGTAATTAGGTATACTTACTGGAAGTATATATCTTGTATACATGGTCCTAACTCTCCTTATGTCAGTAGACCGTACAGTACAATGCCACGGAAACTATACTGTAGTCAGTTTGTTCCAATTTTCACCTCGGGATATTCCATAGGCCCGATGCAGGTTTTTGATCATCGTTGGCTGGAGTGCAGTGCTTGACTTCGGTGTGGCTGACGGCAAAACCGCTGCGTGGCTACAGCGCCCGAAAGGGTAAGACACCGTCGAACGATCTCGGCCTGATTCAGATCCACTGATTACGTATACTCGGCGAGTATTCGAGTCATCAACAACACCGTATATTCAATTATGCATACAATCGAACATGGTTACATACACGCATATACTGGTAGGGCACAGTCGCAGGTAGATAAAAGTGTTGTGCACAGAGACTATTTTGTACACTGGCTGGGGCCAAGCTTATTCGAGAGTCAACAGCGGTCAATCTTATGTAGGGAAAGATCATATGGTGGACTACTGACGAGAGTGTTCCGACTTCCTAGGCATGTATTCGGACGGAGTTGACCGACTATTATTACTAGACCTAGAATGAATCTGAACTGCCTGATATGATTCTATTTGGTTACTCTATGACTGGAGAACTAGAGCGTTCTATTGCTGGTATATGATGCGAGTCCCGCAAGGATGCATGAGCACCCCTGGCTCTGGAGTCTTGATTCTGAGGAATGTACCCGTGTACCATGTCCTGTCGGTCTTCAACTTTCAAGATGTAGTTACATACTAACCCGCCCGTGGCCCTGTAGTACAGTGTACAGTGTACATCACTAAAAATGGTCATATATAGCTGTTGGGGTTCCATTCAAGGCTCTTGAATATCTACCAGTACCGAATCCATGGACCTAACCATGTACAGTAAGTACTTAAGCACTCGAACAGTTCGATTGTTTCCGTCTACTTGTATGAGCGGATAGCAAAAGCGACCATACTTCACAACTTTATAGTAGACGAAACTAGGGAGTAGAAAACAAAGAGTAAAGCACTCAGCAACCTGCCCCTGTACAGATACATATCCATACCTATGATTGGAAGTGATGTCGGACGCAAATTTACCTTATTTCCTCTCATAAAAGATGTTGCGAGGGAGTTGTTGTCAACTTGTCACCATTTTCCCAGACCCGGTCAATGCCGACGCGCATCCTCTTCTTTAGATCCTCTGTCCCCCTCGGGGAATGGATTCAGACCAAAGTGGTAGTTACTTGGCTTGTCTTCCTCTGCCTCGACTTGCTGCTGTCCATCCTCCCTGAGTCGGTAGCACGGTGCAGTACTGTTTCGCTCTCCGCCGGGTCAATGGTCAAGAATGGTCCTGGTCGCAGAGAAGCCCGGTGGAGCCCTAAGCAACCAAAACCTGGAATTCTGGTTGATAGTGGACCACCACCGAACCAATCACTCCGGCACGTTGAATGGGTTACGAGCCATGGATGATTCTTCGGGGTGAAACCGGAAAATCTTAAAAAAGCTGCTATTAATTCAGGTGGACGTGATTGGCACTCAACGTGCCTGAATCCAGATGCGCGAAAACTTTCCCAAGAGGGGAAACCAAAACAAAGTCTCCCAGACTCCGGATGTACAGCTACAGACACCACTCACAGGAACTGAAGAGGAGCAACAGGGACCGCCTCATGAATCGCTGCCAAACCCCCATGTCACCAAGCTGGCACTGCGAGATGTACACAAGGTCGGGTAGAAAAAAGGGAGTCGTACATAGACTCAGACACCGTTGACCGTAGTCTTTCCGTCAATACGACGGTCTCAGGGACGTCGACCAAACCCTGGACTGAGGGTCATTGCGGTGACATGTACAATGGTACGAGTCTTCACTCTTCATAGCTTCCCCTCGTGAGATTGAGCCGTACATGGTCCGTCAATCCGGCAGTCAATGGTGCAGAAAGATTGAATGGGGACTTGTGAAGTGTGATCTTCATAGAACGGAGGTGCGTTTCCGCTTTGTAAGGTGGTTCCTGGCACTGGCTGTCTTCTTCCTGCTAACGTGCTAAGTACCTTGTCCTTGGCCGAATTAAGAAGAACAACATCCCGACTCGAGTAGCTTGTCGCATCAAGATAGACGACTGTATCAGTGTATATCGTATAGTGTAAACTGTCAACCCTCTGCGTCGACGCAAATCGTCCATTCAACTTGTCAAACTGTTGTTCTCTGGCCATTGTTGATTATATACCCATCAAGTCACTTAGAAGAAGCATTGAGTGGAATTGAGCTTGGGTTCAGGTCGGACATCGGACCTCGAATCGAGTCCTCCGATACCCCTCGAGGTATTGTATCTCGGTGCATTTGATTTTTCGGTGTTCACGAGCAATTGATCGCATCTCGATCGAGTCCCTCCGCCCCAGTGGTCAGGCCAGAATTTCACACATACGTCAACCAGATTCCCAACTGATGCCCATTCTCCATTCTCCCCGTCTAGACTCTGGTCTCTTGGATTACGGCGGTCGTACACAGCCAAGGACGTGCACGACAATCGAGTCTCCACTGCGAAACTAGCGGCAATCCCGGACGAGGTGGACTGGAGGCCGACGCAGGAAAATCGTCCCTCCCGAAGAATAATACCAACCTTCCTCTTCTTCTTCTTCTTCTTCTGCGTACCTTCCACCATCCCTCTCGTTCCGCCCGACCTTCCCCTCCTCCCCTCCTGGATAGTCATTCCATCGAGCGACCAGACTTCCATCCTTGCTTCGCTCCACGACCAAGATTGTAGAATCCTGAGCGTCGGTTCCAGTCCGCCCTCATCCCACGGTCATCGGTGCAGCGCTCTCTGTCACCTTCGTCGAGATTCCCACCTCCCGCTGGTTGGGTTGCACCCGCCGGTGTCTCTCCCGCCCCTGATCACTCCGGCCGACCTCTTTCCTCGCTCGACACCATCAACACAAACGATGCGTTTGCCTCTCTGAACGGGCACTCTCCAGACCGGTCTGTCTTTTGAGCGGGTCGTGACATTGTCCTTCCGTCCGTCTCGTCATTACTTCCTCACTTCACCCACTCCCCCGACCGACTCCCGCCGCTTCCTTTCACGCCTCTCTTCGTCGCATGCGTGATCCTCATCTCAACCATCGGTCGGCATCACTTTCACAAGGCTACCAACCCAGACTCTTCCTTCTCTGACGCGCTCAAGTCAGGTGAGAATCAGCTGGCGTCACCGGAACCACCCAGCATCCGGCCGGATCGCGCCGACAGATCACACGCAACAGCGGCCGCCTGTGATCTCCCCACTTTCACTCTTCCACCGCATCCCCTTGAACGCCGTCCACATTGACGCCAGGATGCATCACTTTCTCCTCTTTCTTCTCGCCCTTCTGTTTGTGGCCCGGCCGGGCACAGCGGCCACAAACAAGTTGACCTACTGTGCCACCGCCAATACTGGGTCGGACTTCTCCTCCGGTATGCCAAATCTCCACTGCAAGATCAAGTGAAAGATGTCGGGGACCATCATCCAGAGAGTTCGGTGTACTGACAGCATTCTTAGTCTCCAGCATCTACCAGTCCAACGGACTATGCCAGAAGACTTGTGCTGGCTATGCTCTGGGGGTCCTGCAAGGGAACCGATGCTGGTGTACCAATGTGGCTCCGTCGGAGGCCTCGCGAAAGGATGTCTCCGAGTGCGCCACTGGCTGTCCAGGATACCCCGCTGATAGCTGTGGCAATGCCGGGAAGGGCGTGTACGCCTACGTCCCGGTAGTGGGCAACTCGGTCACCAGCACGGCCGGCGGTGGTCAGAGTAGCTCGAGTACTTCGTCCTCGTCGACCTCTACCTCCACGTCTAGCTCGTCCTCGGTAAGTCGCGACATTCCCTTCTTTTCAGTATGCCCCGAGTCGCCTCCTCCCCCTTTTTCTGCAGTGGAGTTGAAGCTGGATTCATGGCTGCACGTGTTTTTCAAACTTTGTGGTCCTTCATGCTTGGGCTCGGGTGTTTTACTGTCCCATGAAATCAGATGTCTCATTCGTGGTACAGGAAAGCACTAGTAGCACTTCCTCATCGACAAGTACGCAGACCAGTACTCTGATCACCTCCACACCACCTCCTGTATCGTCTCTCCCTCTCCCCCTCCCCCTCCGCTCCCTATTCAATGATATCATAGGCCCGTATGGGATCACTGTGAACTAACCCAGATTGCCTTGTTAGTCGACCACCACCGACCCGGCGACAACGTCGGCCGGCAGCCTGGTCACGGTAGAGACCACCCTGGCAGGCCTGGTCAAAACCATCACGGTTCCGGCGCCGACTGCCACAGGTGCTCAGGATTCATCCAATCACGGTGGGGGCAGCGCTAGCCTGAGCGGTGGCTCTATTGCCGGCATCGTCATCGGTGTTCTGGGTGGCATCGCCCTGCTTGGCGCGCTCATTTTCATGGTCTTCTTCTATCGCAAGCGGGCCCGCGCCGTCAGCCCGATCCCGAGCACAGCGGACATGGCCGAGCATCGTGCCAGTCAAGCATCCTCTTTCTCTCGGGGTGTTTTCTCGCAAGGACCTCAGGATGGCTCAAGCCTGGGTCGCAAGCATACATTCACCGACAACCGGCTGAAGACCGACATCTATCCCAACGGTCCTCGCGACAGCAGCGTTTCCCTGCAGGACAACGAAGACTATTCGCGTCCTGTCCTTCGTGTAAGCAAGCCCAATCGGTGATTACAAACCACAAGTGGAGAAGAAACTGAGAACTGACACGGACTTTGCAGCTTACCAACCCTGATTAAATTTGAGAAGCTGAACATGTTTGCTGCTTCTCGCCCGCCCATCCTCGGTTGCTCCTCCCTCCCAATACCAACTCACCTTCTTCACCTTCTTGCTCCGCTCCGAACCTTTTTCTTATGATACCCACTCCTTTCGCATGGTCTTTTTCCAATGTTTCTCAAGTGTAAGGATTTGACGGAGGGAAACGTGTACCTCATTCACATGCCCGACCGAAACAAGATCTGCTCTTCCGATAAAGTGCTCCCAGTAGTCTCGCCTTTTTTTTTTTTTTTTCGGCGGCGGTTCCCTTGATCTCCCGCCCACTTGATCTGTGTCGGAAGCGCTGCATGCTGCAGACGAGAAGAGAGTGAACAGAAGGGGTTCTCGAGTCGAGTGCGCTACGTGATGATTCTGCAGGTGGGAAATCCGGCCTCCATTGGTCTCGCTCTCCCTCAAAAGCCGTCCTGTGCAGGCAAACACGACCTCATGACCTGCACTCTCGCAATACCCACATTTTGCATACATATCTACCCTCGGTGGGGTAGTGGCGTTTATTGTTTTCCGACCCGTGCGTGTTTGTCCGCTGCGATTCAGCCATTTGCGATCAATGATCTGACCCGCGCGTGTCGACTTTCTGGCCGTGTCGCCGGACCTCTTGCCCGCGCTGTTTGTGGTTTTCCAAACTCGCGATTTCATTTCTCTCATAAGAATAATGTTTTTGTATCATTGAGCCCGTCCTGTGTGTTGACGTGCATCCTGCTATCATCCTAGCCTGGTCATCATTCACAGCGTTGGATGGTAGTCCCCTATTCTTTTTGTTTGTGTTTCTAGAAATTCGATACACCCGAGGCCGAAGCACACTCGTGGAGCCTCTCGAGCAATATTATTTCCGTCTTTTATTCGCTCACTCACTCTTCATCCGAAATCTTGGAAATTTTGTGATCCATCTCCAGCGTCAACCATTATAGTTTCACGAGTAGGCTCTTACGTGACCCGAACCACGCCAGCAGCTACCTATCGCATTCTGAGCTAGGTCATCTTCCCAGTCGATTTCAGTATGCTCCGACCCAGAGCTCCGTCTGCTACTCAGACTTGTGTCTGAACTACAAATAGACCGTCGAAATTCCCGCGGGAGAGCTTCACTACATGACTCGCTCGAGACGGGACCATCAGATCCATCCAGCCAGTCGAGAACCAGTGAATCAGCAGGTGCAGCACTGAACCGGACCGCTCCATGTGCCAACAGTAGGCGTGCGATCGACACTAACTTGGATGCTGTAGCCAGATGAAGAGCACTCTCTCCGTGCATCGACAGAATGTTCAGGTCCGCGCCCCTTTCGATCAGTGACTTTGCCACAACAAATCGTCCCGTTCTCACGGCCAGATGCAGCGCCGTATACCCCCACATATCCTGGACGTCGACGTTCATCGCAGGATGACAGGCCAGAAGCATAGCGAATGGCGAAAGAGCTCTGGGTTCATCGCCCAGAGATACATGCAATGCCGTCTGGTCCAGATCATTTCGAGCATTGAGAACGCAAGGTGGTATCTGATCCAGAACCCAGGCGAAGAGCCTCGCATCTTCTCGAGCGACGACACTATGCAAAACCGTCTTTCCACTTGCCGAGACGCAGGCCAAATCCCCACCGTACTCGACAGCCGTTCTGACAGTCTCAACAGAGCAGTAGAAGGCCAGTGTCGGCATTACTCCATCGGCATTTACATCCGCCGACGCGCTGATTAGAATCCGAACGATCTCGTCGTCCTTTACCCTGGCCGCATGGACCAAGGGACTGGTTTCCGTGACCAGGTCGAGTCGCGACGCATCGGCGCCATACTCCAGCAACAACTTCACCATATCAACGCATCGAGACTGGACCGCCAGACTGAGTAATCGCTCGCCAGATACAACATAGGCATTAGGATCAACATTTCGTCGGAGCAATCCACGCGCAATATCAAGCTCACCTTTCTCCACCGCCATCCCGAGGACCTCCGCGTCAGTAGCGCCGAATTCACCTGCGGGAACTCCATAAGAAGCGTGCAGACTGAACACCGGCTCGTCGATGCCAGGCCGTTGGTCTTTGTCAAAGATGAAATTTTCCTCGTATTGGTGGAGCGGCGCGAGGCAGACGACCTGGGCTCGATGGGTGATTTCTTGGTCGCAAATGGAGTAGAGCGAGTGGCAGGATCTTGCGAAGCGGAGGAGGGAGCGGGTGTCGAGATGTTGTCCGATTTGGAGGGTCAGCTCTGCGGGTAGATCGCCTAGGTTGATGGGTGTTTGGGGGAGGCTGGGTTTGTCCTGGTTCACAGTGTGTGTCATTTTGCGGGGACTTTGTACCAATATGTTCAAGGATTTCAGTGCGTTTGAATGAGGCTTGAGTATCGACTGGTGCCAAGTGTGTGGTATTCGGGAGATCTTGATATTCGCGAGTACAGTATACATGATAGATATAGAGCTTTTATGTATGTCGAAGATCGCATCAATGTCAGTACCTACTTTATTTGCACATGGGCGCTTTGTTACAATGAACAAAGCACTCGACGTCACAATGGCAATATTTGAACAAGAAACACGAAGACTTTGTCGATATATCAAAGGAAATTGGTCAACAATGAAGACACAAACGTGCTCATACCTAATGCCTCTTTGTCGGCGACTTTCTTGTTGATCATTGATACGAGAGGGTCTCCAGGTCTTGGCTTGAGCCCATTTGTATTTCTGTCCCCTACGTGTAAATTGTGTATATCACCTCGCAATGGCACTGTTTTCCCACTCGATCACCCCATGAGCTGGAGATCAGATAGGGCTCTGATTTGCCCCAGACGGGGTTTGTCTGACTTTCCCTACGAACCGAGAGCCTTTGATGAATGTCGGAGCAGTCACGTGATGCAAGAAACCCTTCCAAATATCCCCGTCTCGATCCAAGGAGAGACACGCTTGTCGGGTATGTATTCTTGGAAATTAAGAAGGGAAATTTCATCATTTGATTAGAGGCTGTTTAGGAAAAGTAAGCTCCTGCCCAGGCTAGGGCCACGGGAGGGTTACCTATCTGAGGGTAGGGAGATGAGAGAACGACTAACATCCACTTGGGGGGTACCCTATACGTCTCATGATCCTGTTCCTGGGACCTGATTCAACACATAGAATGCCTTAGTGACCAGTGCCTGCTACTCTATCAACTGTGTTCCTACCCATTCACTAGGGCATTGAATGAGGCAAACCACGAATGCATGATACAAGACATGCGATAGTATTGAACGATGAGATGTCAATGAAGATGTTTGACTAGTGGATCAGACAGCAATAGATAAGAATACCTATCATCGAGCTGAATAGTAATCGTCATGACCATTAGGCTTGGAACTGATATGTGATATGGTAGTTACTAGCTGCTAGACAGTAGATAGTGATGCTAGCTACCCGTGCCAGCGCCGGTAGATGGGAGAACAAATGAACAAGACGTGGTGATGACAAAAAGCAAACAAGGTGTTTGAATCATGCTGATTCCCCTCCCGTCCTCTCCGTCTTCTTTCAGCATCCTCCATATCAGACGGGACGAGATCTCTAGGGCGGCAGCAGTTGCAGGACTTGTATAAGAGCCTTATCAGGTGTCAAATCGTAGTCACTCTCACCTCTCCTGGACGAGATCTCTAGGGTGTTGAATGAGTCAAGTTGGACCGAGTAGATGATGTTACATGTGATCATGTGAACAGACGTCTTCTCGGGACGCCAAGATGCCAAGCATAAGGTGGCTCGTCGAAACGCTTACACGCAGTCATGTACCTCAGTCAGTACAATTGGCGAGTCCCCTCAAACTCTAACCAAGTCGAGTCCTACTTCCTCCAGATGAAGTAGTAAGATTCTGCACATCAGTACTACAGGACTAAGTCATCTATATGATCTACTCATTTTGCGACACGCTGCCTGGAACGTGGTATCTCCCAGACCTGATGCTTCTCCCAATTGTTCAGAATTCAGAACAGGCGGTATGTCTGAGTCTGAGGGGTGTCCGACTTTTGCAGTGCCGCTATAAGGCGTCCAAAGCTGCACACTAGCGATCAAACCGGTCTAGTCTCGTGGATACAGCATCTCGTATCAACCTATCTTCTCTGTCCTTCCTACAAGGGTCCTTGACTCGATTGACTAAGCCTCCCCTCGCATAATGAGGCCCTGACCTACTCATCAGAACCTTTTACGCACCGCAATCAACTTGCTATGAATTTTTTTTGGGAAAGAAAAAGAAAAAAAAAGCCGCGACAGACTGGCAAAGAGCGTCCCTCAAACGAAATCTAGCAAGAAAATCGAATTGATCTTGGGTAACTCTAAACATTGCCTTGAAGGAGAACAGTGCGGACGATGTGACCCTGAAGTGGGGGCGGGATCTTACGGACCGCACGCCAGTGCCGCGGGTCCCAGGCGGCTCTCCGCAACATCGTTCCAGTGGTGTTCGATCGCTTGCCTGATTTGGTTAGCGGGTTCCGGCCCCATACTATAACGAGGATCTCTTCCGTTGCTAGGCGCCAGTAGGGAAGAAAGATCAAGTCGGCGACACGAACAGAGATTCCATTCGCACCGAGTTCATTGGACTCCAGTCGCACACTCGATTGTCCAACGGCTCCTGAGATATGCAAGTGTGACACGAAATTTCATGGACCTCAATAACCCTGTGCGGAAGTCTGGCCGTAGTCGAGCAGATGTAGCGCGATTATATCTTGCGGCTCCGTTGGCCCCCCCCCCCCCTAGTGACGACCTGATGGACCCTTAACTACTTCGCACTTGGCATGGATCATCAGCGTTCGGCCGGTGTCTCTTGGTGCATTCCCATGACTGAGGCACTCCAGCCCTCTGACTACCTTTGCCGAGAAGAAATAAGATGATTTGGGTTATTGACCCAATGACCGTCTCTGCGTCTCCTCCAACTCCCTAATTTGCTTCCTGAATCACTACCGAGTCTTTCTCTTCCAGACGCTCCCAATGCTTCTACCAAGAAGCGTTTTGAGACCTGGCCTTACCTTTCTCAAATCCCCCATACACCGTCTGCTCTTGGGCTTTGCGCTCCTCTACGGCCTCGCGATTACCTGGGCTCGCGCCCGTTGCTGGCGCGATCCGACATCGGCCTTCTTCGCAGAAGACGAGGCATATGAGCCCGCGTACTCTCTCCAGCGTGGCGCGCAAGCCAACGCCTTTCTCGACCATGCCAACCAAAACACCCTTCCTCTTCATTTCCACACCAAAGCATCTGCTCATCCGACGATATGTGTGGGTATCACCTCGGTGGCACGGAAAAATGCAACATATCTCCAAGGCGCCGTCGGGTCTGTACTGGAGAGCCTGACGCCGACAGAGAGAGGTGATGTACACCTCACCGTGCTGATCGCACATTCCAATCCAGCAGAGCATCCGGCGTACGCAGAACCGTGGCTCCATACGCTGGTCGACAGGGTGCTGCTCTATGACCCCGACCTCATCGATCTCGAACATATTCGCGAGTTGGAGACCCCTGAGGCAAAGATATTTGCCCGCGAAAAGGGCCTACTAGACTATGTCTACCTCCTTCGCGCATGCGAATCTCTCCATACGTCGTATACTGTGATGCTTGAGGATGATGTTGTTGCTCTGGACGGCTGGTACCATCGGACCAAGGAAGCTCTGCTTGTTGCCGAACAGAAGACGGTCGAAAAAGGATGGGACAAGTGTAAGTTTACGATCATTCGCCTGCCAATTCACCATGGGATCTTTTCAACCGTGGAACAGAAGATTGACGGGACGACATTTTTTTTTTTTTTTTTTGCAGGGCTATCTATACCTTTGACTCTTCTATACTGAACAGTTTCTCGGATGGAACTCGGAAGAATGGCCTACCTACCTGCTATCTTCTCTCCTCCTCGCGCTCGGAGTAGTAGCTCTGGCAACGGTGATTCGCTACTCCCGCCCAGCTACGGCTGCATATCTTCCAAACAAGGTCATTGCCATTCTCGCATTCGTCATCACTCCTCTCATCATCATTCTCTTTTTTGCTGCTGGACGGGTCACGATGCTCCCGATGGCAGCCGCCGTCCACAAGATGCCTCGGTTCGGATGCTGCTCTCAGGGCTTAGTCTTTCCGCAGACGCGCATCGGAGATTTGGTATCCTGGTACGAGTTCAAAAGACTTGGATACATCGACATGCTGACAGAAGAATATGCCGATGCGAACAACGAGGTACGCTGGGCATTAACGCCTAGTGTACTGCAACATGTGGGCAGCAAGAGTTCAAAGGTGAATATGCCCCGGGAACACAGAACCCGACGGACTGTTTCCGAAATGATCTGGAACTTCATGTTCGAAAAGAATGATGTAGGGGAACTACGCCGCGAGCATAAACAGCAGTCTGAAGCAGATGTATAAACATGTTCAGGTACTTAGATACAAAATGAACCTATCTAACCTTGAAAACACTTTTATCTACCTTGGTGTCCAATCTCTGGCATGTGATCCTGCCAGTGCTGGTCGATCATAGATAGAGCCTCCCCCACAACAATCCCACAAGTCTTTTTCACGTCTTCTTGAGCTGTCTCTGTCATGAGCCATTTATTTCCTATCACCCGTTCAACCGAAGACAGTAGAAATATACAACCAGACAGAACTCTACAAGCTACAAATCCAAGCCGGGCTCGGCATCGTTCTGAAAAAAACAATAGACACTATCAGCAGCAACGATGGCACCGATCACAACTTGAGAGAACCAAGTAAATACTTGCGACCAATCTTGCCGATCTTCAAATTCAAAGTGCTGAATCATATGCCAAACAAAAAAGAACATGGACACCCAGCGCAGCGCGATAACCCCTTCATGCACTATATAATCTAGCGCAGATTTGCCGTTGTATATACGCGTCTGCATGCTCGAGGTATTCTTTCGAATCCCCGTCGACCACGTCAGAAATTCATAGCTCTCGTTCATGCCGCTCTGACCCCGGTGGTGGCTGGGAAGTGCCTCCGTCAAGATGCTTGGCCGCTGTGCGAGATAGAAGGCATTGTCTGACGGGGATTACTCTCTGCTGCTGCGAAATTTCTTTCTCTTCCTCCATCTTCCAAGGGTTAATATTCTGTCTAACATAAATCACGCACATATCGTTCTTCTGTCATGCTTTTCTACACGCGAGGAGACCTTGGATCAGAAGAGAGTGGGCTGCTACCTATTCAGCGATCTTGTGTCGTTGGTAGTTGTAGCTTTAGGCTGATGATAAACCGTTGGGAAAAAAACGCGCCAGATCAGTAGGAAGAAGAAAGAAAGGCTTGAAAGGTTATGTTGTACACCCGAGGCAAATGGAAGGCTGGAGGAAAAAGGCTCCATCTGCGAACGGCCCTACTGCTTCTAAATCACCCCAAGAAGTGTAACGATAGTGTTGGTTTCTAGTATACTATGGTAGTCCACCAAGCATCGCAAGACGGGAAAGATCTGGTGCTAGAATTGTTTAGGTGCTGGAATCTTTGACATCAGTCTCAATAACCTTCCAAATGCTCTTCTTCGTGCTCAACCCTCTCCGATATATTTCTCGCTCGCTTGTTGTTGGTGCTCTCAGTATATCAATCCATCGGGTTCTTCCACCCCTTAAGCCTCGGTTCCTTTCATGATAGACCAGTTCAATTTGTCATACAAATCACCTGATATTCCATTTTTTTTTATCAGATAAAAACGTCCACTGGCCCCGTGGCACCCGATCAAAGCACTCGTTACTGCATTCTCGCCACTCTCCAGCTCGGGCACCTACGAAACCAGGGCCACAGCCTCAGTTCCCGTGATATACACGCTCCGCTCCCAGAGCTCATTCAATCCATGCAGACAGCCCGCGGGCTCGTGCATGACGCGTTGTTGGTAGTCCTGATTAACGCCGACGGCATTCCTTAGGTTAGGCAGGGTCTCTCTGGAAAGGCTGAATCAAAGCATGGTTGCAGGTGGGTTTCTTTTGTGTTCACCCAATTGTCTGGAGTACGAGCCCGAGTCCGAGCCCGAGCCCGGTGGAAGTACCTTTTTATCGGGTTCTTGCATGGGGGTATTCTAGCTGTAAAACACTGTTCCTCTGGTGTCAATCAAGTGTGTACTAAGTGGCCGAGATGAGAACGACAAAGGCTCGAGATAATCTCGAAACTTCCAGACACGATCCGCAGATTAGATCCGTGGGTTCAGACGCTGGTCTGTTCATTAATAGTAGTCGCCGGCTTATCATCACGACTTACTTCCCCGCCTCGTTCATGTCGATGGCGATATTGTCTACTTCTCTAGATAGGAATAGCACCAGCACTAGTACCAGCACCAGCACCAGCAGTGGATGGCGTAATTACACCTCTGAGACGGATACGAGCTCCTTCTAGAGCGATTCTTGTCCGTTTCCAGAACACGCTCGACGTGATACTGTAGGTAAGACGGCCAGTGGACATGTACTGGAGCCTCGATTGGAAGTCAATGAAGATTCTGTAGCCTGAGTTTATGAACGGCAAGGGATCTTGGATTGTTTGAACGCGCACATGGATGATTTTGTACTGTGCAACATTTTTCGACCCCAGATTCATATTTTCCGAGATAGAGAGCGCCCCTTCGAAACATCTCAGAGACGGGACGGACCACCAAGGGCCAGACGTGTTGCCAGACGCCTCTGACTCGATTGGTAGCATTGATTGAAGGCTTATCTGGCAATATTACGCAAAGGACTTTAAGCGCCGAGTGTGCGCTAAAGCTCTGGTATTGGGCTATCGATGCAAGTGGCAACCTTAGTGACTACCTCACTCGATGACGGGACAGACTTGTGGAACGATTACTATCGATGTACACTGTACAGTAGACTCACTACCTAGTTAATATTTACTATTTAGTATTCACACAGTGAGTAACGACGTAGTACTTAACGTAATTCCCGGCCAAGCGAGACACCCGGCCAGGCGAGACACCTATCCAAAATCGCGTCTTCCTATATATATACTAACTTCAACCACCTACCATACTACCAATTCGCTCTGAATCTCAACAGAAATCGGCTAATCAGGAGGGCAAGATCTTATTAGCTCTTAATGATATTAAAAATGGCCGTATTAAATCTCTCCGCGCAGCAGCGAAGCTATACGAGATACCGCCTACTATACTATACTACCGCGCCCGAGGACGCCTTCTACGCGTCGATTAACGTCTCCCTAGCTATAAATTAACCGATATAGAAGAGAATTCGCTTACTAAGTAGATTATCTCTATAGATACGCGTAGAGTAGCGCTAAGACCTACTACTATAGCAGAAATAGCTAATATCCTCCTTGCTACGCGTAGAACTAACCCTTCGCCTACTATAGGTAAGAATTAGCTATTAGCTTTTGTTAACCGACGTAATAAGCTTCGTATACGCTTCTCGAGACGTTATAATTACTAGCGTATCCTAAATAAAGACCCGAAATCGCTACGAGCGTAGTTTACGACCGTATAGCGTATTATCGATAAGAATAGTATATAAGCGGAGGATATCTATAACTTTAATAAGATAGGATTTATAATAGGCCTTATTTTAGCGTAGAAAATAGTTACGCGAGTAGAATACTACGGTCGGCGGTCTATCCTATAGCTAGGAAACCGCGAATAGGTTACTACTATCGAAGCTATCTACGCTAATAGCTACTCGCTTCCGCTATATATAATCTTTAAGGGTAAAGTTACTATTATAGGTTAGTTTAAGAACCTACTAAAAGACTAGCGGATTAAGGTCTTAAATAACGGCTAGACTACCGATAATATAGGCCTTCGCTAGCTATAAAAGTACTTTATCCTATATATAAATTCGTACATATAAGGCCGGTTTTAGCTATTAATTCTTAACGGCTATAGGAGCTATCTTATACTATAATTTAACCGAATCTATATAGAAAATAATATTATTCCTCTTTATATATCTTTATATTCTTCGTATCTACTATAACTACTTAATATTAGATACTTTATAGTCCTTAAGCGCGCGTATAGTCGCTTTATAAGCGATCTTACGCGTAAAGGATATAACTATATCGATAAGTTTAATTTCTTAGATAATTACTAACGCGCGCGGCTAGAGACCTTCTAATAGCTAGCTATTATTTAGAATAGCTTTATAGCTAGTAGCCTAGTACTAGTCGATATAGAAAGAGTACTTTCGAAGCTTAATATCTCTCTACGAATATCTATACTACTAAGTAGCCAGCTAATAAGTAGATCTAGCTAATTTATACTAAAAATACCGATTTAGCTATAAAAGTAAGCTTCGATACTTAAAGATCTACTAAAGTAGCGGTCGAATAGCCCTCCGAGCCTATTAAAGACTATACTAGATTAGATTATTAAGGGCTACTATATAGCGCTATATAATACCGCGCTACTAGTATAAGAAAACGCGAATCTATACGTAGCGAATAAGAAGGTAGTAAAGAAGCGTAATCGTTTAACTAGATATATATCTTACGAAGAGGATTTAACTATCGAAGAGGGCCTATAGCTAGTTATATAGTTAGATTTACTAGTAGAAGTACCTACGGTAGAATCGTATAGGTAGGGCGAATTGCCTATTTAGGCAGACTAACCAGCGAAGAGAGCCCCGCCTAGGTGTAGTAGGTGTAGAGAGATTGGCTATAGGATTAATTTATGTAAAAATCGCTATATTTAGCTAGATTAATGGGTGTTGGTTGAGAGAATCGATTTTGAAATTTTCTAATAAGTTTGGGTGTCTCGCCTGGCCGGGTGTCTCGCTTGGCCGGGAATTACGTTAGTCTATTACAAAAGGGTGCTAGTCAGCCTCGTCTCTCCCAGGCTGCAGCGTGTCCAAGCTTCGAGAAAGAATAACCAAAGCGAGCCCGCTACTATAAGCCATGCGCTGAGCTCGTTCTGTGCCGATAGCGACGTTCAACCACCGAACACAAGATTGGCCGGGTAGTCATGCAGACTTCTTCCATTCGACGGATCATTCACGACACCCTTGTCATTGTCAACCCTGGAAGAAAAAGCAATTCGCTTTGGCGTTCTGGCCCCCCTTTTTTTTAGCCCCGGTCGACTTGCAAGGATCTCGGACCCGGACAGCCTACCTTGTCTCTTTTCGACATCCGACGTTTTATTCAGGGCGGGGGAAAAAAGAAAGAAATAAACGCGGGAGTCGAGGGAGAGATTGCGCACGTAGTTGTACCTGAAACTGGTAGCACGAGGAGTCTATAATTTTGGAGGCGTAGTTTGCCTGCCTAGTCCTGCTGTCCTACTGCCTCGCTTTCAGGGTCCTTATCCGTGAACATGTGAATGTCGTGGATTACTGGATCCCAGGTGATCTTTGATGCGCAGATGACTCTTGTAGATGACTCGTTCTCGGGATTGGGTGGTATTGAGGTGTTGCTGGAGATGAGGTTCTCGGTCGAATGATTGCATGATTGTCGCGCAGAGGGCAGACTGTAGCAGTGCAGCAGAGTAGACTGGAACGGCGACGCTGTAGCGTACTGGAACTGCCTTGCGACCAGGACCTGAAAGTGGCCTCCCGTCTGCGCCTCGGCTCGGGAATGAGAGCAAAAAGAAGGAATCGACAGCCTTCTCTTTTTAGTCGGTACTTTATACCGAGAACAGGGATCTTACTGTTGAGATAGCTTGGTGGTTTGGCGCGTCTCACCAGCGTAGTACGCGCCCACGCATACTACCTTCGTAGCTTAGATAGGTACCTCTCACTAGATTTAATCTCACCATTCCTTTCTCCCCTCTTTTGGGTCTGCTACGTTCTCCTAGTAGCATCTAACAGGTTATAAGCCCTACTTAGCGTATAAAGAGTGAGGTTATTTATATTTTCTCACTGCCTAGGTACAACTTACAAAATAACCTCTTTTTCCATCGTTTTTCGGCGCGTTTTACGCCTTTAACAGAGTACAGACTTCGTACCTCTTTACGACTTAACAATCCCTACGTATATAATATAGCTAACAAAGCTATCATATCGAATTATCGCTAAAGTCCCTCCTTCGGCTCTAACGCCTCTTATACTAAATCGAATCTTCCTAGTATTTTTACGATTCTTAGAGCTTTTACGCTCTTAACCTATATAGCGGTAAATCGTCGTAGTAGAATACCTATATAGCGGTACTTCGCTATAATAGGCTTACTATATAATATACCTTCGTTATAGTAGATCTTATACCTTCTAGCTCTTACGCTATCTCGAATACGTAATATTTAATAATTTAATATAGTCTCCGATCTTAAGGCTTATAAAGTAGCTAAAGTCTTCGCCGAATTAGTCCCTATACTTAAGGGAAGAGCTAACTTCGAGAAGTAGAAATAGGGGCTTTAATTTATTATAGATAGCCTAGATAAAGACCTATAATCTATTATTATAGGTAAAATAATATATCCTATTTAAGAGCCTCGTAATACTCCTATAGAGGAAGCTATTTAAAATATCCTTTTCGTTTAACTTAGACAAGAGCCTACCGAAGAGGAATTTAATAAGTAGATTAATAAAAATATAAATTAACTAAATAACCGATTTTACTAGTTTCGCCGAAAATATACACTTACGAAATACCTTATCTATTATATACTTAGTGATTTAGCTCGTAGCTTTATATACGATTATAAAGATTCTTATAAAATCTTCCTTCGTATTAGTAATATATATAGTACTAGTAACTATACTACTTTAAGCTATAGGCTATTATTATTAATTAAGCTTACCTATACTAATAGTAATCTATATAATTTTATTATAAAATAGTAAGCTATACTAGATCTTATAAATTTAGCTATTCTAAATATATTATTACTACCTAAATAGGCTCTAGCTTATTTTAAGCTTATAATTAATAGCTACTAAAGTATTAAAGGTTTCTTGAATATATATAAACCTCTAACTAATCTAGATAGTATACTTAATTATATTTTCGGTAAATTTATTAAATATAAGTCGAATAAAAAGTCTATAAATATAGTAATCGTAGCTATTTCTATCTTAAAAGATATAAAGTCTACGTAAAATAACGATCGAGATAGAGGTAGAGATAGAGACCGAGGAGATAGAGGCCGCGGTAGAGACTCCGGACGAGATTATAGCTAAAGTTAAAATAATAAGAATAATAATAATTAGCTATTATACTATTATATCTACTATAAGCATTTAATAGCTTATACTAGTAAATAGTACTTTTTTAACCCTAAATCTAAGGGTATCTCTTAAGACGGAGTTAATATAGCTATAGTAACTACCTCTGACTCAAAAAAGGATTCTAAGGAGAAGTCTAAAAAGAAGATTTCTATAAGCTTCGCCGAAATAAGCTCTTCTATAGTTAATATTATAGCTCTATTAATAGATAACGACGAATAGTATATTTAGATAGTAGACTCTAGTATATTAGCGTATATAATATCTTATTATATAAATTTTATTAATTTTACCCCGCCTATTACTAATATAAAACTTCTAAAATAGTTATTAAGTATAGACCGAAGGATATAGTAACGTTATCCTAAATTTTTTAACTAGAAGTACTATCTTAGAGCTTAAGCTATTTAAAGTCTAGTATATTCTATCTTTTTATATAAATCTTATATCCTCTTAGTAACTTACGGCGGATTCTGGTATTAAGACTCGATTTAATAAGGAATACGGCTTCCTCTTTAGAGGGGAAGAGCTTATTATAAT